ATATAGTCCTACTATATCTAGGCTGAAGAAGATATCCATCCAAAGAGAATGGGTTCCTACAAAGCCAGTGCATGCAGTTGGGATGAATCCTGGTGCCGCTGCCTGGCATTTTAATTACTGAAGTAAAGATTTCCCAAGTTTCTAAGTAATGCAATTATTTAATAATTCCTATAAGTATTACAAGAAAGGTCAAGTGGTAACTAGTTCAGTCTTATAGACCACAAGGGTTCACTGTTTGATCTTTTTGGTATTTTGTTTCCCCCTCTAAACCATCCACTCAAAAGTCCAAAGGCCATTCTTAGTTCATAGACTAATAACAGTTGTTATCTTACCAGCCAGTTGTAGTTTACTGACTTCTGATCTAAAATAACCTTCCATTTAATAAAGAGAAACTGGAGTCCCAGAAAGGATGGTAACTCAACCAAGTCAGTAATTAATTTTAGTAGTTGAATAAATATATTCAAGTGAGGAATATATTACAGGAAGGACACATTTTGACATTCTGTTTATTCTAGAAAAGGCACATACGTATGTATAACACCTTTGAATTCAGAAGAGAACACTTATAATCAACACTTATAATCAATATTTACCAAAATTAATTAGTTGGAAAGCTCAAAATATTAATTTATCTTATTTTACTTAACTTTAATCTCTAAAATAGATTACTAAGAAATGTTTAAAATCTCATTATGAAATGCAGAAATCATTATTTTGAAATTAGCATATAACAAATTTAGATAAAAATATCACCAATGGCTGCTCATTGATTTAAAATAATCAATTTATTTTAAAAAATGGCCTCCAGAATAATTTTAATTGTAAGGTAATTATAGAGACTTATGCAATAACAAAGCCTATATACCCTAATATAAGCAAACATTATAAATACTATATATATACATACACACATATATATGTACAAAAGACAAATATAGTCAATCTAAAATGTAACAATTAGTCAAACTAAAATGTAATCTAAAATGTAAACATAAAACAATTTCAGTGTTTGATAACCAAACATTCTGGGTTGAAGTTCTAATTCTAAGGCAAGTATTTGCTCTGGCCGATTTCTGTACTTTTTAAAATGAAAACTCGATTTGTCCATTTATATTCCTGGTATCTAAAGCACACCAAGGGGCTACTCCAGTGCTTGTGGATTATCAACAAAGTACACCAAGAGATCACCTCTGGGTCTAAAGAAACTGAAGGTACTAGAAGAGACACGACATTTTCACAGAACAAAAGAATCTACAGGTGATAGCCCAAGGAACATGCTGGTTTCATGTGGAGAGCTTTCCCCAACTTTACCATGGAAAGAAAGTGAAAATAAATTAATTTCAAAAAAACCTTTCTCAATACGGGAATAAATTCTTATCCTCTCATTCAAAACAATGTTTCTCAACAGCATGGTATCAAAATTGCCTCCTTGATATTCAACTGGGTGGTATTTTAAATATGAAGGTTCTGAACACCATGTCAAACACACAATCAAATCACACAGGGGTGAGCAAAGAAATAGAGCTTAGCATCTCAACAGTTTCTGGTAGAGTCTATGTGAGAATGACTATACAAGTAGGATTTTTTAAGATCTGCAAAACAGGTAGGTTCAGCTTATGAAAAGGCCTTAAAGGTTACAATAAAAATTCATTTGTCACATGAATGTTTAGAAGCCTTCAAATGATTCTGGAAATTCTGTTAGTAGCTGAAACATAAAGGATGTGAGAATGGCTATCAGAAAACCAGGTAAGACACTATAATGGCTCAAATGATAAATGAGGAAGACTGGATTAGGAAAGCAAATATTACGAGGTTAGAATGGGATAAATTATGCTTATGGGCTGTATTCTTTTAGCACGACTTAAGAGAAGCTGATTCTAGTTTTCAAGATTGATAAATGTTTGTTTTTTGTTTTTTCGAGACAGGGTTTCTCTGTGTAGCTTTGAAGCCTGTCTTGGCACCACTCTGTAGACCAAGACTGGCCTTGAACTCACAGAGATCTGCCTGTCTCTGCCTCTTAAGTGTAGGGATTAAAGGCATGTGTCACCACTGCCTGTCAGGAAGTCAACCATTTACTGAGAAAAGTGGAAAAAAAAAAAAAGGTCTTAGGTCAGGAGTAAGGAATGTATAGCCTTTAGTAATGAATTGGAACTGGTAATTTGAAATGTACCAGCACACAGATATAATACTTAAACTATAAGAGCAACCAAAAAGGAAAGTTAGAACAGAACTGAGTTCTTAGCACATGCATTCTCAAGGACAGATAAAACTGAGGTCTGGTTATAAGTTCTTAGTGAACTGGCTAACACACACACACACACACACACACACACACACACAAACCCCTTGGGGTTATAGAAATTGAGTTAAAAAACATTAGGAAGCTGGAGAGATGGCTCAGTGGTTAAGAGCATTGCCTGCTCTTCCAAAGGTCATGAGTTCAATTCCTGGCAACCACATGGTGGCTCACAACCATCTGTAATGAGATCTGCTGCCCTCTTCTGGTCTGCAGACACACAGAGACAGAATATTGTATACATAATAAATAAATAAATATTAAAAAAAAACATTAGGAAATAGCCAGGGATCAATAGTATCAAAGGATACTGAAAGTTGAAATGAAGAAGACAGAAATTGGCAACTGAATTTAGCTTGCTTTAAAGCCAGTTATGTCAAGTACAATCTGAGTTGAATGGGCTAAAGGCAGTACCTAACTATGTAAGGTTCTGACATCTCGTGACTAGAGAGGGAACTTCAGGGACATAAAGGACTGAAATTTTCTTTCTGAATTAAGACAGTTTGGTCATGATGTTTGCAGTAGGAAAACAGGGAAATGGCAATTTCATGGAAGAAAGTATGTCAACAGGTTAATAGAAATTAAATCTACAATAAACTATTATGATTGCTAAAATTTAAAAGCCTTTGATGTCGTATGTTAGAATGAAAGGTAATTGAGATTTTAAACACTGCTGGTAAGAACATAAAATGGTATAATTACCCAAGAAAACACTTAATTTCCTAAAAAGTTAAAACATATACCAAGATTACACACTTGCATCAATCTCTAGTACTGCAAAAATCTACGCCTAGTATGTAATTTAGCCGTCTCTCCTAGGCATTTACATAAGAGAAATGAAAGCCTATATTCAAAGACCCTTATGCATAAATTTTCAAGGCAGCCATATTTGAAACTGCTCCAATATAATGCAATTCGCTCAAATCACTAGGGAAAAAAGATGAACAGATTATGACACAGCTGGATAATATAATGAGCAATCAGCAATAAGAAGTCATGAACTATCAAAATACACAACATTGAGAAATCTCAAAATAATTATCTAAGTAAAAAGACACAGGTTAAAACGAAAATACAAATCCAGGCATGGGGGCTTATGCCTGCAATCTTCAGCACCTCAGAGGCAGGAGGCGTGAGGTCAGCGGGGGCTACATAGTTAGTTCCTGGCTGGCCTAGTCTTCAGAGATTCTGTCTTAAATACAACAGCAAAAATAAAATAATAAAATGACATACGATAGCATCCGAATATAATTCCTGAAGATGAAAATAAATCTAAACATTTGTAGCTACTTGGGGAAAGAAAAGGAGAGAGATGAGAAGGAAGAAAACGAGAAAGTCTAAAATGTGAGAGTTGATGTGTATAACTACCATCTTGAAGGTGGTGATGATTATCCTGAACAAGCTAGATTATTTAAATGTAGTTACTTAAGTTCACAAAATAATGGTTTTAGTTTTTAAAGCATCACATGGTTTCTTCATAATATTTTTACACATGTATTATACTTTGTTCTAATTTGTCTTCCTTTCCTACTATCCTCCTCTTTCCCTTCTGCCTCTCCTATGTTTCTTTCCTCTCTGCATGTCACGGATACTCCCATCATCCTTTGTTTTATAGTTATTTCCTCATGAAGCATTCCATCCTAGACAAAAGGAAGGACACTGTTGAAAATTTAAAGAAACTAACAAAACTTAGAAGGCTCAGGAAACTAATGAAATTTACAAGGCTCAAGAAACTAAAGAGTTGGGGGGCTGGAGAGATGGCTCAGAGGTTAAGAGCACTGACTGCTCTTCCAAAGGTTCTGAGTTCAATTCCCAGCAACCACATGGTGGCTCACAACCATCTGTAATGAGATCTGGTGCCCTCTTCTGGCATGTAAGCATACATGGAAGGAATGTTGTATACATAGTAAATAAATATTTTTAAAAAAAAAAAGAAACTAAAGAGTTACAAGGTTCACAAGGTCCCTCCTTCAAAAAAAAGGCTGTTTGTAGGGACGATTGCAAATTGGGCCAGGAGCTCCAGAGAGGCAGGTTTTGTGAAAGTCACCATGTAAGGAACACTTTTCAGTGATGTAGCTGCTTTGGAGTTGTACATGCTCAAGCACACAACCCTAACAAACTCAGTTTCACTAAGGCAGACTGGATAGAAGCTGTTTCTCCCGGCTGCCATGAGATCCTCTCTGGGGTAAATAGGTTTATTCAGTCACATAAACACACCCCTTTCCCTCTTTTCCTTTTCGTTTAAAATGTTTGCCTCTCCTCTCACAATCCCCTTTCTGGTTTTATAATCTATGTAACACACACACACATACACTTACATACAGACAGGTTCATGTAAAGAAACATGATATTTATCTAGTCTGGCTTACTTTGCTTAAAATAATGATTTCTAGTGTCATCCATTTTTCTGTGTCATGATTTTGTTTTTCTTCATAACATTTCATTGTGTACATGTACCGCATTATCAATCCATCTATTGTCAGATACCTACGCTGGCTCCATTTCCTAGCTATTGTGAATAGTGTAACAACAAACAAGGATGTGCCTCTGGGGTGTGTTGACTTAGCCCAGAAGTGGGTCTAGAGGAATTCTATTTTTAGTTTTCTGAGGAACCTCCATATTAATTTCCATAGTGGCTGTACCAGTTTATACTCCTACAGCAGTGAATAGGGCTCCTCTCTGCCTGTATCCTTGTCAACATTTGTTATGCTTCATATTCTCGACGGTGGCCATTCAAATTGGGATGAGATATAATTTCAAAATAGCTTTAATTTATATTCTCCTGTTAATAATTATATTCTCCTGTTAAAATTAAGAATAGTTTTTCAAATTTTTTTTGGCCATTTGCATTTCTTGCATAAAGATGTTTCCTAAGTATAGCTAAAATAGTTAAGATGGTAACCAATGACTATAGTTTCATGAAGCATGGACAAGTCTTTAGACATATGTCAAGAAAACAAATATTTTATATAAATAGTATCAAAAGAAAAATATTTGAAAAATATTTTTTCAATTTCCAATAATAAATACATTATTTAGTATAATTATCCAAGCAAAGAAAATTGTTACCTAAAAAAAATTTGTTGTATTCTCTCAACACAAAAATTAAAAAATTCAAAGTATACAAACATCTATCAGTTTTAGATATAATATATGCGTTATATCAAGTCAGTTTTTTATTAATTGCATAGGATTAGTCTATTTCACTAATTCTCTTGGGAAACAATAAGAATTAATGTCCTTAAAAATATCTTCTGAGAAAAAATTTCCCCCTAAAAATTATCAATGCAAGATTGTCTTAAAATTTCTCAGTCATATAATTTAGATCGGATGAGTTAAATATCAACATAATGTTGTAGCCACAGAAATTCTATGAGTCATTTATGTTTATACAAATTCTTCTTTTTTTCTTTTTTTTTGGTTTTTTGAGACAGGGTTTCTCTGTGGCTTTGGAGCCTGTCCTGGAACTAGCTCTGTAGACCAGGCTAGTCTCGAACTCACAGAGATCCGCCTGCCTCTGCCTCCCCAGTGCTGGGATTAAAGGCGTGCGCCACCATCCCCCGGCTGTTTATACAAATTCTTCTGTGCTCTGCTTTACTTCTTAGGCACTTACTTAGGCACTTACTACACACAAGAATGCATGTTACATGCTATTTTGAAGCAAAATAAATACTATATAATAGTAATTGCAATAATTTTCAAATAAGAGATAAATTTAACAACGCTATTACTATATTTTACACTTCTTGATGTAATTACATTCCCTAAACTTGAGAGGTATTTACTCAGATTACTCAGAAAAATCTGTAGCCAACAAAAGAAACATTCAACTCCCTTTTAAAATTGCATTCTTTTAATTACTAAAAGAGGACCAATTTTTATGATTGCAACAGCTAAATTGTTATGATGAAACAGCAAACTGAGCAGATACGCTTCATTCCACTGGAAACCAAGTTCAGTTGAAAACTAAAATGCAAATTTCTTTTTGTTCTGGTTAAGAATGCAATTTTTAATTTCAGTTGAATGACATTATGTACCTTATTGATGTTTGGCTCCTCCATCATAGAATTTTTGATGGTTTCATTGTTGTCCTCTAATAACTTCATTAAGAAAGAATAACCGCAAGTCAAAGAATAAAGATGAGATGTAAAATGTACAACACTGAAGTAATTTTTAAACTTATATTTGTAATCAAATTACTAAAAAAATAAGGAAATGATATCTTCTTAAATTTCATATATTTTAAAAGGAATGCATGTTGGAGAGGGCATGGTTAGGGAGTAGGATATTTTGAATGTGCAAAAATTCCTTATCTACAGCTATACATTTTATTATACTGCATGAACAATTATTTTTAATCATTTGTTTTATAATGCAGACATTAAAATAATTTTTTGTCTAAGGCACCTTATATGTCTAAATTTAGAATTTCAGTTGTCAACTGAAAATCAAAGTCAAACTATTGTCTTAATACTATCTTACTTCCATGATACATAATTCCTGCAGAAAATCTCCTTGGTAGAAAATTCAATTTTCTACCTTTCAAATTCTCTCCTACTGATGTTGCAAGGAGGCATACAGCCTTACACAAAGATGTCAAAAAGAAAAGTTGAGTCAGGACTTTTAAGTTCTCAGAAAATTAAATCCAACTTTTGTTGAGAGTGGCTTTGACAGCCTACCTACAATCATGTAAAATTAATTTACAAATGAGTACAACCATTTTGTAAGAAATGTTAGGTTTTTTTTTTTTTTAAAAAAAGGGGACAAATAAACTATGCTATGAGGGAAAAGTTCTGAGATACATGAGAATTTTAAGATACGATAAAGTCAGATAAAGAAATGATAAATTTTCATTTTCAATCACATAAAGGAATAAACAATGGCAGCATCAAAATATTCAGCATGCCATATATCAATCTTCTGAGTAACTAAATTCATAATGGCTTTAATGATCACTTTATTAAAGATAATATACAAAAGGCACTTTTATGACTACCCAAAACAGACTACTTAATTCCTAGTAAATAATTTTCTACCAACTCTATAAATTTAAGAATCTATTTAACTCTATCCAACCTAATTTTCTTATATTCCTCTACTAAAATCTTCCTATGAGTATCATGGTCAGTAATAAACTACAAGGCAATAACAAATTCTTACTGCCAAGTCCAGAATAGGAATTGAGTAGGAAATCTTCCATCCCATAAACCCAAGACCTTTTTCATTCAAAAATCGAGTCTTTTGAGACCTCATTTTCTCCTTAGTCCAGACTTGAATAAAAATCTGTGTCTACAGCAGAGAATGAGAAAACAAAGACAATGGAAGCCACCTGGCTCGGACCTTTATCTCTCCTTCCATCCTTCCACCCTTTCACCACCCCAGAAAAACAAGGTCTAGCTCACCTACCTAAATTTACACTTGTGCTAGCTTTTACGGCTTCCTGTAAATTATATAAAATGGGTACAGAGGGCATGGGGGAGCATTGGCCACCCCTGCCTCCATTTAGTCAAAGTGTAAATAAATTCATTTTCCTGTGAAACAAACAAAAATCCACAACAACAAAGTTCTCATAACTTTCAATGAATGTGTTAGTGTGTAAGTTCATTATAAAAACATTGCAAAGAGGCTCAACAGTCATTTTGCAGATTAAAAAATTCAGAAAAATATTTAGAGATGCTACGAAAACTGTTAATACTTATGTTCATATTTTTGTTTTAAAACTATAATAAAAAGCTTTCAGTTTTCCATTAAGGTATTATGAAGCTCCCAACAAAGAAAAGACTAAAACTCTGTTCCACATTCCTCTTTCAGAGTATGTACAGAATATAACACTTACTACTTACTTGTGGGCTCAGAACAAAATGAAAGTACAGGACATTTGTTAAAAATTTAAAAATGTCAATAGTATATTAGACAAATATTAAACCAATTGCAACTCTACACCAATAAACTAAGACAGATTAAATAAAAATGTGCAAGTTTACTCATTAACTGTTATCCTCATATGATACGGCATGGTTATACCACTCTATTTCTCTATGCTGAATCACTGAGTACATCAAATCTTCATATGCATGTTAAAAGGCACACTACAGAAAAAGGAGCAAGCAGAGTGAACTTTTAAAATCTAGAACAATGTAGCAGTATTCTTAAATATTACATAAGATGTTTAAGATAAAATATACCTTTCTACTAAGTCATATATTCTATTCACTGTTGACTATTCAGTCAACAAATTCACTATTAACTATATTTGTTCATTTTCTTGAATTGTTTTAGTGTTAACTCACACATTAAATTATAATCATATTTTACAGTTACATTACTAAGTAAATGGCATTCATATCTGCTTAGATTTCAATATATTATCAAGGCATTCACCTTTAAATACTTAGCAAACATGCTATAGTTTTTGTGGTATGATCACAGCAAATAGTAAATAACAACACATTCAATCATTTATTATAATTGGTACCAAGGGAGGGAGACATGGTGGAATCACATAATTGCAAAAAGTAAAAACATTTCAAAAAATTTTAGTATTTAAATTGAGAGTTATGTATAAAAATATCCTTTGACATTTGATGTTATCTTGTTTTTTTCTTGTCTATTGTGAAGCCCTTCTATTTTATTTTTCCAACCATATAGCTTTTTTCTCTTCTCCTACTTCAAAACCAGTCTTTGGACCATGTTCTGTCATTTATAGACTCTGTTAATGATTCCAGAGAAGTAACTGGCTAACTATAACTGTGTCTACTGTTTAGGTTCACTTGATAATTTTTAGATACAAATCATTTATATTCAGAAGGCAAGATCTTCATGCTAACCAATATTTTTTTAGTAGCACTGGACTAATGATACCTCTCCCCAAACATACAAAACAAAACAAAAAACCCAATCCACTGTAAAGATATCGAGGTATAACTTAGCTATTTCAGTTTAATTATAAACTAGCTTGGATTTGTAAAATTGCCTTTATTTGTATGTAATTTCCAGAAGAAAAGAATACACATATTCAGAAAGTTTCCAATAGGTAAACCCAGTTTCAACTATTTCTAAGACTGACTTCTCTTAACTATCATATGAAAATCAAAGGAAATGTTTCCTAAGAAAAAGGTCATTATAAAGCAAAACACAGCATGCAAATATCAGAATCTTAACTCAATATCTACTTCAAAAAAAAGTTCCAATAACATTAATTAAACTGATGTGTGAAATGTTGTCCCTTCCTTTTTAACACATCTTTATAAACATTGTTATACCAAATGGATTTTTTTTTTAAAAAAATACGCAACTTCAATTTTTTTAATGGTTACAAAAAATATGAAACACTCATAATAAAATAGTAGAGAGTTTTAACATCTACAAACCTCATTTAGACATCGTTTCTTTGTGAATATATTTCTGATAAAAGTTTCTTGTATTTCTTCCTGTTTCACCAAGTACTGCCATAGTCTCTTCACAGACAGTGCCAAATGATTCTTGGATCTATAGGTACAGCAGATTTAATTACCTCAGACTTGACATTTCCATAGCACTCTACCACAGTTTACTATAATAAATTAGATTGCACCTCATGATCTAGGAAAGCACCCAAAGAGCTTTTCCAGAGTCACTGACTACTATCTTAGGGTTAGTGGACAGTGTGGTTCCCATGACTCCATCACTTTGGTGGGAAAGCAGAAAAGGTGAACATCCCTAATCTGAATGCTCCAAAATCTACAATTTTTTTCTGGTTTTTGATTTTGTTTTGTGTTTTTGAGATAGGTTCTCATGTAATTATGGTTGAACTGGAACTATGTAGACCAGGCTGACCTCAAATTCACAAAAACCTATCTACTTTTGTGTCTGCTTTCCTAGTGCTGAAATTAAAGGCATGTACCATATACTTGGCTAAATTTGAATACCTTTTAAGTGACGACAGGACACCCAAAATGTTTTAGGTTTTAAAACATTTTAGATTCTGAACTAGAGATACTTATTCAACCAGTAAAATCTTATTCTCATCTGCAAATGATATTTATGGCTGAGCTAATAAAATGTTATTGACAAAGGCAAGAATAGGTATGACCATAATTTCCTAACCTTTAAATCAGGGTCATGGGTGTTAGCAAGAAAACAAAACAAAACAAAAAGTGGTGCTTACTAGAAGATAACTAGAAGCAGAATTCCTTAATGTGTTTGCTGTGGATACAATAGTCTATAACTTTCTTGTTACTGGCCAAAATTGGTTTAAGAGCGCTACAAGAACATAAATGAACACTAAAAAAAACTAAACATACTGTTCAGTTAAGTAAAAATGTATTTGGGGCAAGACTTTCTAGATAAAGCAAGTATTGTATAAACTGTTTTCTCTTCATGCATAGTACAACAGTTGCTGAATAGCTATTATTCTTTTGCAGAGCAGGAGTTAATAAAAGCACATTCTTCAACCTGTATCTACTACTTCAGCCTTATCTGTTCCATATTTTCAAAAACTCAAGTTTTTGAAACCCACTGTTATACATTCTTAGTGGTTGCCTTTACTCTGCAATGTCAGAGTTACCTAGTAATGACACTGCATCCTAAAAAGCCTAGAACAATTACTATCAGAACCTTCAACAGAAATGCTTGGTGACCTTTGATATCTGTCTTATAATAAAGACACATCTGCTCCTAGAACTGAATGTTAAGCATGTACCCAAAGTATTTATTCCTCTAAATGTTCCCAAGGACAACCTGGTTCTGCAAAACTTCTTAAAAAATGAAACAAACAAACAAAAAAAAAACCCACACTACCAACAACAACAAACAATATCCATGGTAAAACCTACTTGAAAGGAGTGTTTGTAGGTTCTAGTAAAGCTTTGTGACGGAGTATTGCAGGACCTGCAGACACACTCTCTTCACAAGTGTGACTGGAGATATAATTTTGAGGAGGTCCACCATGGATTTCAAGTCGTCGGAGAAGTACTTGTTCCCAACACTGGAGAGTTTTTAGGACTGCATGACAAAGAGGTGAACTGACTGGTAGTTCTGAAAAAGTAATACACAAGTGGTCCATGGTTATATTCTACAGTAAAATGCTTATGAGAAAACAATGGATACTAATGAAATTTAGTAGGGATATGTGGGCAATGAATCTGGTATTTTTGAAGATAAAGTGACATAAATCTTTACAACTATTCCAATATTACTGTTTTGGAATTTAATTTCATATGAAAATTATGCTTGAAGATTATATGAAAATGTTTATGGAAGAAAAATTAATTGCTTTAATGTCTGTAACAGGCCTGAAAGCCATCTGACATTTTTGTTTAGAAAATGAAAATAATAAAGTTTAAAAAGTTCAACGATCCTTTTACCATGAAATGAAATACTACTTCAGCTATACTACTTCATAGTCTTGGGTAGCAATCCTAACTACTTTTATCTGCCCACATCTGGTAACAGTCTTAATTTTCAATTCTGAAAATTACCTACTTATTTATTATAGTGGAATGAATATAAACTTATCATTCCAACAGTCATACATTTTTTCCATTAGTTGGTATTTTATTATTTACTTTAGTGTATGAATAAACACGGTTCACAACTGAAGTGTCTTTTATAAGAGTACCCTTCTTTATTTCATATACAGCACTCTCCTACTTTGGAACTCATCACTGTGTTTCAAGGTTTATAGGTCTTGTATTAAGTCCCAGGTACAGACATAGTCTAATATAATAATATCAGGCTCGGGGCCTTTGATTTCTCAAACATTTCCCTCCTCAGCAAGTAACAGTATGATAGAAAAATTTAAAAATAGTTTATACCTGAAATAAATGTATATTTTACTACAAAAACTCATTATACCTTTTCTTTATTTAAAATATACACACAGACTAACAATTAGCACTGATTCATATTAAGGTGTTTATTACCTGCAAGATCATGACCTGCAAAGGGATAGAAATTCTTCAAATTGCTGAGCACCAACTGGACCATAGCCAATCGCATCAATGACCAACTAAAAATAAAAGTTTCTCTGTTTAAACATTTGTACAGGGATCTAGAAAACGATGTCACTCCTTAACATAACTATTTCCCTACAAGGAATTAGCCCAAAGATATACTTTTGTAAAACCAAAATAATATAATTAGTTATTCATGTCAGCATTATCTAAAACAACAGTTAAAAAAAAAACTAAATGTCTGTCAGGAAAGTAGGGGCTAGATAACAATAATTTTGTAGATTGAAATTTAAAATAATAGTAAAAATGAAATATTACTAAGTGAAATATTAATATTGCTAAAACTAAGTATCAATAGTAATAAAAAGCTAGCTTAGGGGCATCGTGTGTATACTGTCATCAATTTAAGAAAGCAGGGGAAATAATACAGATGTCCTTTATTTCTGTAATCAGAAGGATATAGGAATGAATAAAAATGGCTACCTTCACAAGTGCCAGGGAAAACATAGCATAAATGAGAAACATGAGGCTTCTGACTTTACATTTCTAGATAGTTAAAATTATTTCTGCTTCTCTTTAATTTTAAATATATCATATTTATATATATCTTACCATACTGACTTTAAATCATGAACTGTGCAAAATATGCACAACATAAAGTCTAGCATTTTAGCATTCTTGAAAATAGCACACTGACTGTTTTGGAACTATCAGCATCATCATTCTCTACAACTTTCCACAGAACTGCTAAAAAAAAACTATGCATTTTTCACTCCTCTAGTGACTATCAATTTGTTTAATGCATTTAGTAAAGTAGAACACACACAATTTACTTTGTTTTGACTCTTTGTATAATGTCCTCAAGATTCATCCATGTATCATGATTCAGAATTCCCTTCCTTTGTAAAATATAGTAATTTTCTGATTACGTACATAATACATTTTGCTTACTGAGTCACCCAACAAGACACTTGGATTTCTTCCTACTACTGCCCATTATGAAGTTGTCAATTGGATGTACAAACACGTTTGAGTTCCTACATTCAACTCTTTTGGTATATGCTCAAAGTAGAATCACCAAATTATACAATAGTTGTACTTTTAAGTTTTAAAGAAACTATTTTATCATTTTCCAAAGTGGCTGCACCATTTTATAGTCCAACCAAAAGAACACAAAGGTTCTAAATTCTCTCTATCTGGGTCAATACTGTCATTTTGTTATTTTTGTAGCAGCCACACTAATGGGAATGCGATAACATCCCACTGTGGTTTTCATTAACATTTCCCTAATAATCAGAGTATTTTTCCAGTGTTTATCAGCCACTTACATGTCCTCTTTAGAGAAACACCTCAAACTATTTGGCCTCCTTCTCCTGACTCTTGCTTTTTTCCAATACTGAGAATTAAACCTGGGCCTTCACAGATGTAAGACAAACAACTGTGCTACAAGTGACCTACATTTCCACTTCTGACCAGATTTTAAATGTTTTTTTTTAATTGTTGGATTATATAATTTGGATTCTGAGCCATACATATATTTATATATTCAAAAAGTAAACTAAAGTCAACAGAGAAAAAAAAAGTAAGCAAAATCTTAGTTTTCCAATAGTTATTGTCCAAAAATCTACTTCTTTTCAAACTTTTATTAACCCATCATTAGCATGCCATGTCTTAATAAAATATATTGCTGCTCCAATGTAAATAACATATGAATAAGACCACTCAAAAATATAAAGCCAACAGTGAACCATTCAAATTGATGTTGAGAATAGTGAACACTTAAGGCATTTTTTTTTTTTAAATCACAAAAGAACTGGAGAGATGGTTCAGAGGTTACGAGCACTGACTGATCCTCCAGAGGTGCAGAGTTAAATTCCCAGCAACCACAAGGTGGCTAGCAATCATCTGTAATGAGATCTGGTGCCTTCTTCTGGCATCCAGGTATATATCCAGGCAGAACACTATATTCATAATAAATAAACAGATCTTAAAAAAATAAGGATATCTTATATAATTAGAGGTCTACTAAACAGCCATTTGATATTTTTGATTGAAATTGTAAGATTTATATGCGTGAAAAAATTAAAGCATAATATGAAAAGATTTGTGTGATGTACTATAAATGATGTTTTATCAAGGGATAATCAAACATTAATTGAAAATTTATTGCAGAAAAAAGGAATTTAAAATTTTCAACTAGATAAATAGTATATAACAATTCAAAAAATTATTAATTAGATGTTACTTTTAAAAATATTATTTATATAGACCAAGTTGATGTTTTTAAAGAAGCTTAACACACAGTATTTCATACCTGAATGAATTTGAATTAGAATGTTCCTGGAGATGGAGATCAGAAGGTAAAGTACCGTTAACATTATCATCTTCATCATCATCCTCATCACTTTCTTGACTCTCCTCAGAATCATACTCTACTCTACTTTGGGAAGGAGGTAGAAAAGGCTGAAATAAAAATTATATACCTTATCATTCAAATATTTGATTTAATCCATATAATCATATAATTCATCCCATTTGTGGATATTTCACTATAAGCACAATAACTATTATTTACCACACTGTGTTTTTGATATAATTTTATATATTCACCCAGTTAACAAAAAAATTTATTTTTAAAACAATGTTATTTGCATACTAAAGCCAGTTCCCTTTCTCTCTCATCTTTCTCCCTTCCCCATCCTCTTGCTACCCTGCCCCCATCCATTCCTCAAAAGGGTGAGGACTCTCATGAGGAGTCAGCAAGTCTGTCACATCACTTGAGGTGGAACCAAGGCCCTTCCCCATATCTAGGCTGAGCAAGGGATCCCTCCATAGGGAATGGGCTGAGAAGAGCCACTTCACACACTAGGGATACATTCTGGTTCCACTGCTAGTGGCCCCACAAACTGCCTAAGCCACACAACTGTCACCCACATCAGAGAGCCTCATTCATTCTTATGCAGGTTCTTCAGCTGTCAGTCCCACTAGCTTGGGGACTGTTTTTGTTACTGTGGGTTTTCCCATCATGGTGTTGGCCCTTCTGCTTGTAATATTGCTCCTCCCTCTGTATGGCTGGACTCCAGGAGTTTGGCCCAGTGCTTAGCTCTGCAACTGCTTCCATTAGATACTGAATGAAGGTTCTATGATGACCATTAAGGTAGTCATCAATCTGATTACAGAGGAAGGGCATTTAAGGTACCCTCTCCATTATTGCTTAGATTCTTAATTGGTTTCCTGCTAATCCCATAATAGCTCCCTTTTTAAAGATTATTTCTCTCCTTGCTCTCCCTCTCTGTCCTTCACCCAATTTGATCTTGCCAATCCCTCATAATCTCTTCCTCGCCCACCCTCCCCAGTCCCCCCCTACTGCCATGTTACTAAAGAGATCTTGTCTACTTGCCTTTCCGGGGGTGGGGGGGTGCGGGAGTGGAGTTGTGGGCTGTAGGCAGGTTATCCTTTGCTTTATGTCTAATATCCACTTATGAGTTAGTACATACAATGTCTGTCTTTCTGTGTCTGGGTGACCTCAGCAATAAAAAATTTCTTAAGAATGTCACCCAAAAGTCTACTTGAGATATATCTAATATCTACACAATCGTCCCCTCCCCTACCCCTTTGAAAAGGTCTCACTATGAAGCATAGGCTAGTCTTTGCCTTGTGGTCATCCTTCTTTAACCTCTCTCTCAAGCGTTAGGCATTTGATAGCATCAACTGGCTTGACACAAGAATGTTTAAAAGAATTACATCCAATGCCATCTAACACTTTTACATTTTTGGTAGTAAAGTTAAGCAAGTAAGTAAAAAATTAAGTAAAATTCAAGAAAAAAATGTATTAAGTGTTACCAAGGGGGGGGGGATTAAGATGGAGAAATGTAAAAGCTGACCATAGAAGGCCTCTATGAAAAGTAGCATTTAAGTAAAACCTAAAGGAGAAAAAATAACCAGCCTAGAAACAATAATGGGGCTAAGGAAACCTGTCTAATAATTCCATAAAGAGAAAAAGCAATTTTCCAAAAGCATTATAATCACTCACTTGTTCCCATTTGACTATATGAACATTGTTCTGTGTATCAATGTTTTATTACCTTGGCTATGAAGTAGTCCCAGATACTTAGCTCAGGTGGGATAAACTTCTCTTTTACTGCCAGTGAATCCTGATTTACTGAGGAAGAGGTTATGGGGGCAGATTCTCTGCAAGATACTTTTGATGGACTAGAATGTTTGTTTTGTTTTTCTCCTTCAACTAATAAAGAAACAAAGAGAATAAATTATTAAAGTACTATGTCCAACTGTAATCTTTACAAAAGATAAAGATAACTACAAACAACATACATAAACTAAAATATGATTATGAAAGTATAGAGCACTTGAAAAAGCAGGTATGAAAAGGAAGAAAAAAAATCACTCTGTATAGCAACTTTTCCTTTTACCTTAACTTGTCCACAATTATCTGAATGCTAACTTATATGTTGTATATAGTGTATAATAGATGTAATGTCTGACAACCAAAAAAAAAAAAATCACTCTACAATTTAGTTAGGATTATGATAGAAATTTCCTATATCCTTCTACTTCACGGTTTTTAAGGGGAAGAGGTTTATAGGAGAATCAACCAGGGATTTATGCACATTAAACACAGATTTTTTTATTGCCAGTAAGCTACCCCAATAAGCACTTTAAAAAATAGATAACATAATGTCAATGTTATATATATGAATTAAAAATAATACCACATTTCAGATTGTACAGTAACAAATGGTCTCATTATACATTTAAAATACAGTTTTATTAGAAAATATTTTTAATATTTTGACTTCCATAATTAAATTGCATTTATTACAACTTGAAAAATGGGTTAGAGATGAACTTTCTAGTTGTTAGAATTACGCAAAAGAGAAAACTCAGTATTTATTTTAGTTTCTAAAAACTTTAAAATTAGACAGTATTCTCTCAGGATTTACCCTATAAAACTAAAAATAATAAGTATACGAAAAGCAAAAATTATATGGGAGCTTGATTAAAAAGATTTTATGGTATCATTGATCAAAGCCAGGGCCTTGCACATGCCAAGCAATTATTGCATCACTGAGCTACATATCCACATGCCATAAAAAATATTTAATAAAAACTAAGTTATAAGACACATTATCAAATGTAGACAAACAGGGGTCTTATAGACATAGCATGACCTAATAGGCAAACAAAATAACACATTGAAAGTTAAGAAGTTAGCTTAACGTTTATTTTATCATTGTTCTTTGTGTATGTGGTGTGTGGTGTATGTATGAGGTGTACATGGTATTGTGTGCTGGGACTGCATGCACACATTTCTACATACACGTGGAAGCCAGAGTACAGCCTCACATGTTGTTTCTCAATAATGCCACCTACCTACCTGGTTATGTGAATCAGAGTCTGCTGCCAGCCTGGAATCACCAAGTAATTTAGCTGACTGGCGTGTAAGCCCCCGGATCCACCTGTCCTCCCCTCAACTTCCCCAGTGCTGGGATAGCAGGCATGTATCAATATGGCTGGCTTTTTTATGTGGATTCTAAAGACTGAACTCAGTCCTCACACTTCCATAGCAAGCACATTACTGAGTTACCTCTCCAGCCCGAGCTTACCATTTTAAAGCAGATATAACAGTATTTTGTAGCCAGATTTAAACACTACTTACTTAAGCTCTTAACACAATCAGCAGAACTATTTCATTTCCTCCTTTTCTACTGAAAGCCAACTTATCTTTGGGGTTCTTACAGAGAATGCCAGGAGTACATAAAATTATTCCCAAATGCAGGGGGAAAGGGTAAATTGTTTACTGATGACTTAAATAGTTAATGTTGAAGGAAATACAGATATGAAAAAGATATAGGACATTTAAAGTTTAATAAAAAAGTAATCCCAAATTCATTTCTGGTTTTAGCAAGGCAATTCAGGCTAAGTACTTAGTTTCTTATAGGGTACTTTAGATAAAAACCTACCTGAAATCTACAAATAAACTTCAGAGAATCCAAAAAGGGAAATAATAAAGAAGCAATGAATTAAATGAAGTTTTCTTCTTAAATAAATATTAATAATTTTCAAAAACTGACATGATACTATTCAGATATAACAACATTTGATTCTCAGGGTCCTTCTAAAATCATTACCTCATATACTACTTTGTAACTGTTCTGTAGTATTCATAAAAATAAATTTGCAAGCGGGACATGGTAACACAGCTTTAGTTTCAGATCTTTAGAGGTAGAGGCAGGCAGATCTATGAAGTTTAGGCTAGCATCATTTACAAAGTGAGTTCCAGACCAGCCAGGACTATATATATATAGTGAGATGCTGTCTTACAAAATAAATAAATTTATAAATATTTGAATTGGAAGTAGCATATTTTTCTCAAAATCCTATACCAAAGCAGATTCCTAGATAGTTGATGTGAAAATGATTCACTGAAAAATAGCAAGAAACTACCAAAGCTGTTATTGGTAAGAGAAGGGGAGAAAAGAAAGGGAAGAGCTAGAGAGAAGAAAAAGCAGGGTACAGAGGCAGAAAATAAGAAGTGGGGAGGGTGAAAGAAAGAGAGAAAAAGAGAGGAGAGGGAACATGGCTGGAGGAGAAAGAAGACAGTCTCTATAGTACTGTGAGCACATAAGCACACAGGTCTAATGCTGTGACTCATGTTCTGTAAGCAAGGTTTTATAATCAAAAGACCAATGGTCACTGTATTGGAATTCTAACTCTAAATTATTACAAAAGCCCCATGTTGGAAATATATTCAATCCATTTTGTTGTAGACTTGAAATGGCCAAAAAAAAAGGGGGGGGGGTGTCAGGCAAAAAAAGTTTACAGAAAGAAAATATGCTTAGTTTTAATAATCTTATTAAATATCTTTACCCACTGATGGCATCTGGATCAGGTAGACTTTTTCCTATTGCTTCTAGCTTTGTATATCAAAAGGAGCAGCTTTAATAATGAAATTAAAGGACTAATTATCTGTACAAAAAGTACATTTACATTTCATTCAAGCCCTCCTGGAAAGCTTCTTTTATCTCCCATTCTCACAAAAATGAGTGCTATTTAAACACAAAGGGAAACTTGATATGACATGGCCCTCACTAAAAACCTAAGACTAACAAACATGAATTAATTTCCTTCTAAAGTGAGTTGTTTTGATAGCTGGTTGTATTTTAGAAGTTCTTAACCAGTGATGAGTGTTTCCCATGCTCACCTGTGTTTAGTCACTGCCATTCAAACGTTATGCCTTTGCATCTTCTGGTAAAAAATGTTATTCTGCTAAAGGGATGATTGTAATAGTATGTGATAGTCACTAAGGAAACACTGAGCTTTCATACAAGTTCTATATATACAAATGATTTGGATTTTCTGATCTATATTTAGTATAAATAATAAAAGATCAGGGATAATTTTAAATGTCTTCAAAATATCTATCATTAGCAGTTTCAGAGAAAGATGATATAACAGGCTTACCAAAAGTAAAATACTCATTTTATGTTTCATTCTACAATTAGGAGATAAAATTTTCTGTAAATTTATTGAGAAGACAAAATTCACAAGTTTTTTTCTCACAAGATGCAAAATTCTAAAAATTATTTCTAAAAGAAGCAAAAATTTGGATTTCTAACTGTTTGCAAAAATAATAATTTTAAAAATTGCTCTTGCTAGTTTTCAACTTTAACAATTATCAGAAAATAAAAATACCACAAGTATACATAATTACTACAATTTAATTATAAATATCAAAATTTTCATGTGATGCAAAATTTACAAAGAGAAATTTCATTAACATTTAAGTTAGTAAGTTATTTAAATTATTAACTTTTTGATTAAGAATCCTAGGCTGTCCTTACTAGTCAAGGAACCACAGGGGCTACCTAAGAAAGCTAGCTGAGCATGAGCCAGGGAGCATCCCAGAAGCACAGTTCCTCCATGGCTTCTGCCTCCAGGTTCCTGCCTTGAACTTCTCTGAATGCCCAAGTTTCTTTTGGTCAGAGTGTTTTAGCAAAGCAACAAAAAACAAACTGTAACAGTCAGCAAAACAATTAGAACAAAGTATACGAGACATGCAGGAAAATAAAAACCTACAATTTAGTCCATGAGACCATTATTTCAAAACACTTGAGATGAGAATTTATATCAGAAGAAACACAAATACCAAACTTCAAATGCCTTTTCTAGCATGAAATTTGAAAACACTTTTTAGAGAACATATATTTAGGCATCCCAAAACAAGTATTTCATTTCCAATACACAGTATTTGAATGATTTCTTAGGAAAACAATATTTTACACTTCTCAATTTTCATTTGGCTAAATTTAAAAACTTAAAATACATACATTTTAATGCTGACTCAATTTGCACTGACTTTCTGAAATACATTATTTATCCTAGTGATGGTTAAAGCCATGGTTAAACTTGACAGCATCTGGAAGCACACAGGAGACTAGGCCTCTGGGCATGCCTGTGGGGTTACCTCATTGCTGACTGAGGTGCTATTATGGGTAGTGTCACTTCCTGGTTGGGGTCCTGGATTACTTAAGTAGAGAGAGGAAGTTGAGAGGCAGCAGGCATTCACTGTTCTTCACCTCCTAAATGCAGAAATGACATGACCAGGCTTCAAGCTCTTCCTGATTTGACTTTACAAAATGAGACTCTACCTTCAACTGGGAGCTAAAATAAACATTTCCTTAAGTAGCTTTTGCCTGGGTATTTTATTGTAGCAACAGGAAAAGAAATGAAGATAATCCCCTTGGTCAACAATGTACACTGAATGTTAATACAACCAAACTCTTGGGACATTGTGAGTATTATTTTGCAGCCATCCAAACACAAAGCACTGCTTATCTACACCTAAAATTCCTCACATTGCTGTGCTTTAAAAATACAATAATGTGTCTTAAAACCAAGATTTTAAGAGTTTCCTTTCACACTAACTGCTGTCATTCTGTTGTTTACCTTGACTGTGCTTTGGTTCTGAGTTTTCTGTTCAGAGGACTGGCTGTTTCTGACTGCCAGTACTCTGTTATCCACTGCTTCCCTTTCCCACTTCAGTCTCTCACTCCTCTCCCTTCACTTCTTTCCTCCATGTTTCCTTTCCAACTAGAGTAGTTTGGAACCAAGAGTCTTTCTCTTCATCAACTGATAAATCATGTAATTTACAGTTCCTGTAAGTCACATTATTCATAGCTCCTCTAAGCGTGCTTGGTATCCAAAACAGTTTCTAAGTTCTCAAAGACAGGTGAGCATAAGTTGGATGTTTACATCCAACCTTACCACAAGATAACTGTGTTTTAAATATTTTATTTGGCTGGCCTATACCCAATCCAAATGGATAAACATACAGATAATTTTTGGTTATTTGCTTATTTTTTATTATCTGAAAAAAATGGTTAGGATTATCATTTATCTTTACAACTACATAATGATATTTTTGCCTACAAGCAATAAATGTAAGTGTTTAAATAAGAATCAACCTGACCTTTGAGTAAGGCTCTTCATAAACATGTAGAACTGGGGCTCGTAATCTGGTTCATTGGTAGCAGTTTGCCTAACATAAACATGGTTCTGGGCTCAATTTTCAGTATCAAAGAAAAAGAAATAGTTGAAGCTAAGACCTGGCTAATAATATACTTTTCATCTTAAACCATGATAACATTGCTTACCAAAATTTATCCCTTAAATAAATTTATAAATTTAATTTATAAAATAAATTTAAATTTCACTTAAATATTTAAGCCTTAATGTTTTTAAAATATTAAAAATAAAGCAAAAATTAATTTACCAATTATCAATTTAATCATTAACTCCATGACCTATGAATCTATTTATGTTAAAGTTTGAAAATTTTTTTCTAGAACGCAGATATATGAAAAATATAGTCAAGGTAAATTTCATAGTTTTCTAATTGATGGAAAATATATCATGGGAAGTAACTTTAAAAAACTATTCTCAAAACTAAAATGTTTAATATTTTGATAAACAGATAAATTTCATATGTAAAGTAAATTTGAACTTAAATCTGCAATTTTAAGGAAAAGAAATGTTTTAATTCAGAACAAAAGGATTAGTGAGACAGTGGGCTTTAGTACAAGATAAGATGGTATGAAATCTGTGGGCAGCCACATCAGCACTGGACCTTTCAGAAGAGGAGCCAAAACTGTCTTAGCTTCTGAACTTCTTCAAAGAAAGGGTCACAGAAAGAAAAATGACAATTATCACTCTGATGGCATCTGTCATTTCACAAAACCTTTCCAGACATGTAATGGTAACTTTAGTTCTTAAAAGCAGAAGCTATAAAGTGTAACAAAAACCTTTGTATCTCAAAGGCTGTCAAAATATGACCTTTTTTTTTTAAGCTCTGGCTGTCCTGGATGGAACACACTATAATAGATAAGGCAGACCTTAAACTCAGAGATTTCTCTGTCTCTGTCTCCAAAGTGCTGGGATTGAAAGATGTGTACCATCTTATCTGGTTTACGACCTATTTTTATATCCTACATTTTACTGAAACATAGTCATATTTATTAATTTTTGTCTATTGCTGCTTTAGTGCTACAAGAGAAGACTGATACACCAAAAGGTCTCTGTACCCAAAATTGAACTCAGTTTGTTTTAAGTTGCATCCCCACCCGCACTCCCCAGCTGTTGAAGAGCAGAAAGAGTATGGATTAAAATGCAAGAGTGACAGAAATATGAACAGTTTCAATGTGAGGATAAAGTAAAAGCTAACCTACCAAGACTTTTGTTGTACAATTCTATGGGATCACAGCTTAGTGAAAAGTGTGTCAATATTGCTAAGAAGGACTATTAAGTATTTTAACAAGATAACGACTTTTTTCTTCTATTACAGAAGATTACTTAAAAAAAATCTAAAAGTATTTACTTATGAGGGTATGTATGGCCTTTAACAATAATGCTTTTAAAACTTTTTAAAATATTTATTTTATGTATAAGAGTGTTTCACTTGCATGCATGTCTGTGCATCAAATACATGCCTGGTGCCTATTAAGATCAGAAGAGAATGTTGGTTCCCTGGAACTGGAGCTACAAAGTTGTGAGCTTCCACAAGGGTGCTGGAATTCAAACCTGGGTATTCCACAAAAGCAAGTGTTCTTAACCGCTAAAGTATCTCTCCAGCCCTACAAGGATTTTTTTTTTAAATTATGAATCCAAATCTAATTATATTTTCTCGTCAAGTCGTTTGCCAACCATCTGACCTTCCAAATAATAAATCTTTAACCCTACAAATATATACAGGTAGGGGTCTAAGTACTTAAAGGCAATAGAGAAGAAGTAGATTAAAATTCAGAGATAATCTTTCTGGGCTTCACTTATAAATGTGATTTCTTTTAAAAGGGTTTCTCTTAAAAAGCATTTAAAATTGTTTTCCAATTTCTATTTGAAGATTCAAATTTACATATATTTTAATAATTTAAAAAAATTTAATGTTAGTATAGTAACAGGTTTCCCAGTATTATAAATTAAGTCCAAAATCTACTCCAAATAATCCACAAAACTGGAAAACCAATACTATCATGTTGTTAATAAATCACAAAAAAAAGTTTGGAAAACATCATGAAAATTATTTTCAAGTTGAACAAGTACGTTGTTTTAATTTTATTTAAATAGAATACATGTAGTTATAACATCAGAAATGAAAGGATACAATTACTTAAAATATTTACTTTTCATGGTATTAAAAACACTTAGAAATCCAAAAACTAATAGCCAGTAATAATATGCAAATCATAAAGCAGCCTCATGGGAAATGCTTTTTTGGTCATTTCAAGCCATATTGTGATTTCCTGGGATTAGCACTGGCAATTTTTTTCTTTTGGTTTTGTACACTTAAAGAGGTTAAAATTTAAGGGATAGAAAATATCCACAACCAAGTATTTGAAACTAGTATGGTATAGCAGAAAGAACTTTATAAAATGCTAATCATTGTTTTAAATAAAAAATATGGCTTGAGTAAAAGAAATTGTCAATTTTTCTTAAATGCCAAAACAAACTATCCCACTCTATGCAAGCCTGCGAGAACAACACAAAGCAAGCTAAAGAATAACGACCTATTTCTAGAGCTAAGATCTTGCCTTCAAGAGTGGGAGGGCTATGAGAACTGATGGCTGAAAGAGCTTTGGAAAAGCCCACACATTCCATGGAGAATACGACTACCTGGTGGGGGCTAGGCATAGCAAAGTGCCTTCCTGCCAAAGAAAGAAGAGAAAAATCTGTATTTGGAATAGAACAAATTCAAAGTGACAGAGTATTGCAAAAGAAATGAACATTTTAATAATAAGAAACAAATTCAAGTACATTAAATACCCTAGTCATCAATGCAGGAGTATGTTAAAGACTGAAAACTAGACCAGAAGCTTTACTATTTCATTTTCTTACATTATTATTTGCTGACTGTCTTGTATAACAGAAGCTTTCTGACACAAAATTAAAACATAATTACATCTAACAAAGCTATCCAGATGAATAAAGTTTCAGCTTTAAAAAAAAATGAGAGGAAGAAGAGATAAGAAAGGAAAAGGGGGAGGAAGAAGAGAGAGACAGGAAAAACTTACCAGATAAGCCTTTTGAGTGTGTCTGCACTCCTCCACCAAATACTGCAGACCACATATTTTCATTTAGGGGGTGGGCTACAATCCGAAACAGTTCATTACTAGAATGTGTTGCCAGCCCATGAATGAACAGACTAAGATACACTGCTGTGAGAATTTCACAAAGCAAGACTGTAAGTCCTGATTGGGCTTCTTCACCAGAAGAATTCAAAAGTTGTATTAGGCAATTTATTCCTAGGACCAAAAAAAAAAAAATCCTGCCATTAACAACAACAACAAAAACAACAACAACAACAAACTTTTAAAGTTAAAAATTAAACACTTCTTTTTACTTTTTGAGTTTTTGAAAAAATTTACTCCAATCAGCATTAAATAACCCCCTCTGGATTCATAACCAGTAGATTATTATGATTTAAGAGCAATTTCTGAAGTATCTGTGCAACTTAGATAAATTGAAAATTAAAACTTATGTCAAATCTCATAATTAAAACATTAGTAGCACAAATATTTTGATAAAATATTTCAAACTATTTAAGAAACAATTTAACAAAATGAGCTACTTTAATATAGCGATCAAAAAATACTTGTTTATTACTGTCTTGTGTAACAAGAGCTTTCTGTGACTAAATGAATTTGCGTTGAATTTGTAATGGTGTCAAATCTAGCAATATTTAACAATGATAATTGGCAAAATTAAACCAATCTGCTTTTTATCACTTAACAGTTCTAATAAGACGGAAAAAAACCTCATATATGTAAATTACTTATACCTGGCCATTGAGCTGGTGATGTGTTGGGAGTTACTGAGTCATCTAAACTTCCTGTTCTCAATGAATGTCGATGGGCAAGCAGTACTGTCTGATACACCATTCCAGTAAACTGATTTGTTTGAAATGAACTAAGAAAAGAAACAATATTTAAACCTAAGATAAATTCCATGTAATTCCATCCAACTTCAAAAGTACCTTAAACGGAAATTTTTGTTTAAGAATTATATTGCTTTTATGCCTAAGTTATAGGTTTTACGGCACTATACTGTTATTAATACACTATCCTCTAAAGTTGTAAACACACACATTCTAAATTAAAACAAATTTGACAAGTGTCTAGCATATTTTTTTAGTGAAAGATGAAAAGTACATTTTTAAAAAAGACATTTTGGGCAACAAGAAGCAAGCTTATATGTATGACTTTAAAACAAAGCTATTTCATTGAAAATGAGGTGAGTCTAGGCTCAATTTCATAGCTAATGGCTAGTCAACCCTCTATCTGGCACTGAACTAGGTAACTAAGCATATAGTAGAAATAGTTTCTATCCCCATAAAAGTTTTGCTATGATGGGGGAATCGGACAAAAATAATTTTATCATACTGCTATTGATAAAATTATATACATCACACTATGAAGGCAAAGGGGATAAGAATTACTATATATTTAAGAACTTACAGTAATTTAATGAGATTAAGTAAATAATAATAATAGTTTACCATAAACTATTTTAACATTATGATACCTAGCAGCAAAAAGAACTTATAAAAATCCTAGAAAGTAGTACTTCAGATGTTTCTATACTACATACTCAGTAAACAAATATAATATTTACACTTCAACAGACAGAGCCTTAAAAATGTTATACTTAGTGAATCTCACTAATCATAACATTTTCATATTTGTAAATAGATTCTTGGGCTTTATTTTCCAAATTTAAGATAGCAGAGTAATAACAAAAATTCCCTCAACTTGTAGAAATATTTATGATAAGAAGATAAAAACATGTTGATGAAAACAAACCAATATGCAATTACATAAATAAACTCAGGATCAGAGAAATAAAATTAAAGCTACCCTGGGAATACATAACCAGAGTGGTAAGTGGGGTTGTCCATGGACAATTTACAGAGATAAGATGAACTGACAACCAAAAACCAATATCGATGAGAGTTGATACCATTTAAGAGATAACAAACTCACCAAGACATCTCTACCCACAGAAGCAAACTTACTAAAGCAATTAAAAGGAATGTTATGCATAAAGAAGTTTTCTGAAGTCAAAACAAAGATAAAGTATAAAAATGGAAGACATAATTAAAAGAGATTGAGAAGGACATTACATACACAGTAAAATGGGAATCTCTTGATTTTCCCGCTACCCATGGATATACCGTAAACATCTATCAGTGGATTGGTTCCCTCTAAAAGAAAGTCAGAAACCAGTTGAGAATCCCCAGGCACTAGATAATTGAGAAAATATTTGTACCAAATAGGTAGGAAAAGCTATGACACAATTAGGTATGGAGTCACTTCGCGAAAAAATTGAGTAGGTAGGTATCTTCTTGTGAAGACAGGGAAATGGGAAGACCTCATGTTTCTTGAGAACTTTATTCATTAGTAGTGTTCACATCATATCTCTCTTCTTACTCAACTCTTTGTGTCCCTCCTATTCTTGCTAAAATTCATGACTTATTATTGCTATATGTACCCCCCCTTCTGTGTGTGTGTGTGTGTGTGTGTGTGTGTGTGTGTGTGTATGCCGACATACATACAATTCACTGAGTTCATTTAGAAATGCTTATATATTCATGTGGTTAGGGCTGGTAAGCTGGAAAAGGATAACCCACCAAGAGGTTTTTGTACCTGGCAAAAAACTCATTCTCCCTATCTCAGCAGTGACTGACTACTTTTTAACTCTTAGAGATGGGGCATATGAAATTTCCTCTCTCTATGCTGTTTAGGCAACCATACTGCTGAGATTTCATGTCTTCTTTCCTTTTCATGTCTAGAAGTCATTGTGCTGCAGCAGAAATCCTGGTTCTCTATCTCTTAAAAATCTTTCTGCCTCTTCTTGCATGATTTTCCTGAGCCTTATGTATAGAGTTTGGGTTATGATATATGTATCAACTGGAATTAGGCACCCCATGCTCAATTGTTATAAAACCTTGATTGATCAACTAAAGGAACAGAAAGAATTAGATGTAAAAGGCTACTCTAGTCTGAACAGGTACAAATGCACTACCAGGAAGTACTACTACCTAGAAGTAGGGACAGGACTTAAATAAAGTAAAACAACAGAGTTCCTCATCCTCTTAAACCACTGCTCCCACCACCAATTGACCTGGGGTTGACAAAAAGATCCCAGGCAAGAGTTACCGTGGCCTGGCTTTTAACCAACTTTAATTGAAAATTAAAGATACAATTATTAATCCTTCTTTGTGGTAAAATGGATGAATTCTAAGGACGTCATATTAAATAAAATAAGCTAGGCACAGAGAAATAAGATACTGTCAGTTTTTCACATATGCATGGATTTAATAAAAGTTATCTCACAGAAGCAGCTGAGTAGAATGGTGGTTACCAGAAACTAAGGAAAGGAGGGTAAAGCAGAGAGAGAGTTGTACAACAGGTACAAAACTTCAGTTAGACAGAGGAAGTTATTTCTAATGTTCCACAACACAGCATGGTGGCCACCATTAATATTGTGTGTGCTATTTCAAAATACCTATGATAGGATTTTGAATCTTATCACAAAGAATAATAAATATCTCAATACCCAGTTTTGATCACTGGGCATTGTATGCATTGTGATATCAAAAATATCCCATACTGTACTGCATAAATATGTACAACCAATATACATAAATTTAAAAACAAATTTGCAGTTTTAAAATGAAAAAAATATTTATTTAATATTTTATTTTGTTACATTTTGCTGTTACCTTTTAGAAGCCTGTTCTTTTCTAATGAGACAGACAGGAAGTTGACCTGGATGGAAGGTGAGGTGGAGTGGAACTGAATGAAGGGTGGGAATACTGTAATCAGGATATATTGTATGAGAGAGAATCTATTTTCAATAAAAAGAAAAAAAGCAAAAATTTCTAAAATATAAACATCTAGAGAGAAAAAATAGTATATATTGTAGAAGAATGCACCAATATCTAAAAAATTAAGCGAGGATTTGCATGGAAATGAAACCAATAGATAAAAGAATGAAGTTTAAAAAAGAAATGGACATATAAGTTTTAATATCTGTCTCAAAGAGTAAAAACCAGAAGACAGATAATATTTAAATAAATGTCAGAGAATTTCAAAGAATTAATGCTAGACTATACACTAGAATGTCAATTTTCAGACTTTTAAAATATTATACTGAATACAGAATATGAAAATTCCTAAACATGAAATTTGAAAAATTTCTCAATTTCATATTAATCACCCCTTTGTCTACGTGCCTCAGGCATTTTGCTGTATAACAAACTAAAGAATTTATCACTCAAGTATGATGTTTTATTACTTATCATCTATTCATCTGTTTTTAATGAGAACGTTCTTAAGGAATGAGTATTTTACCTATTTTTAATTTCTCAGTATCTATCACGGTATTTAGCATGACAGCAGTGATCAATTACAGGCAGCTAAATAAATTACAAAAACAAGAGTTAGCTTCAGTTTCCTTTGTCATAAAGGCATAAGCTGAAATTTCAAAGATGGAAAAAAAGTACATTTACTGAAAGCAGTGTTATGTATCATTTTGAGTTAATAACATATAGATAGGGACCCTCACTGTTTACTGAAAGTAATCTTAAATTCCATAAGAAGGTATTTACCTGTAGTTATGACTACCACAAAGGCACTGATAAATACAAGCAGAAAGTGAGGCTGCTAAAGTATGCATTACATATACCTGGAAAAAAAAAACAAAAAAAAAACAAAATACACAATTACTTTAAGTAGAATTTTTGTTTGTTTGTTTTTTGAGACAGGGTTTTCTCTTTGTAACAGCCCTAAATTTCCTGGAACTGGCTCTGTAGACCAGGCGGGTCTCAAATTCAAAGAGATCTTTCTGCTTCTGCCTCCCGAATACTGGGATTAAGGACGTGCACCTGTAAGCTACCATATTTGGATGCTTGGTTCCTAGTTGATCGACTGTTCAAGGATTAGGAGGAATGGTCTTGTTGGAGGAAGTTCTTCATTGGAGTGGGCTTTGCGGTTTCAAAGGCCCATGTCAAGCCCTGTTCCTCTCTACCTCCCTCTCTGCCTTCTGATTATGGATCAGGATATAAGCTCTCAGCTACTGCTCCAGCACCATGCCTGCCTGCCACCACATTCCCATCATAGTGATCATGGACTGACTTACATGCTGAAACTGTAAGAAATGCCCCAATATAATGCTTTTCTTTTATATGCTACCTTGGTCGGATGTCTCTTTTACAACATAGAATAGAAACTAAGACAGTCACACATGCCAATTACTGATAATTTCTTTCCCTCTTCCTCCGTTCCTATTCCACTGTACTTTTCATACATCCTATCAGTTTTACTTCATTGAAGAGACCAGTTTAACGCATTTGGCTTGCCTGCTGGAGGATGAGACACATAAAATTAAATCGTCTATCACCAGAAAATAAATGAGGCTATATCACCCAGAATCTAGTTACCCGAGATCACAAGCATAAACGAGTAAGTTCAGAAAATAGCCATGTTGGCTCAAAAAAGAAATGACAAGTCAACTGATGGAATGAAATTAAAGCCAGTCATATTTCAGGATAGTTCTTAACCAGCAACAGGAATTTAAGAAGGCAAAGCTAATATGATACAGCATGGATTCCTGTAATTAATGTTAATAGGCCAGCAGGGAAAGAATTTGTCAACAAGTCTGAGTTTGCTCCCTGAGCCCACATAGAAGAAAAGTGATTCTTAAGAGCTGTGCTCTAAGTTCCACCTGTGAGTTGTAGCATTCAAGTGTATATGCACACATACAAATTTATAAAATAAATGGATATATAAGTGTAATAAAATAACAGAAGTAAGAAATGTAGTTTGCTGAAAATGAGCAGTTTTTAGGAAACGAATTTCCAAACTATATAGTACATGCTTTATGGATTTCTACTGTAGAGTAATATAGTAAAAAAAGTGTGTGTGGGGGGGAACAAATAAATTGTAAAAATTGAGTATACTGAAGAGGGTAAAATTGTGGAAAGGAGATTTTACTATCAGTACAGCAGAAAATCAAACTAGTATGGTATCATAACCTGGAAGATAGCAGGAATTTTAAGACAATGTCAGAAAAAAAAAATCCCAAGGGATATGCCGAAAATGTCAATTAAACTCAGTCATTAAAGGAATCTTGAGAGGAAAGAAGAAATATAGTTTCAACAGAAAATAAAGTACAGTAAGATGGATTAGAAGATGGTGTGATCAATTAAATTATCTATAATAATATTAGCATATTTTAAAGAAGTTGCAAGTTTGTTAGTAAACTTATTCCTGAGCCTCTCTCACAAGTGATTCAATAAATCTGGAACAAATTTAGGAATTCAAACTTTTAGCAGATGATTCTACTAGGTAACAAGATGCCTCACGCTTTTTAAAATGTATAGCTCAGTATTGACATGGGAATAATTTAGTTACCTGTTAGTGCTTTTACACCAAAATATTAAGCATCTATCCTTTAAAAATTATAGTATTCCACCCATGGAAAGCATTCTACCCTTTATAAACTTAAGGAGGGGCCAGCAAGATAGCTCCAAACGTCTTGACCTGTCACCAAACCTGATGAAATGAGTTAAATCTCCAGAACGCACATGGTAGAGAGAGAACTGAGTTGTGCAAATGTCTTCTGACCTCCATATGGGCAGTGGCATGTGCGCACCAATACACATACACAAGACTTTGGATGCAAATCAAAAAGATTAAGGAGTCATTGATGTTTTATGTGTGTGAGTGTGTGTGTATATTTGTATGTATAAAAACAGTTAAAAATCTAATATATTTTACATTTTGGTGTATATTTAGATATATTAGGTATATAAATATATGCATACTTATATAAGTATATTATCTATTTATGTATATATAAATATACAGTAGATTTTTACCTGTGTTTATGTATAATTATTTATTGTGTGTGTCTTGACGTGGATATAGAGGTCATGGACAATTTGTACAACTTTCAGTAATCTCTTCTTCCACCATGTAGATACAAAGCATCTAGTGCAGGTTTTCAGGTTTGTAGTAAATGTCTTTAAAAAGTCATCTCTTTAGCCCAGCTATTTTAATTTTAATGAAGCTAATGAAGCTTAAACAATTGACACACAGAACTGAAAAAGAACTCAAGTATCCTATAAAACAGTAAGCCTGACCTAAAACCAGGGAATTGTTAATATAATTAATACTGTGTCTAATCTTGTATTTTGTTTTGATAGAAACTCTTATATCTTCAGAAAACAAGTAAATGAAGGTAGGAGGAGGCCTGCTCAGGAAAAGGAAAAATCAGAGCAAAAATAAACAAAAAAATTTTTTTTTAAATGAGTACGTAAGAAGAGGAGTGGTGTAACAGAGAGTGTGTGTGGAAAATACTGCTAAACGTTTTAGAGATGAATAAAATGTTAGAATAAAAAATTCTATCATTTTATCTAAATTATATACATTGGCAACAAAAAAGCTTTAAATGAAGCATACTTACTTTATTGCTTTGGCTATCAGGATGAGGTGGTGAATCAAAGTTTATTATGGCATGTAGAATATCATGTGTGAGATTACTAAGGTGCAGTAACGGATTGGCAACTACTGTTTTGGCACTGGCTGTACAAGCGAAGAGAAGAGGCACTGAAGTTTGTTCTGACAGAGGGTTAGGAAATACTGGCTCTGCCGTTTCCTTAAAAATAAAGAGAAAAAAAGTTAAACGACTATTTTTAGTTATACTCTACTCCTTAAGAAATTCAGGGGATCTTTCAAAAAGCTTCAAAATTAAAACTTAAAAGCATTCAGAGTACATATACCTTAAGTTGCTACAACCTGAGGACATAAATGTTTCTACAGTTGTAGCTCAAAAAGTAATACCCTTAGTACTCCTCCATAAGGTGATGCTCATTACCTCAGGTGTTCCTACAAACAAAGCAAGTCATAACACCTAACAAGACCTGTTCTGCAACTGTAACAGACAGCACCTCCAATTCCTACTATGACTACACACAGATTCATTCCTTAAAGCAACTGTAACACAGAAAATCAAGTATAAATATAAAATAAAAAACACAACACCAAAAGCTACTTCAGACAGGTAGTATCTTTCTCTTTAATTAAAGCTTTTAAAATTTTAATTAACATAATTATATTACTTCTCCTTCCCGTTCCTGTTCTATGTTTGACTAGTTAAAGTTATATACCTGCCAGCATGCTGGCACAAGCCTTTAATTCCAGCACCTGGGAGGTACCTGCAGAGGCAGGAGGATATCTGTGAGGTCAAGGTCAGTCTGGTCTATACTCTATACTATAGACTAGCTAAAGTTACAGGACACCTAGCATGGAAACAAAACAAAAAATGTTACATACCTGCTGAGATTCTTGCAAAAGTAAGATTAATTCCATTCTCACAGATGCAAGACCCCCACCATGAGAGCCATGAAGTACACAGTAACTAAGAAACATTCTCAAGAGTGACTGATACTTCAAGAGCCACTGTCTTTTTTCCTGGAAACTTTCTCTCCGTTGTTTCACTGTTGTTTGGTGGTGCAAATCATCAATATCCTCACTTAATCCAGATTCCCCTACACTTTGACTAAATGTGGTCTGCAGCTGGTCGGCACCTGAGCAAAAGTCACAGATCCTCTGAAGAGCTACCACCTCTTTTTCAAGCCAGTGGTAAAGTTGGTAACGCAATTTCCCACCATCTATTTCATAGCCAGTAGATAAAGTACGAAGTTCCACTGTGAGGATCTTTAAACATGCTCTAAATTTTAGTTGAACAGCAATTATATCTTCTGATGGATTTAAAATGTCATTTTCATCTAGTGTGCTTAAAGAGTCTGTGTAACTGCTTAATTCGTCTAATTTTTTATCTGCTTTTCTCGGCAAAGGTTTTATTTCTTTCATTGAAATAGGAAGATCTTCATTTTCTTCATCATTATCACTATCCCATTTCAATTCCAAAGAGTCATCCTGAAATACCACACTTGGTTGGCTCCAGTCAAAGGAAAAGGTAGAGTTTGACTGTCTCTCTGAGGAACCCTCTGAAGAAGACTCGAAACCATTCATCAGTGACTGTGACCAGTCAACAGCAGAAGACTCATCTTCTTTTGCATCTGACTGTACTGGAGTAGAGTCTTTCCTAGTAAAAAGACTAGACGCTCTACACAAGTGTTTTGTTTTCTTAACAACTTTAGGCATCTTTGACAATACTTCCAAAGCCAACATGGGGCAGCCAGATTTGAGGTGAGCACTAGCAGTACTAAAAAATAATCTTCTTTCATTTAGATTAATTGCTCCAGCCAATCCACTTTTTCCTCTTAAAGCCATGTGAGTTGAAAATGTATCAGTTGATCCAAAATGACGTCTTAGCAAAAGTGGATGTGTTCTTAGAAAATTGTAGAAATTAAAAACTACAGGATTACAGGCTGACATCACGACTTCATCTGAAAGCAAATTTACTTTGTAAGTCAAGAGAAGCTCAAGATCTGAACAGAGAATTTATGACTGTATAAAAAAATTCCCTCTTTTCTCTGAGGAAACTTGACCAGGTCCTTGGACAAATTATAATATTTTATATATATATGTATATATATATATATAATATAGACCACATTATTCCTTGTCACTGAACAGAAAAGATTTTACAATTGTATTTTAAACATAAACAATGCCTTCAGATAGATAGATTACTTAGCTCTTTTTCTCACTATTCCCTGGATACAATCTCTTCAGTCAGTTTGGCTAGTCCTTGTCTTCTCTGACCATAAATACTATATTTTAGCCACACTCCCCAAGTTAAACTCACAACAGTCCCATAATCTTAAACACCATTTATATGTTGTTAATTTGCACATCTCTATCTCCTGTTTCCCAATTCCCCACAGCATTTCCACTTAAATACAAAAACACTTTTGCCCTGGGGTGGCTTATCTGATGTGCCCTTGGTCCATACCACTATTTATCCACCTACCTCTTTTGATTAACTTGCTTCTTTCAACTCGTTCTCTGCCCAAAAGATCATCTAACTGGAGAAGGTTTCTTGATCTAATCAGTGCTCCATCATATCATTCACTATTAGTCAAGCTAAAAATCTAGGAGTTACCCGTAATTTCTTAACCTTTGACACTCCATATAAAATTCAGTCCTGTGCAGTCAATCTAAAATTATCCCATATTCAAATATTTCTTTCTGCCTGAAATACTATCTCACTAGTACTATCTTAAACCAGTATTATCACTTGTCTTTCAAAAGAATCCCGATTTAAATGGTTCTAGAAATGTAATCTTGCATTAATCACACAATCACACACACAAACATTTACATATTTTCAAAAAACAAGAAGGCATGAAAGTTTAATAAAGCGATGTTTTCCCTCCATTATGAAGAAGCCAATTTGAAAATCTTTACCTCATGTGACTACTGAAGGGACAACAGTAAGTTGTTCCAGCAGCCAGATGTTTGCTAAGACCTCTGCCCCACATTACCCCACCTATATTGACTCATGTCTGGCTTCAACTAGACCCTCAGCAAGTAGATCCAGTCTTGTAACCAGTCAGGGTCCTACCTGGCCACAAGCAGGAACAGGTCTTGCTATTTTCAGTCAAATAGACTTGACACAGCAGACAAATCCCTGACACCACAACCACAGTTGCTCACCAGATGTCAATCACAAAATGATTCCTCTATCAATAAGGGTCTATACCTAATCACTTCAAAGTACACTTACCCAGAGCTGAAATTTTCCTAAGTAGGCTTAAAAGGGGCTGCCTTACCCTCCCCTGGGGTCAAACCCCAGGGGAATCCCAGCATGCTAGCCTTTTTTGTCTCAAGAATAAACCTGCCTTCTGCAATTGCAGATCGGGTGTCTTCTAGTTATTTGGAACCATCTAAGGACCCTTTAGCTACGAGACTTAAATACCCAAGTCTCATGGCTTTCTTTTGAGTGTAAAAAGATACTTCCTAATTAAATAGTGCTACATAAAAAGTTATAAACTAGAAGCTATTTTACTTACTGTTCCAAATGATACACTCACTACTAAGCCAGCTACAACATACCATTCAATCCTGCCTATGGAGAAATATTGGTAAAGTAAGTCCCACCATTTTTACATGACTTCATAGAAAGAATTTCACTTTAAAGTAGGCTATAAGAATGTTTCACAATCAGGCATGGTGGCACATGCCTTTAATCCCAGCACTCCAGTGGAAGAGGCAGGTGGATCTGTGAGTTCAAGCCAGCATGGTTTAGAGAGCTAGATCCAGGATAGTCATGGCTGTTACACACACACACACACACACACACACACACACACACACACGCGCGCGCGCGCGCCCTGCTTAAAAAGAATGTTTCCTGCATAAGTGTGTATGCACACATGCATGCACTCACACACACACCCAGAAAGAAAACGAGAAGTAGAGTTCTAAAGGGCATATTTAAAATAACCTATATGCCACTGATCCTAAGAAAACAATAGTCAAGGATTTTTCCAGTTTAAGCTTCTCCTATCACATCTATTAAGTCAGCTTTCTTGTCACTGAATTTTTCTTGTAAGAATTATAAAACTGATTAACAAATTAACAAGTGTAATAACTCAACCAAATATTAAAAATTGGCTTTATATTATTATCATTTCTCCGAAGTATTTAAAATCAACTGTTGGTACTATTTATGTTCAATACATTTAGTTCATAAAACAGAAAATCTAAAGTTCTTGGCTTTAAATAGTTTATCTTTCTGAAATAATAAAACCCCACTTAGTCACAAAAACCAAAAAATTAATATGCAGTATTACATTAAACCAGAAAGTGGACTACATTTTCATAAAATAATAACATTTTTATTAAAATCTAGGAAGTGTCACCTTACCTTCATTCTCTGTAACTGGCTGCTTTATTAATGTCTCCAGAGCAGCGCTATAATCCTCTAAAATCCAATGTGCCATACTCCGAAGAAAGGGGTCACGATGTGCATTTAGGTTTGATGAACTGAGTTCACTGACTGGAGAACCAATTCCCAACACTTTTTTACGTAAAATAGATTTGTATGTTGCAGACTTATCAAATTCAGATTCAAACAGTCTTGCTATTACAAGAGCCAACTGAATGTCATTCAGTTTCTCAAGACATACCTTAAAAAATATTGTTTATAAATAAAGTCAGCTTTTAAGAAGAACTCAACCTATTTACCGAAAATGTATAAGGATTTATTAATCTCTAAACATTACAAACTATAAATGCAATACTGGTATGTATATTGTCTACTTTAGTAAATTAACATTTATAACATCTGCAAATCTATTTATCACTACTAAGCATGCATTTACAAAGTAATTTGACCTGAGGAAACGGATAACTCTAGTCAGTATAAATCTATAATTTTTATTATTGAAACTTGCTCTTCTGAATTCACCTGAGCAGATTAGAATTTTAAAATTAAAAAGATTTTTTCTCAAATCTAATAAGTAAAAGAGCCAGATATACTTCATGTGCAGAGTCATATGAATTACTCATTTTACAAAACTTGCTTTATCAGTTCTGTAAAATACTGCTCTAGGTAAAAGATAAAATATAAAAGCTACTATAAAATATTATCAGTAACTTTAGGCACTTAGCCTCATATTTCTACCAGTTAAATTAAAATTTAGAAAATTAAGATTTAGGTGAACTGCTTAAGGAAATGATAATGCTAATTAAAAAGAAAGTTTACCTCAATTGCATCTCTGAGGCAACCACCTAGAAGAAAAAAGGCTGCAGAATGTTCAAACCTTTGCTTGCCTAATAAAGAAAAGGCATTTTTCAAAGCTGCTTTACGCCACCTCTCTTCTTCAAAATTGTGTCCAAAAAACTGTGTCATTTTGGTGTCTTTTTGAGATCTATAAAGGAAAAAAATGCATAAAATTTTAAAATACTACTTTGGAATCAGCCTTTTACATTTAGGACTTTCAGTGAGTAAGATGGGTAATTTGAAGGCAATCTGTAGTGCAGACTAAGATCCAGTTACAAAAAAAAAAAGTTATAAAAATGAAAACGAAATATTTGCCAGTTCACAAATTACTATGAATCTGCATCTTCATCAGTAAAATAAGATTAAGCATTTACTTTTATATATAAATCTCACAAATTATTTAAAAGGTCTCTTACAAATTGCAAAGTGATCTGCATTTGCAGCACTCAGACAAAAATCACCTTTAAATTCATGCAGATTAATTTTACTAATGCATACTTCATTAAGATAATTAATTTACACATTAATATTTACGCTAGTATAAAATTAAAACCTCATCAATAGTTGTGTTCTACCTATTTGGAAATGAGTTTGCTAACCAAAACTCAATGGAAGCTGATAGAAAACAATCCTGAAAAACCTTAGATTCTTAGAAAACTCATATATTCAATATAAAAAATTTCCCCAGAAGTTGCCATTCTGAAACAGAATCTTCAACAAATGGTACTCTTGGAGTGGTTGCGGTTGACAAGTGAGAAGAAGAAATGACAGCACCTAGAAGAGTAACAGTCTGAGGTATACCCTGACCCATGTCCTTTAGTAGCAGAGGACAGATGCTTATCCCAGACTCCACTATCTTCTCCTCCTCCCCAATGCTGATGCAAATTCATCTTGACACATTTGTTTTCTACTCCACTTCCTTCCTCCCTGCTTCTTGGTGGATGAGGGAGATATTCTTAGAATAATCAAATAAGAAACAAACTTGTTTTTAGACTGATAAATGCTAAAACAAACTTAAGTAACATCATTTGGTTTCTTTTAACATGGAACACACACTTTAACACAAAAGGCAATAAGAATATATTTAATAAAAACATGTTTTACTTATGCATTCATTCTGAATGAGAAGTGACTTTTAGCTATAAAGGTCTTTCACTTACCTATATAATCCCCAAATCACAGCTTTTTTTTTCATGGCGAGGTAAAAAATTGCAGCATCTAAAGGATCATTATTTCTATGAAAGGCTGCTTTGGCTACCTACAATTGGAAAACAGTAGTCAATCTTTTAAAGAAGTAGTTTGGGAATGAACAAATAATTGCTCTTACACATAAGATTAGTACATGCTATTTCTATGTTAAATAAGCACACAAATAAGCATATATGCATAAATAAGTGCAAGCATATAGATATAACTAGTACGTGTACACTTATAGTAGCAGAGTACACACAGAAGAGATGACAGGGCTATAGAAGCCTTCCTAAACTATTGTATTTTTCTAAACAAATACTTCAGAAATTAAGAAGTATACTAGTAAATAAATGTGTTAACTAGAGGTTGAGAATAGATAGGCCTAGTGGCAAAGGCCTAGATTCACAACAGCTCAAGAGTTTGAGACAGAATTGCACATTCAAGGCCAGCATCTGCAATGTACTGAAATCATTAAATGTTTTTTTAAAACAAGAGGCTTGATTCTGAACTTTGTTCACTGATATAATGCAGGCCTAGCATTCATAAGGCCCTACATTTAATACCCAATAACACAGCACACCAGACAAAAATTATGAAGCTGTTTCTAAAACAAAATGGAATAACTAATATAGAAGACAGGATGCCATTAAACAAATATTCAAAATATACTATTTTAAGTCCAAATAAAAATTTACCTTTTCTATGCATTTGCGCAAGATGCGAGAATTGCGAACCCACCATCCCACACCCATTGCTCTAAGTTCAGACCAAGTCGGATCATCTTTCTGCATGACTGGCAACATATTCAGCAGTTCTTCTTCTGCTACCGAGTGAAATGCCCAAGCAAAATGACCAGTAGAGAGGCCTGAAATGTCAAAAAAGACACTTATAAACAATGCAAAAATTATACAATGATTATCAGAAATATTTATAATATTTGCACAATAAACATATAAATGGTTTTATGTTTTTATTTACACAAATTAGCTCCAAATAACCTCAGTTAATATGTCTATGAATTGTGTATATTAATTAAGACAAACCAGGTACTCAAATGACATATGACAGAGTCCTTTTACCATAACAGATGGAAGAATAAAATCCTGGAAATAGCACAAGAAATGATTTAAGGAACCGTTCATCACTATCCTGTGTGTATGATTTGAGAAACCATTTCTAGGTTTATTATTTCTGTGGCAACTTGAAACTGTGATGGTGACAAGCTTGAACTGGAAACAGATGCTCTGGGTCACAGACTTGCTCTCTCAGTTCAGGCCTTTTGCTCTTGAGAAATATCTGACTTACAAACTTTGCAAATTGCTACATGCATCAGTGAGAAGCCCTGTCGCCTTTCAAAGCTTTTTCCAGACTCATAACTATAGTCTTTATTGTTCCTAGAAATGTGACTTAGTTTTTACTCCAATGATACCAATTCACATCTATTTCTTTGAAAACACAGAACACGTATGGGAAATGTCACTGTGCTGCTCTGGATATTACCCACAGACTTCCTGAGAACATAAGAAGCACTTGAAGCACTGTTACATGGGGGTGTGCTTTCCTCTTTAGTACTGCTTCTCTTTTCTCTCAAACATCTGTTCTAGATGTTCTACTCCATAGAATTAAAGAAATTCATGGAATCAAAGAAAAAGTATAACTCAGTAGGCTAAGCACAGTACTACAAAGACTCTCAAATTAGAACATGTACATAATATTTCAGGTATATTACAAAATAAAATATATAATCTTGGGAAAGTTATTATATTTTTAATGACTCTGGTTTTTATTACGAAAATGTGAATAAAGGGTTGGAGAAATGGTTCTGTGGCTAAGAGCACTGGTTGTTCTTCTAGAGAACTCAGATTCAAGTCTCAGTACCCATATGGCAGCTCTCAAGTGTCTGTAATTCCAGTTCTAGGGAATCTGACACACTCATATATACACACAGACATAACACCAATGCACATAAAATAAAAAATGAATCATTTAAAAAACAAACAAAATATCATGGGGGTGGTGGCTCATGCCTTTAATTCCAGCATTGGGAAGGCAGAGGTAGGAGATCTCTGAGTTCAAGGCCAGACTGGTGAAAGAGCGAGTTTCAGGACATCCAAAACTACACAAAGAAACCCTGTCTTAGAAAAAACAAACAAACAAAAAGAAAATGTGCTTAGTTATAATATATGTAGATATATATGACATATATAACAGTATTAAGGATTGAATAAAATAATCCAATTAAGTAATACAGAATATCGGACCCATAACCATGGCTCTTATGCTGCCTCATCATGTTGATAGGATATTTTAATATTGATATTTAACATTTGTGTAGGCAAGCTAATGATCAGTACAGGTAACAATGCTCAGTTTCTATTCTGTCTTTTCATGCTATGTTTTGTTTAATATTACTAGGCAAAATAAATGTTTGTTTACAAGACATGACTTTAACATATATGGCTTCACATTTTTAACCTATGATAAGGAATAATTTCTTTTACTTGAACAGATATTACACTCTATTCTGACTGCAGCAATGTTCATAAGATGTGGAAACAACCTAAATACCCATCTGAAGAAGCACGGTTTTAAAAATACAATCTCTCATACAATGGAATAGGAAATTCTACAATATGTAACATAAAATTTGAAGACATTATACTAAGCAAAACAAATGAGTCATATTATTGGTAAGTACTGTATTATTCTACTCACATAATTTATCTCAAAGAAAAAAATTCATAGAATCAACAGACTACAATGATGGTTTGAGGGGCCGAGAAGACGGGAATCATGAGGCATCGTGGTTTATCAAATAAAATGAATAAACTATAGATTTCCGCTATACAAAATTGTAGCAATGGTCAACAATAATGTATTGTCTTCTTATAAACTTATTTTAAAGGTTGACTGCATGTAGTATAAAGAATATCAACACTGGAAAAAAGATTAAGTATAAGCAGATAGAAAAGTTAATAAATATCTAAAAGAAATAATAGCCGGGCGGTGGTGGCGCATGCCTTTAATCCCAGCACTCGGAGGCAGAGGCAGGCGGATCTCTGTGAGTTCGAGGCCAGCCTGGTCTACAAGAGCTAGTTCCAGGACAGGCTCCAAAACCACAGAGAAACCCCGTCTCGAAAAAAAACAAACAAACAAAAAATCAAAATTTAAATTAAGAATGCCATCACTAAATGAGTCATCAGTAGGCTCAAAACAATCAAAACTGGGCAGTGGGGGACTCACCACGCCTTTAATCCCAGCACTGGGGAGGCAGAGGGAGGTGGACCTCTGAGTTCAAGGCCAGCCTGGTCTACAAAGCTAGTTCCAGGACTGTTGTTACACAGAGAAACTCTGTCTTGAAAAAAATCGAAAAAGAAAAAAAAGGAACGAACACAATCAAAATAGAGTCTCAAGAACTGTGAGTTTGTTTTTAAGTATAGTTGAGCTACCAGCAGAACAGAAAAAAAGAAAAATAAATTTTTCAATCAATAATGGCTGAGACCATTCTGAAATTAATCACAATCAAGGATGCTCAAAGAGCACAAAACAGGCCCAAACAACCTGCAAGCTTCATGACTTTGACAATGATTGCAGTACAGACAACAAAAATAGACAAATGGAACATAAAACTAAAATACTGATAGCAAAGAAAGATGGCAAGAATAGAAACAGCCTATAGACTAAGAGAAAGTACTTGCAATCTGTACATCTGATAAAAAATTAATATCAAGGAAGGGTGTGGTGGCACACAAATTTAATCCCAGTATCTCTGTGATACGGGTAGCCTAACTGGATCTCCACCTCTCCCTTCTCTATCCCAAATCCAATTCCCAAGTCTCACTCCCATCTCTGCAGCAGATCACCTGCTGTCATCTCCAGCCTGAGACAGATTTCCTCTTCCAGTCTTCTTCCCCACTCCTCCTATTATGCTAGTCTTCTAAGGATAGCAGGCATTCTCTGGAAACCATCTAAACAACTTTCCAGACATGCTAGCAAGCCTGGGAAGCAGGTAGACAAGTTTTAGATCTTCAACCTTCTCTCCTTCAAATCCATCTTCCCATCCCCCCATCTCATGTACAGCTTTTTAACAGACTACCTGTTTTGGCCTCTCTTCTTTCTGTCCCCATTTCTAGGAGAACAAGCAGATCCTGGTGGTTCCCTTTAGGGTCCTACCAATCCATTCCCATTACTAAGTGAGAATTCCTAATACCTAGAAACATATTTTACCTTGAAACCAGTGGCCACATCTAGCAGAATCCCAGAATTTCTTACCAGGCAATACAGGGCCACAACACATTCCCAAGAACCACGCAGGGCAGCAGAAACCTAGGAACAAAACATGTACCCACCAAAGACAAGACCTAGAATTTCAACACCTAGAATTTCAGTTGTCCCAAACAGAGATGTTTAGATTCCAATACAGGCCAGGAAATGCGTCTCTAAAAGGACACAGCAACCCTGCCACAGTAGGCACTGAGAACTGCAACATAGCTGAAGTACAAGATAAAGACCTTAAAATAGTCTTTTGACTATGCTAGAGGTCCTTTTGGAGGAAATGACTAAAGCCATAAGTAAATCTATGAAAACACAAACAAACGATGGGAGGAAATGATTAAAATACTTTAAGACCTGGATCAATAAAGAAAACCCAAACTAAGGGAAATTTGGAAACAAAATATTTAGTAATTCAAACAGGAATCCCAGAGGAAAACCTCACCAACAGAATACAAGCGATGGAACTGAAAGTGTCAGGCATTAAAGACACAAAAGAAGAAATGGCTTACTTGGTCAAAGAAAATGTTAAATCAAAAAGATCTGCCCCCCCCCAATCAAGAAAAAGATTAAATAAAAGACCAAATCTAAGAATAACAGGAATATAGGAAAGAGGCCTTTAATCTTTAATCTCAAGACTCAAGAGGCACAGGCATACAGGCAGGAGGATTTCTGTAAGCTCAAAGCCAACCTGGTCTACAAAGCGAATTCCAAAACAGGAAGGGCAGTTACACAGAGAAACCCTGTTTTAAAGCCCTCCCTCCCCCCCCCAAAAAAAGATGATTCACCAGTAAAGGATGTAGAATGATGCTCATGTACACTGTAAAGATTTGTCACTTGTATTGGTTTAATAAAACACTGATTGGCCAGTAGCCTGGCAGCAAGTATAAATGAGGCAACCAGACTCAGAAAAATTCTGGGAAGAAGAAAGGCAGAGATGCAGTCCCCAGCCAGATGCACAGGAAGCAAGATGAGAATGCCTTACTGAGAAAAGATACCAAACCATGAAGCTAAACACAGATAAGAATTGTGGGTTAATTTAAGTTGTAAGAGCTAGTTAATAAGCCTGAACTAATAGGTCAAACAATTTATAATTAATACAAACCGCTATTTCTTTTGGACTTAATAGCTGTGGGACTGCGCAAGACAGAAGCTTCAATCTACAGGTAAATACACAGAATACATGTTTAATACTCCAAACCTCCAGTAAAGTGTAAATTAAAATCACAATGTGACATGACCTATTATCTGGAAGAAAGATACTATATCAAAAGATAAAATCCTTCTTTTCAAGAACTTAGAGAAAAAGGGAACACCATATGATCCTGGTGAGAATGAAAATTGTCATAGATATTATGGAAAACTATATAGCATTGCTTTATAAAACTAGAAATAAAATTGCCATGTGGGTCAATATTCCTACTTTCAGATACAATCTTAAAAAGATTTGAAATTAGCATGTTAAAGAGTGAATGCATCCAATGTTCATTGCAATATTATAATAGCTCTGTTAAAAATGCATCTAAAATGTCTTACTAATGGGTAAATAGGTAAAGAAAATGTATATATTCATAATGGAATAGAATCCTAGTATCTTAAAAAAAATTCTGTTACTTGCAACAACGTGAATAAACCTGGAGAACATTGTGCTAAATGAAAGGCAGAAAAAGACAAATACTTCATTATTCTATTTATATGCAGAATCCATATTGCATCTTATACAGGCAGAGGATAGAATGGTGGCTACCAAAACCTGCTGGTAGGGCAGTGGGGAGACACTCACCAAGGAGAAATGTTTATGAGTTCTAATGAGTAGCATGGTTACTATCTTTTTTTAAAAAAATCAACTGTTCATTTTACACTTATGAAAAGTAAATTTCAAATGTTTTCACTAAAAAATTAAGTATTTAAGTGACTGATTGTGTTGACTAATTAATGGTTAACTTGATAGAATCTAGAATCACCTGAGAGGTGGATCTCTAGAAATGCTTGTAGCGATAATTATCTTGCTAATATCAAATAAGGTGAGTAAACTGAGGTGGGTAGAATGCAAAATATGGGTGAAGGCAAGCAGAAAGTGAAACACAGAAACAAAGGGAAAAGATATATATATATATATCACTGAGTAAATTGCCTTACCAGCATGGCCCAAGTCCCACTGTTAATAACAATGTAGCCAGTAATGCTGCTGGCACCATGCACTAACTTCAAATTCCTGAGTACTGAGACCATGTATATCTGGATTTAATGTAACATCACTGAGGTCTGTTAGTTGTAATCAATCACATGTATATCAGATTATAATATTTGTAATACTCTCATGTTAGTTGTGTTGGGAATATACACTAATTTTACCAGTTTAGTGGGTGGATAAATCTTATTCTTTACTTCCTTCCTTTTGTCCTATCAAATCTCTCTTTTTCATTCCTGGTATCTCCATGCAATGAATAGCAAAATCACCTTGGTGAAGGAGTTGAGCTCGGTAGGCTGGAAGGGAAGTTGTAAGAAAGGTATGGAGTCGAACAGCCAAAAGAAACTTTAATCCACATTCATCTAGAGTTTCTCCACCTATAACCAGAAAAAAAAAGTAAACTTTTGTGTTTACTTTAAAAAAAAAAAACTATATGCAAATGCAATACTAAAACTACTGTATAAGCATAAAATACTAAAAATTTTTATAATTAACATGCCACAATACCATATATAAGAACAAAACATTCTTAATCTTTTTTTTTTTTTTGGAACATTCTTAATCTTGGAAAAAAGTTTACTTGTGGCACATGCCTTTAATCCCAGCACTCAGGAGGCAGAGGCAGGCGGATCTCTGTGAGTTCGAGACCAGCCTGGTCTACAAGAGCTAGTTCCAGGAGAGGCTCCAAAACCTCAGAGAAACCCTGTTTCGAAAAACCCAAAAAAAAAAAAAAAAAAAAAAAAAAATTCTAGCATTTTTTTTCTATAAGCATTCTTATATCAGAAAACAGCGCTAAATAACTGAAAACTAAAGATGAGAATGAATTGACTTAAAGTCTATTAACATTCTTTATAATCTGACCTCCTTTGATCTGAAACTTTTATTTTTAATGAGTTTAATGCTTTCTGTGGTTATGTTAAAGTAATGTTTACTATAATGGATTCAAATCATATCTGAATCCCAATAATCAGCTGTACTGGAGGAAATGGTATTATGCTAATCCTGATTTTAAGTTCTGATTTTTTCCTTTATATGATTAAAAATAATAGCAACATACTCATAGTAAACATATTAAAATAAACATAACATATATAAAATTAGGATCTATTAGTAATACCCTCTAAAGTATAAACTACCTTAATCCCAGCACTCAGGAGGTAGATGCAGGCAGATCTCTGTGAGTTCGAGACCAGCCTGGTCTACAGAGCTAGTTCCAGGACAGGCTCCAAAACCACAGAGAAACTACCTTTTTTTAAATTTAAACCATTTTGAAAGAACTTTAATCCTTATTTTCTTGCCAAGCTTAGGTCAATAGTCAATCCTACTAAGCAATATATCTGATTTAAAATAATGGACTTGCTAATTTCAGACTTTAAGATATGATAGAAAATTTCCATTTAAATATGCTTAAGTGTGCTCATAGCTTAGATTTTAAAAAATGCTCTCTGGGTAATGAAGATATAATCCTCTTGTTTTTACATTTGTTATTCTAGGCAGGAGTACACAAAAACGCTAATTTTTTAAAAATGTTGAATCAAACTGTAATGTTTTACAGTTGATTATCTTCACAGAAGGGGGAAAAACAAACACTTAAATTTCAACTATATTAATAATCTGTACTTTTGCAAAAACTGATGAGGTTCAGTTGGAACTTCTGTATCTGTACTGAGCAATTATTATTGATGACTGGTATGAATTTGTGAAAGATGAATTTTTTGCAGTAACTTTCTAAAAAGGTCCCTCATAATATCATTTTTATTAAAATTATGTAAGATTGGTTTCTATAAAAGTAAGTAAAATTATCTTTATTCCCTCTCCCTTTGTACAGAGTTTACTTTTACCTTGACTTCTGTCTCGGCTTTCTCCAATATCAGTGCTTGTAGTTGCAATTGTATCTGCTAAGGCCATCAAAGACATCTGTTCCATCCGGCTGAGTCCTGGTAAACTAGAATGCAGTAAATGGCCAGAAAGAACCTGTGCATGCTCAGGACCAAAGTAAGTTGGACTGTATTGTGAAAGGTCAATAACTTTGGGCTTCGTATTTTCTTCATCTGTCTCTAACATGTGACTATCAGAGAGAACTGAAGGCTGGAAAAGCTCATCATAATTTTCTTGTGAAAACTGTTTATTTTTACTTGAGGAACTTTCATTACTAAACTTTTCCAGAGATGAGTGATAGCTATCATCATCCGCAGCAAGTAAGGCATATAAAGGAAGTGGAGGGACAGAATCTATTTCTGTGTAATCTGTGTTTTCAGCTTTGTTGAATGCCTGTGGGTCTCTGGTGGTGCTTCCACTAGCACTGATGGTGAGAGACCTAATACGACGCTCATGATTGGATTCAGTTTCATTCAGAGCCACAACTTCCCCAGCAATGCATTTGACAAGATGTGACAAGATAGCCTTGGCTCTCCGGACTTTGCCAAGATCCATGAGTTCCAGAAGTTGCAATGGATGGTATTGAGGTAAAGTTGGAGAAAGTACGTGAGCTGATTCAAAAAGACCGGAATCTTCCATATCCACTGAAGGGTCAAACGTAGTTTTCTTTCCACAGATTTTCTGTGCAAGACTGGTCATGGATCGAGTAAGAGTTTTCTTTGGAGGATGTAGACCAGAACTTGAAGAGTTACTTTGTTTTATTAAGCTTAGTATAGATGGAGTGCTTCCATTGCATGAATCTGTTGTAGCAGGTTCTTGTTTATAAGATGGCTGCCACTGGGAATATACATGCATTTCACAATCCATTCCTACCACAAGGATGCCATCCCGGACCCATGATAAAGAAACAGGGAATGGTGGGGCACCTTCCACAGAAGAAACCAAGTCCACACTTCGTAAAAGTACAAATTTAGAAAGAGGTACAATTTTAGTACTCTCCCAAAGAGGAAATGTCTGGTTCTCCTTACCAGTTTGTTCTTGTACCTTGCCAGCCAGAGGTCCATACATAAAAAGTTTTGAGCCAACTCCTACAGTCAAGATATGAGAACCATCTTCTCTAGACATCCAGTCTAAGTGAACCAAATGCTTTGTGTTTGATGTAATACTTTCTTTACTGAATATATATGTCTCTTGTTTATTATAGGCCACTAAATTGCTATCAATACTAATGCCAGAATCCAATACTGTATTTAACTCATCTAAATAAATAGTCTGTTCAAGGACCCAGCATGAACCTCCTGTAGACTCACATTCAAAAATACCTACATGCATTACAAATTCCTGAGATTTACTACTAGATGTAGGCTGTTTATAAGCTACTGCTAAACGATTAGTATGTGCACAGCTCACTTCTACAGGTCTACCAGGTACAGTTATACTACTATTGCTCTGAAGTCCATCTTCAATGAGTAACGGCCATTCTTCCCAAATATACACAAGATCCATTTTTCCATTCTTTGATGTAGCCGATTCTCCATCTGTTACTCTGCATCGCCAAAATCTTACTTTATCATCTGAGCATGAAGTTGCCAACAAATAAGGGGCACTGCACGCAGGATATATGGAAGATGAACTCAGGTGTCCTAGAAAGAAAAGGAGCCATTAAAATTATATTTTCTATGTATTAAAAGTTTAAGCTGTTTTGCTGAAAACTACTGTTAAGCCCATGATCAGGCTTTTAATGACACCAAGATACTATATAGTACAGGGCTGTGAGTTAAATTCCAGAACTTTACATGGTAGGAGAATAGAACAGACTAATGCAAGTTGTCCTGAGTTTCATATGTGTTCATGCACATACCCAAACACACACACACAAATATATATAAAGAGGAGTAATACAAAAAAGTCACCAAAATTTAGAACTAAAAATGAATTCAGAAAATTTATTTCAATCCTTACATTTTATAGGTTAAAGCCCGACAACCCGACAATAGACATTAAATGTGTTCTAACTAAACTGAACAACTGTACTATTTAAAGGATTATTGAAAATTTAGTTATTATCCTGATTCTGTACCCATAGGTATAGTTTTATACCTATGTATCTCATTTTAAAAATATATTGATATTTGTCATGGTTCTCTAGCTCCATATTCTTCGTATTTTTCAATATAAGTATGACTGCCCAAGCTTCTGGTCACTTTAGAGGTTTTTTTTTTTTTTAAAACAAATTTTATTATATGACAATTTCATGCTTGTACTGCAAGATATTCTGATTCTCTCACTCCTCACCTTCTCTTTTCTCCCTCCCATCAGGACCACCCACCCAACCACCTCCACCAATGTCTTTCCTAAGTTCATGACTTTCAATTTTGTTTTGTGACCTAACAAGCTTAAACAAGGTCATTTGTGACACTAGTGGATTAATACTAGTCATGGAATCTGGTGACAGATGTAGGATCTCTATTACAACTACTCAACTGTGTCACTGTAGAGTAAAATCAAATATATCCAACAGCAGACAAAGGGTATAACTATAAACTGCCAAATTTATTTGTAAAATATAGGTAAAGGGGCTAGGGAGACAGCTCAGTCAATACAGTGCCTAATGCACAAGTACAAGGATCTGAGGTTGGGTATTCAGATCCCATGTAAAAAGCTCGACAGGAAACACATCAATTAGGAAGCTAATTGTAAAACAAACAAACAAAAACAAAAAAAAAAACTATTTAAAAGACTTTAAATGGAATTATCCTATATATATGTGGACAGTGTCACTTCCAGAATAAATAAAAATGACAGGTGTGGTATATCTCCTTATGAGATCTTGGTCAGAGAAGTCCTAGAGGTCTACAAAACAATACAGAATATTGCCCTTGTCCTTGATTACCCACCACTGCTAAACACTGTCACTCTATTGCTGAAGACACTGCATGCACTGGCTACAGGATATAGAGAAATCAAAGTCAAACTGTCCAGGTAAATTCCTCCACAGTAGTGAGCTTTCACAATGTGAAGATGCTATGCAGGATTAAGAAAAGACATTAATGGTCTTATCCAGCTCTGAATCATACATGTTACAATATGGACCTATCACGCAACATATGCCAGCTTCTGCAATAGTGGCATTACTGTTAAAGAGTGTTAACTAAATGATTGGATTTGAAGGCTGCTCTACAAGAGAAAATGTTATACCCTGTACGATAATCCTACAGAAAAGACCATGAGTGTTATCTATTATTATTATTTTGCTAAATGGTCATGCTATCCAATTGCTATTTAAATCTTTATGTTTATACCTATAACCTAGGCTGCTCTGAACCTTGATAGAGAAGCCTCTTCTTGGAGTGGGCAGTCAATGGAATGATGCATAACTGGTGATAAGAGACTGAGTACTCAGCCCTAAATGAGATAGATACTTATATCAACTCCCCTCTTCCAAGCTCATGAAATATCATTGAAGAGAAGGCAGAAAGAATCTATGAGTCAGCGGAAGGATGTGGAGTTTTGTAAAATACTACTTTCTGGATATGACATGGCTATCACACTCATGAACTCAAGCAGCTGTGATTACCTGCACAAAATAAAACCAGCCAAACTTCTGGCATAGATAGATAGATGGTATCCAGGTACTTACTGCTCCTTATTGAGGATGTGGGGAATTCTAATACCTCACACGTATGAACATATGGGCAGCACTAACTGGACTAAGTGGGTTACTTAAAAAAATAAAAAAAGGACATATAGTGGGAAAGGGGCATGTTAAAGTAGATATAGATGGAGTTAAAGGAGGAAAATAAGGGTTATATATGATCATATTTCACTGTATATGAATGAAATAGCCAAGAATAAAATTAGAATGGAAAGAAAAAAAAAGTAGAAATAGGAGCTCCTTAGCTTTTTGGGGAAGAAGTGGGAAGGAAGAAGTAGCTCCCTGAAACTCAATGGCTGGCCTAGCTCAGATAATGAGCTTCAGGTTCAGTGAGAGACCCCCCACCTTGAAAAATAAAGGTGGAAGGCTAGAGAGAGAGAGAGTTCAGCAGTTAAGAGCTCACACTATTCTTGCAGAAGGCCTAAGTTTGATTCTCAGGACCCATGTCAAGGAGTTTACAACCACTGGAAACTCTAGCTTTGGAGATCAGGCTGGTCTTCATAAACACCTGCATTCACGTGTGCATACCCCATAGATATACGCATAATTAAAAATACATCTTAAAAAAATTAGAAAGTAATTGAGGAAAGATGCCAGATGTGGATCCTGGGAATCTAACTCAGATCAACTCTGACTGTCAGTCCTACCAGCAGATACTTTTACTCACTTAACCATCCACAAGCCTCTATCACATTTTGAAGTTTATTTCATATTAACTGTGATGATATTCCAAAGTCTTAAACAAATGTAACCTTACATTAGGATCATCAATTTCTTTGAGCTGAATAAAAACATTTTTAATCCTTTTCAAGAGAATTGACTAAATAAATAAATAAATAAAATTCATACTAGAAAAAAAACATTTCCACTATATGGCCCCCAAATACCCTTATATTTTTAATAGGGTTTCATTATATAATCCAAAGGCCTGGAATTTGCTATGTAGACAATACTGGCATTGAACTTGCAGCAATTCTGCTTTTGGCTTCCAAATGTGGGAATTACATGAAAGAGCCACCACATTTGAGTATATACTACTCAAATATGAAATAAAACAAATCTTGTTTTTCCACACAACTTCTAAATTAGGCCAAAGAGTTGTCTTAATATATCCTTGATTTCTCTATTTTGCTATTTTAACTGGACTTCAACAATGAAGACCCATTTTGTTATAGCTAGTGGCAGAATTTTGACAATACTAAAATTACTCTTTTTCAAGGTTTAACTTTGCTTACATTGATGCTGCATATATGGCAACGACCCAAACTCCTAAAACTTTCACCTTTCACAAAGATCAGGTACCTGATAACAGTATTTGTATTTTAGGCAAACCGTCAAAAGAATGAGAAGTAGCAAAGAACACGGACACATTCTAAGTATGAAACTCAAAGAATGAATGACTAAAACCATGGATGTTGTATTGGTTTTCTTAGAACCTTAGCATACTGGTTCTATACCTGAAAGAACAAGAATCACTAGAGTGCTGATCATACTTGCTGGCCTCTAACCTAGAATTTGTAATCAAGAGTCACACTTTCATAATGATCTGATGATTTAAAAAATAGGAGTTTGAAAATAGAGTTTGGAGTGATTATAGTCCCTGCACTTGGGAGGCTGAATAAAAGAACTATTTGAGTTGAGGAAATTGAGCTCACTTAAGGAAACCCCTACTTAAAAAAAAAAAAAAGTACAAAAATAATGCCTGGCGGTGGTGGTACACGCCTATATCCCAGCATTCAAGAGGCAGAGGCAGGGAGTTTGAGGCCAGACTGGTACCAGTCTAGTTCCAGGACTGGTACCAAAGCTACAGAGAAACCAAAACAAAACACCTTGAAAAACCAAACAAACCAAAACAAACAAATGAAGAAAAGGTACAAAAATTAAAAGGCCTTGTATCTTGTCTTGTATTCTTGATACATATATGCGAAATACCTGGAAGGCTTAGATCAGATCACTGGGCACTAAGCTACTGTGCATGAATCAGTCATTTCAATGCCAGCAAGTCACGTTATGCTGCTGCTCCTGGTCTGGAAACTGCACTCTCAAAACCACTGTCTTGGAATAAAAGTGATAATACACTGCAGAAACCTTATACTGCCTACCTTAGCACATAGCTCCAGAAAACTACTGTAACTACTAAAACAGTTGGCAAATAAGGGAAAACTTGTTATTACATTCTAAAACTTTCACTTGTCTAATGTGATAGTTTACTTTTTCAACTTGAGGGATTTAGAGTCACTATAGAAACAAACCTCTAGGCAAATCTTTGAGGGAGTTTCTAGTTGAGTTAATGGATATGGAAAAACCCATTTTAAACATGGCAACAGGATTCCATGGGTTGGGGTCTTGGACTGAATAAAAGTGTGGTAGTTTGAATAAGAATGGTCTACATTTGACTGTTTGGTTCCAAATGGGTAGAACTGCAAGGACTAGGAGGAATGGCTTTGTTGGAAGAGGCGTGTCACCGAGGGAGAGGCAGTGGTTTGCTCAACTTGCACCATTCCTGTGTGCTCTTCTGCTTCCTCCTTTAGAGCTATGAACTCAGGTGCTGCTCCAGCCAGCCTGTTGCTTGTTGCCCTAGTGCCCTGTCACCCTGCCATGATGGACTCTTAACTCTCTAAAACTGTAAGCCCAATTAAATGCTTTCTTTCATAAGTTGACTTGGTCAATGGTGTTTTACAATGGAATAGAAAAGTAACTAGCAAGACAGCAAGTGAAGTGAGCTGAGCAGCAGCTTTCATGTCCAGCTCTCTGCTTCCTGATTGCAGACACAATGTGACCAGCTTCTTCAAACTTCTGCCATGCTAGTTTGTACTTAAAACTGGGAGTCCAAATAAACATTTTCAGGTATTCAGTCCAATCAGTGAGTAAAGCAGATAAAACATCTACCCAAAAATATAGTTTTTTATAAACTAATCAGTATTTCCAATACAACTTGGCTGGAAAATGTCATATAACTTGAAAACATAATAAGAAATTTAAACCTTCAATTTCAGGTTCTCAATAGAATTATTTCCATTTCTGCTTTGTGTGTATTTCAGAGTTAGTTACAGCATTTACTTTGAGGAACACTGTAAGCACCCAGGCTTTACAAAGCTGGCTTAGTCTCTGGGGGACGTACAGACCTGCTGAAGGCTGGACACTGATGATCTCCACCCCTTCTGGCAGGTCCAGCTCTTTGCTGTATACCATTTCAGAGGACAGGGACAGCTTGCTGGTGGTCTGGAGATTTGCTCTGCAAGCCTGGAATCTCTGTGAAAATGGAGAGAGAATCTTCTCTGGAGAAGAGGAATAATGATCTTCTGGTACCCAAATAGCTTCTGATACTTTTATGTCTGTCCTTTCATCTGTAAAACAAAAAAAAACAGAACCAAATCTGAGCAGGAACTCTGTAAGAGTAAATATTGTAATTGCTACTTTTAAATACATAGCTAAAATGTAAAATTGTAGACACTATATATAGGAAGACAGTAAGAAAGGTGTTTTACTTTTGGTATTCTAAATAAACTGTAATTATTACAATATATAAGAATGATTTCAAAAACTAATTCTAAACAATAGAAAAGGAGACATAGCTAAGAAGGATAACAGAGGAAGAAGAGGAAGAGAGGAAAGGGAAGATATGCTCAAGTAACTAAACACATTTATAAAAAGTTAATAAACCCATTATTTTGTGTAAGTAATATATAATATTAACAAATGATATTATTTACAAGAATAAATACGGTTTTACAAAACCATTTTTCAGTTAAATGTATGTAGGAAAAGTAAAAATTTTTTTCTTATGAAGAAAAAAAGCCCTAAACTTTTCTAACCGTACATGTATACTTTGTTAAATGTAGGTCTACTTGAATCTAAACAAAACAAAACAACAAAAAACCCACACAAATGAAGTAGACTTACCCAGTGAGACAGGAATGGACCTTAAGTGTAAATCCCACATGTGTAACAGTGAACGATTGTCTTGAGTGCACTCTATCACAACCAGGTAGAACTTTTCAGAAAATCCTTGAGGTGAATTGCCTGTTGTCATTAAATGGATGAGATAGTATACTAAATATACCAAGTTAAAATAGCTTTTCACTATTTTAAAGAAAGAATCTTAAAAAATGCAAAGCAACATTATAGAATGTATTCGATGGTGTTAGCAAATGACTTAGCATTATCAGGAAATTCTAATTATATACATGCTATAGGCAAATTTCATTTTCAAAGTCTAAATTTTAAGTGTTGAATTTGAACATTTTAACCTTAAAAGGTCCTATTACAAGTTACTAACACTGAACTGTTCACAGTGATATCCTAGTACGTAGGACATTGCTAAAGAGATGGAAACTATGTAAGACAACATGGTACAATACATCACAATCGCTGGGCGGTGGTGGCACACACCTTTAATACCAGCACTCGGGAGGCAGAGGCAGGCGGATCTCTGGGAGTTTGAGCCCAGCCTGGTCTACAAGAGCTAGTTCTGGACAGGCACCAAAGCTACAGAGAAACCCTGTCTCGAAAAACCAATATATGACAATAAAAATTGTATTGTTAAAACCTTCCAAGGTAGCTGGGTGGTAGCACATGCCTTTGATCCCAGCACTCAAGAGACAGAGGCAGGTGAATCTCTGAGTTTGAGCCCGGCCTGGTCTACAAAGCAAGTTTCATTACTCATAGTCTGGGGAGGGGTAAAACAGTGACGTGTAGACCTTCCAAGGTAAGTTATGTACAAAAATTTTGTCTTTGTTTGTTTTGTTTTTTAAGACAGGGTTTCTCTGTGTTACAGTCCTAGCTGTTCTGAAACTAGCGTTTGTAGTTTCAGACTGGCCTCAAACTCACAGAAACTGGCCTGCCTTGACCTCCCAAGTGCTGGGATTAAAGGCGTGAGCCACCACTGCCCAGCTTAAGTCTTTATAATAATACATAGTCAAGAAAATATTTCTTTTATATGTGTGTCCCTCTTTCTCTCTCTCTCTCACGCACACAAACACAGAGATGGTGGGGAGGGAGGGAGGGACACACACACACACACAGAGAGAGAGAGAGAGAGAGAGAGAGAGAGAGAGAGAGAGGGGGGGGGGGGGAGGGAGGGAGGGAGGGAGGGAGGGAGGGAGGGAGGGAGACAAACCATCTGACCTACTGACCTCACTGGTCCTAGCTTACCATGCAAGCTTGAAGACAAGAGTTCAGATGTGCTAGTGTACAACTATAATCTCAGTATTCCTTTACTGAGATAAGAAGCAGAGATAGGAGACTTGCCTAGAAGCTCACATTCCAGTTAGAAACAACAGGAAAAAAAAAAAAAAGTGAGACTCTGTCCAAAAGAGGAGGCAAGAACTGAATCCCAAAAGTTGTATTTGACCTCCACAAGCATGCACCCCTACATTTACACAAGCACACAAATACAGATGCACAGACAAAATAATAAAAAATAAAAAAAAGAAGGAAAGGAAGAAGGAAGGAATCCATCTTAGTTCATACTGCAAAGTGTAAATTAAATGCATCTTTCTGAAATTACAAAACCAGTAGATTATTCCCTCTTTTATGAAAGATTATAGTGCAAGATTTCTTCATTGTAATCTGTTTCTAAGATACAAAATTATCTAAACAAAAATTAAAATTACAGTTCAAGAGCAACTTGGGCAAGACCCTGACTCAAAATAAAAGAAGTTGCAGGTATAGTTCACTGATAGAAAGCTTGCTAAGCATTATGTCATAGATTCAGTATTCAATATTCTCTCTCTCTCTCTCTCTCTCTCTCTCTCTCTCTCTCTCTCTCTCACACACACACACACACACACACGCGCGCGCAAAGGCGATGATATAAATCACAGAAAAGAACATATAAAAAAAGGTAAAAGCCAATCCCTCACCAGCAGCACTTGGGAAAACAGGCCCTATACCTTGCCTGGGTAGCACAGCCAAGTTGGCCCTGTAGACAGGAATGCTGGTGAACCAGCCTGGAAGTGTGAGAGAGGATAGTACCCTTCTAACCTCCTCTGCAATGAGGTGGTAGGCATGAGGTAAAGATGCCTTTCTACCTAGCTTCTACTGCCTCCAGCTGGCAAGGGTGTTGACCTTCCCCTTCACCAGCTGCAAAATTTGGAAAAGTGGAAGCTGCACCTCATCTGGGCAGCACAGTAGAGCCGACCCTATTTGAAGAGGTGTGGGTGGGCCAGTCCTGATGTTGTTAGCGTGGGAGAGCTATCCCCAGCTATTTATCTGTCTCGTGGGTAGGTAGGCTTGAGAGAGATGTCCCCCCTTACAAGCTGTAGGAAAGTGGGCCCTGCTCCTTGCCTGGGCAGCACAGCTGAGATGCAGGACCTGTTCTCACACCCTGTTGGCAGAGGTACAGGTTGCTTGGTCCTGAAGGTGTGAGAGCGGGATAGCTGACTACATCACCCTTGTCTGCCATGGGATGGTGATGGCAAGGGATAGATGCCCTTTCCTGCTTACCCTGCCACAGGTGGTGGGCGAAGAAGCTGCGTCTGCCCCCTACCAGCTTTGGCACTTGGTAAAGTGGGCCCTAAATCTCACCTGGGCATCACAGCAGAGCTAACTCCTCTCCTCATCTGCCATACAGTGGTATGGGTAGGGGAGAGATGCCCTCCACCCAAATGCTGCAGACCCAAACCTGCAGGAATTTCATGACACAGTGCAACAATAGGATATCCAAGACGAGTCTCAATGAGGTCTCAGCATCAAATATGTAGCAGAAACCGGAGGCTTTGAACCAGATCAATGATTCTTTGCAATGAGCACTTCCAAGTAAAGGTACATGGGCAAAAGGGTTTACTGTGTGACTCACTGTGTCACACTTCAGCTTCTATAAGATTTTCTTCTTTTTTTCTCTAAAATTGTATTTTATTGGGAGGGGGTACAAGGGCACAGGGCAGATACAAAGAGATGGAAAATATGCATGATGTGAAAGACACAAAGGATAAATAAAAAAAAAACTAAGGTCTGGAGAAAGACACAAAATAACAATCAAAAATTTTATCATTGTATCTCTATAAAACATATATAAAATAAATTCATTTAAAATTTTAAAAAAGCTGAAAGCAACTATTATTAGGGTACACCAAAGATTTACCATTTTAAGATTGCATAAGAAAAGTTTTAAAAAGAAAGCCAAAAAGAAAAGGTGACAACAGGACTTCTGGAAGCCAAGTCAGAATCAGTACCTGATTACTGTATAAGAAAGAAAGAGAACAGGAATATATTACTCTATCATCTACTTCTCCAGTCTGTGAACTGATCTAGTCAAGAGCCGACAAACATCTTCAACCTTTAGAACTTCAACCATGAACTTTCTCTATCATCAGACTGAATTTGATGCTGCAACTGAAACCAAGAAGTTGTTGCTGCCATAGCAACATTTTATTATAGGCAAACTAGGCTAAAAGATTCTAACAGGAAATATACAAAAGTGGTGTTGGTAGAGATTTCATAAGAGGGGTTCTCAGAAGTTGCTGCCAGGGTCACCATCAGTGCCCCAATTGGAAAAACCAAAGCTCTCAGAGCTAAACATAAGCTATGAACAGTGCCATGGGCATTGAACAGACACCAGCTGCTCCAACTCTGTGAGAAGGCAACAATGGCTAAAAGAGTGGAGACTGCCTAGGCTAGCCAAAGCCCACTAAACAGAAAACTCCATACACAAGCAAGGTGAGAGAGATTCCACAAGAGAACAGGACCCTAAAAATCAACAGAGAACAGGCCAGACAATGGCCAGGAAGACAAAACATTTCTTCTCTGGCCCACCTTCTCTACAAGTATTCATTATCTTTAAAAATACAGCAGGGAGCCCAGTACGGTGGTATAATACAGCATTAAGGAGGCAGAGGCAGGTAGATCTCTTTAAATTAAGTCCAGCCTAGGATACAGGAACAAGTTCCATGACACCCTGGGGCTATGTTAAAAATTCCCAGACTCAAAAAGAAGAAAAAAAAAAAAAGACAAGACAAAAAGGGCAGTAGAACAGGGCTTTATACATGTTTGTTACTATTTACTCTCGCTATTAATTTTTCTTCCTTTCTCTTTTCAGCATCCATCCCTCCTCATGTTATATTTCCTAAAGCCAAGAAGCTTACCTACTTAGCCCAAAATGCCCACATACCCCATTTTCTAAAACTGAATCAATTCTTCACACTATTAGGCATGTCTACCCTCCTCTACGTCCATTGACAATACTTACCACCAGTCTAACTGGACTGACCTCTTTTCTTTTCCATTCTACTCATAATGTTAGTATACACAGTACCTCTGGGTCCTTTTATCCCTAACTGATACTTAAATATGCTACTTGATTATTTGAGTTGGTTAATCAAGAGTTGGCTATTCCTACAGACAGTACTCAATACAGAGAGGCAAAGTGGAGATAGAGCCCAGTGCCTAGAAAACCAGTCAACAAGCAAAAGCAATCACCAAAACTATACTACAGCATAGAGCCTCCTGAACACTGCAAACTCATTCACTGGCAGAAAAACCTCAATTAAAAGAACAAAAACAACAGCAAATCTTAATTAACAATCTAATCTCAGAAGTGAAGATCCCAGAGCAAAACACAGGTAACATGAAGCACCAAGACAATGTGTTTCCTCCAAAAATTATCAATCCCATATTAATGACCCCTGACTAAAACGACTTAGATAAAATTCCAGATGCAGAATTCAAAACAACTCAAAGACTTGAATATTTTCCAGAAGAACACAAACAGCTACATGAAATAAATAAGCTACATGAAATAAATAAGAGATAGAAAAATTGAGGACAACCCAAGTCAAAATAATAATAAAAATAAAAAACATAATGGGTCACACAAGAACTTCAGTGAAAAGTCTCACCAACAAAATAGATCATGTGAAGATAGATTATCAGGTTAAGAAGACAAAATAGAGGAATTAGATAAAGTCAATGACTTTTATTTTTTTAATGTATGAACCCACATGCAAAGGTTCTGGAAAACTTGGCAAACATGCACACTACTGGAACACACGAGGAGAATTAAATAGTGATGGTATAACAGTATTTTAAATAAGTTATAGGAGAAAATGCCACAAATCTGGGTGGGAAAGACCATCCAGACACAAGAACAACACAGAAAACCAAACAGAAAAGACCAGAAAATAAAACACTGTGTCATGCTATAATTTAAATACTGTATGTACAGAACAAGGGAAGTATATACACAGCTACGAAAAAGGTCAAATGACATTCTAGGCAAGCCCATCAGAGTAACTGGTGACTTTTCAATTCCAACCAGAAAATCAGGAAGGGCTTAGACTGATTTGTTTAAAAGCCTGAAATAATACAATTGCAAACCTCTCCTAATACACAGAACATTCCACTCAAACATCAAAGAATACATAGTCTTCTCAGCATACCACTGAACTTCTCTAAAATAGATCACATTTTAAGACACAAAGTAAGTCTCTACAAATACAGAATAATTCAAACTATATCCTGTATTCTGCTATATGAGATAAAGCTAGGTATCCTTAAGAGAAAGTATATAAACTCATGAAGTTTAGTCAGTAAGCTATTGAATGATGAACAGGTCATTGCAAAAATCAAGAAGGATACGAAACCTTCCTAAGACTAAATGAAAATGAAAACATAACACAGCCAAATCTAAGGGGTAGGATAAAATCAGTTCTATATTTACAGCTCTAAAGGCCCACTACACTAAAATAGAATCAGAGATATCTCAATAAACATCCTGATGATGAACCTTAAGGCACTGGAAAATAAAATAACAAATCAACATGCAAACTAGTATAAAAAATAACCATGCTAATGCAGAAAATAATGAATCAATGAAGCAAAGAGTTCGGCTTTGTTTTTTTAGAAAATAAATAAAATTGGCAATTCCTTAGCCAAATTTACCAAATGAAAGAGGTAAGACCAACTGATAAAATTAAAGATGAAAAGAGAGACATTACAACAAACATTGAAACATTCAGAGAATAATGAGGGCATACTTTAAAATTTTACAGTCTCCTAAAGTGGGAAATCTAAAAGAAATAGATGAATTTCAAGGTGCATATATAGTCTACCAAAGTCAAGAAGTAGTAAATACATTAAATGGATCTATAACAACCAATAAAACAGAAGAAGTCACTAAAAGCCAATGGCCTGAATGAAGTTTTGCAGACTTACACCAAACATCAAAGAAGAGCACACATAAATAATTAGTCCATAAAATAGAAAGGAATACTTTCAAACCCCTTTTTACAAAGTCAGTGTTACCCTGACAATAAAACCAAATAAAGATTAAAAGAGAAAGGACAAGACCAAGTCATTTCTTAAAATTATCTGTAAAGTATTTTGTTCATAGAGCAAAATAAAAAATATGACTCCATAAACATTTTCAGGGAAACACTAATAATAAAAACAATGGATTTTTTTAGTATAATTAGCAAGAATTGCTTAAGTATTTTAAGAAATACTAGAACAAGTATTTGGTCTTAAAGAGAAAAATTTAAAAATAAAAGAATCTTACAACAGAAAATGCTAGAAACAAGAAACAGCAAAATTTACTGAACAGCAGAGTTAAAAAATTTACTTTTAATATAGTTATTAAAAAACAGGATGCAGCCATTTGTAGTTACTTGTAGGGCCATTTATCATGTAGAACTGTGGCTCCAGCACTGTGGTTCCTTTGCCATGTAGTCTGCTGGCATTTTCATTTTGACCTTTTCCCTTCTCCCTTCTTCTCCCTTCTCTCTCTCTCTCTCTCTCTCTCTCTCTCTCTCTCCCTCCCTCCCTCCCTCCCTCCCTCCAGAATCTCACTACATAGCCTTGGCTGGCCTGGAGCTCACTCTGTAGACCAGGCTGACCTCAAAGTCATTGAGACTTGCCTGCTTCAGCTTCCCAAGAGCTGACATTGAAGGTGTTCACCACCTCACAAGGCTTTCTACTCTTCTCTTCAAATGCCAGTTAAAGCCTGGACAAGCGTTCCTCAACACTATGAGCTTCTTTTCACTTTTCCTGAAGCTGCTCCCCACACTTGCCATGTGGTGCTTGTCCTCCATTGCTGACCCAGCTAGTTTTCTCAGATACTAAATTTAAAAGGGAGTATATTTCTCTCTTCTTTTCTTCTCCCCACTCCTAGCAGGCACCAAGACTTACAGCTTGCTTGCTCTGTTGTTTGTCTCTCAAACTCTAGTAAAAAATTTCTTCAAATTTTCTCACTCCAAAAAATTAACAATAGTAACAATTTTGATATCATTTAGAAGTAGGTTTCATTTTTGAATTCTTCATCTTAAACCTGTCATCTTTGTGTGCGTTTGAGGTGTGTTGCTCAAGCAGAGCAAGTGTACTTAGGCCAATCTGGGTCTGTCTCATTGGAATTACAAATGTACCCATATTTTTAAACCTGGGTTTAGAGATTAATTAACCTCAGATCCTTCATGCTATATGACAAGCATTTTACTGTCTGAACCATCTTGCCATCCCTTTATTCTCATTTTTAGCATATGGTTACAATATCCAGAATTTAAAAAGTGCATGAAAAAAGTCTATTTTCACAGTTCATGAAATCTCATGGAAAATGATGAAAAGTTAACTGAAACCACAGTAACAAACTACCAACAGTAAGGTGCAGAACTCTAAGGAATACTTCTCAAAAGAGAAGTGGGTATTGCAGAAGAAAGTATTTGTAAGAAAAAAATCTGGAACAAATAAATAATGTAATATTATCTTAGACTTAATAACTGACTTGATTGATACAGTGTAACTGCTTACTGGATTTTAGTCTTCAGGAGAAATAACCCAGTTTGGTTTGCCTGTGTAATTAAAACTGATAGCCAAGAAATTTTAGCTCTGTTTTTTCAACTTTTCTTCATGCAAGTTAACAATAAGATAGCTAATTAAAAAGAACTTTTATTATAAATGTTTTATTATACATAAGACACATCTAATAATTACCATTTTAAATACTTATTTCTTTAAATTATGGGCTTCCACAAAGTCAAGTGTCCACATTTTTCAAATCAATACACCCATGTAAAGAGCACTCACTTGCTCACAGATTCCATCTATTGTATACTTAAAGTACAGGTAACTGGGCGAGGGATAGGGCTCAATCGTAGAACACTAGCTTAGCTTGATTAATCACCAGGACAGCTTTAAAAAAAAAAAGTCTAGGAAAGAGATCAGGTAGTAGGGAGGAACTAAGAGGAAAGTAGCTTAAATTGAGGAAAGTCAATTTGCTTTGATTTGTGTTGTCTATTTCCTGGTTAAGAGTAAAAAGCTAAAAAGAAAGGCTATATGTCTATATTCAAGCTATTCAGGAAGCTAAGGCAACAGGAGACCTTGAGCAGGGAATTTCAAGGCCAGCCTAGGCTACTAATAATACATATAAATAAATGCACACATTCATTGACAGAAGAGATAATAGTATTTATGTTGCAAAAAATCAACCTGATATACAACTTGAGATGTATTAATTTATCTTTATAAACTATGTAACATCAGCTGCATATTTCTCATTACATCAAAATTTTTCCTTACCTGGATCCAATAAAATGCTTTCTTTCCCCAGACTTTTCTTCTCAGGGTTATTCAAAATGAAATCTTCTTGAAAAACATGAAGCAACTGGGTTTTTCTGCCATGCTGAGATAAATAAATACCAATATAAATTGACATATATGTCATTTACCTAATCCTAAATAGCAGAAAAATAGTACTTACCAGCTTGGTAATGGGATCTAATGCAATAATGCAGCCTGGCCTGGCAGTTGACTGCTGACTGACAATGTTAAACACTTCACCAACATATTTCTGTTAAAAAAAAAAATTCCTTTAGTAAACAAATTCAAAAGTAACTAAAAACAAATATGAAATATTTCAACCACAATGAAGATAAATACGAAGTCAAGTAGATTTAAACATATTTTCTTGTAGCACGAATTCTAGTTGATCTTAATAATAAAAACTCAGAGTCAGATATTATGAGGTAAAAAAAAAAGCTGAACGATCAGAGAAGCAGTGCAGCCAGTCACTAAAGAGACCTTTACCTCTCCAAAATACTCAGACTGAAAGGGTGATTGATCCTGTCCTCAGACTGCATCTCCAGATGGCATCTGTCACCACCAAATCTCAGGCTGCAATGAGTTCCTGTCTATCTGGCCTTATATTCCTCTCTCCACCCAGCCATATCACTCCTATATCCATTTCCCTAGTGCTGGTATATTCCACCACTCCCTGACTTCTAGTGGCTTAGCTCTGCACTCTGATCTTGAGGCAAGCTTTATTACAAACAAAATATCACTAGTTTCTCTCGATCATAAACATTATAGGATTTTACCTTAATAGAAATTACACAGAAATGAGGAGAATTACAGCTCAATAGGTACAGAGGGTTAAAAAAGGCAACACTAGGCAACAAAATATTTTATACCAAACAAAGTAAAAGACTGCTTTCAACTTTCTGGATATACTCTAAGTAATGCTTTAAAAATATCAATCTTTCAGAGTAACATATTTATTTTGTTGTTATGCTGAGAATAAAACCCAAGGCCCTGTGCATGTTTAACATACTATCTTTCACTGAGCCCCTAAGATTCTCCTTATTAGCCATCATAAGGATATTTTCTTTTTGATAAATACTCTACTTAAATTTTAAGGTAACGTGTGTGTGTGTGTGTGTGTGTGTGTGTGTGTGTGTGTGTGTTACTGGGACCAAGAATAGAACTCAGGGCCTTATTTAAACTAAACCAAGTGGTCTACCAACCAACTCAAAGGAGCTAAAGCATTAATTTTAAGGTACTTACAATGTAGACCAGATTAGCTAATGATGTAAGTTAGCATCTTGTTTCTATAGGCTGATTTTTAAAAAGAATTAAATTTTTAAAAATTATGTGTTATATATGTATGGGTATGCGCGTGTGATTGCAGGTATCTGCAGAGGACCTGCAGCGTTGAATACCCTGGAGCTAGACCTTCAAGTGATTGTGATGTCGCAAGTACTGGGAACTAAACTAGGGTCCTTAGAAGAGCAGCAAGTGCTCTGTTGCTGATTCACCTCTCCAGTTCCCTTTCCCACCATTCCATTTTTTTGTTGTTATAACTGTTGAGTATGTATGTGTATATATATGCAAAAGGTGAGGAGGAGACAAGAGGAGAGACAAAGTGACAGAGAGACACTGAGTGAGAGCCAACACTCATGTGCCACAGTATCTCTAAGGAGGTAGGAAGGCAACCTTGGGTGTTAGGCCTTGTCCACCTTATTGTAAACCAAACTAATTGGTTAGCAGGTTTCTTACAGATATATGCACTACAGTGCCCAGCTTTGTGTAGTTTCTGGGTCAGGCTTGTGTAGTAAACACTCTGCCCACTGAGTCATATCCTTAGTCCAAATATGCTGACCTATTGAGCCACTTACATCCTTACATACTGTTAAATTCAGTGTTCATCTTATTTCTCACATATTTAGCCTTTCAATAGCATTTGATCCTAGTGATCCTATGAATACTTCATTGAGCTTCTATAAAATACCATATAAAACATTTTAATAATACAATGAACTATTTAATACTTCTATCATTTACTTTTTCTAACTATATTCCCTTCTTCTACAATTACATCTACCTCTGCAACTTTAAATTTGTCAGTACTCCTTATTATTGTTATGTTTTTGTTCTGTTTTGAAATGGGGGTCTCTCTACATAGTCCTGGCTGTTCAGGAACTTACTATATAGACCAGATTGGCTAGGAATTCACAGAGGTCCACCTTTCTCTCCCTCCCAAGAAAGGCATGTGCCACCACACCTGGCCTCAGCTGCTTATTTTATATGTTCAGTCCATACATTCTTCCAACCCAAAAGGCAACTTTATTGGATTGCTTGGATGACAAACAGGCATCTCAAAACAAGTATGTCAAAAGAGGAATCTTAAATCCCCCAATTCTTCCAAACCTTCTAGCTATACATTCTTCCTTATTTCAACCATAGCAATGCTACTTTACATCTAAAATCCTGTCCAATCCTAACTACATACCTTCAAAATACATTTAAAATCAAGCTATTTTTAAGCATTTCTAACATTAACCCTCATAACCATTCTTGGCTCCATATCATTCTCCACATCATTAAAAGAAAAAAGTAGAATAGACTAGGGTTACAACTTTTTAAATTGGTCTCTCTTATTCTACTTTTTTCTTTTCATTTCTTTTTTTGAGACAGGGTTTCTCTGTAGCTTTGGGGTCATTCTACTTGTTTTTCACAGATAATCGCATCACAGTTGTCATAGTGACTTATTTAAAAAACCTACATAAAATAATTTTCACATGGGCATAACTTGCAATGGTTTCTTGCTGTGAAATATTCCTTTACACTGAGAAGATATGTCACTGTGATTGCCTTAACAAAAAGCTAAATAGCCAAAACTTAGGCAGGAATTTGGGGGCAGAGAGAATGCTGGGAAAAAGATGAAGATGCCAGTGAGACACAGAGGAAGCAACATGGGCATTACAAATTAAAGGGAACCCAGTCATGTTAAAAGCAAACAAACAAAAAAAAAAAAGATTAAAAGATTTAAAAGATATGGGTTAATTTAAGTTATAAAAGTTAGTTAGAAACAAGCCCAAACTATTCATAATTAAATGAAGTCTCTGTGTGGTTGGTTATTCGGGAGCTAGATGGTAGGACAGAGAAAGACTCACTATAGTTTTTATGTCATTAGGCAGAAGTCCAAGTTACTGAGATAAAGTATAAGGCCCTCAGAGGATCTGAGCAGGTTACCTTTCTGTTTTAATTTCTGACTACTCTATATTACTTTAATCCACAATGATCTCCTTAGTGTGCTATTATATAACCAACATGTTTTGGCTGCAGGGTCCATGAACAGGTCAACTTTCCTTTTGGATCACTCTTCCTGTAGACAGATGTCTAGATCACTCTACTCCTTCAAATCTTTATAAAGTTTTTCCATACACAGTAACTTAAGGGACACTCCCTACTTCCTTTGCAACATTGTTTCTCTCCACAGAACTCGTTAATGAATGCATTTTTATTTAGTTCCCTTCAATCAGCTATATCTTGCTTCACTACAATGAACTTTGTGGTATCAGCTTGATTTTCACAGCTAAATTCTCAGCAGTTAAAACAATATCTAATAAACAAAAGGCCCTCAATAAGTATCTTTCTCTACTAAATAATGTGTATGTATACATACATATACATATACTTTGAAAAACAGTGTTTTGTAAAACTATACTGTAAAAAGATATCTTTCTCTACTAAATAATGTGTATGTATACATACATATACATATACTTTGAAAAACACTGTGTTTTGTAAAATTATACTGTAAAAAGAACTTAGCATCAAGCAGACTAGAATAAACCAAGGGCTCTACTACTTTACAACATTAAAACAACTAGTAACTGTTAGTTCCTTAAGCCAGAATCTAAGAAGGAAGCTTAGGCACAGCCTGAAGGCTACCTCAGGAGATATTTAAAAACACCAAATAAACATGATATGCTGTCAAATGCTTACAATTGGAACATATAGGAATCTGAAGTAGGGTCTCTTCCACAGTAAATGGCATCCAAAACTTGCCTGAGCTGCAACCAAGCTGTGGCCATTTTCATGTTTAACACTGAAATTCCACTTTAACTAAACAGAAACCAACAACTTCTACTACAAAAGGTAGTCCCCATTTATTTCTGAGCAAAGAAACACACAGCTAGACTTTCCTTTCTTTTTTGTCAGAGGGAGGGGCTGGGATTTGAACTAATGGACCACAGCATGTTAACATTGTACTCAATCCAGAGCTAAATACCAAACCTAAAATGATGAAAGGGCTTAACTTAAAAACACTACATAAGTGAATGTGAAAAAAATATATTAAAAAAAGAGAAGACTTATCTGTCATGAATTATAGGTCACAGTTCTAGCACACGCCAAGAAAGTATAGATTAAGTATTTAAAAACATCATAAAACTAGTACTTACAGAAATTTCAGGGTTGGAAAGCTCATATAAAAGTTTCTTGGCATCAATAACTGCTTCATATAACCTCAGATACTGTCCATCACTAGCTACAAAGCATGCACTAGGAGAGTTGCAGTATGCACCTAGAAAGTATTTATAAACATTTAAAATTTAACTTTTGAGCAACAGTGCCCGAAAATAAAATTACTAAAATAAAATCATAGTATGCTTACCTAGACAGTAACTGGGTATAAGAGTAGGGAGCCATGCCACATTGGAAAAGGCAGAAACATGAAGAGAATTAATCCGGGCCAGCTCAGATACTCCTCCAGAAAAGGATAATGGCCCAACAGGATCAACCCTCCAAAGAATAAGCTCACTATATATTGCATTGGGATCTTGAAATGCCATATCAACATTGTTTTTATTTTGCTGAGTCAAGGAACAGTCTTCAGTATTTACAGTGTCCTGAGCATGCGTTTGGTTACCCACATTTGGTGTTCTTAATGCATTATGATGTGAAGTTGTCAGTAGTAATGGTAATACTGAGTGGCAAGCTAAATCATTAAGATGAAAACGGTGACCACAATATCTGGATTTGTGAGAAATACTAAGAACTGTAGAAAAAGCAGATTCCTCAGCAAAACTAACCAGCCACTGATTCAAAGATCCATCAGCATGCTTTGAAATCATCATAACATTAGGAGTAAAAATACTTAATTTTAAACTGTTCGATGATTTACTGTGACCAGATGAGATAAGCATTGATGTGGAACGAGTGAGGCCAGAAGGTTTCTGTTTTCCTTGTTGAATAGCCAAGTCAACATTCTTTGTACAGGCATACATAACTATGCTCTTACAGAGAGAGTTTGCATCACCTGTGGGGAAAGCTACAGGTATTCTGGAAACAAAGGACACCTAGAATTAAGAAAGTAAACATTAGAAAATATAATTACATAAAAACATATCACAAAAAGTTTTCACACACAAAAAAGAAGTAACTCATCATAGACGATTAACAAACAATACCTGTACTTGACGAAACATACCAGGCTGGTACTCATCCAGCCAATCTACATGCCAAACTAGTAAAGAACCATCCATGGGATGAATACTGAAAAGCATGTCTGCATTTTTACTCCATTCAGACAGAAGCACTTCAATCTGATGATCGATGGCAGCTGACGATAATGGTGTAATACTTGAGTTTGGTAACATTTTATCTTCACCCAATTCCTTTTTCTCATGATTTATTTTTAAATCATCAACATCATCATCCATTTCTATAAGCAAAAGAGTTCATGAACCAAGTAAATACAATAAAGCTATCACTACAAATTAAGACAGAATTTTCTAAATAAATCCAAAGCGAGAAGCCATATTTTCTGTATTAACAAGAAATAAGGCAATAAAGTAAACCTAGTTATCAGGCAGCTTCCAGAGCTGTTAACATATACAAACATGGATTTCTTTACTTCTTTCAAAATCCAAGCTCTAGGTCCTCTCCTCAACTCCTGGATTAGGAATATGGAGAATTATTTTTAAGAGGCAATTAAAACCTTTTATCAGACTGAAATGAAAAATAAGCAAAGACTTATAAATGATAAATAAGTTTGAAAATGAGACCACATAGGGCTCTGTGACTGTTTCTTGTCAATGCAATCAGAGTGGAAGTGGTACGTGTCAATGCTGAGCCAAGGCAGAGAAACAGTCTATCTTCACCCTGCCTTTTTTTCCTTCTCCACTTTCAATGGTAGGATGAACAAAGGGGGTCTAAGACCCTATATACAATGCAGTGTGGTGTTATTGGTACAGTGTTAAGCATAGTTGCCGTCTTCCTACATACAGTGTTTCTCAATGCTCATGTATATATAGATCAACTATCTATGAACTGCAGATTCAGGTTGTATAGCATATGAGACTATGTATTTGATGTCATGATTCTACAAATAGTTCATAAAGCAACAAAGACTTACTGGCTGATAAATCCAAAAGAACAGAAAGCTCTGGAAAAAAAAGTGACATGAGCAAGAGCATCCACACAAAGTTATTAAATCCACATTTACACTAAGTCAGAACAATCCTGAAGATTATCTTACAATATGTAATTTTATCCTTATATGAAAAATATTTATGGCTGAAAATTTAAAATTTCATCCTTCTTAAATCTTTACCTTCATCAGATTTTATATCTGCCTGAATAGAATCTTCTACACTGGCCTCAGATGAAGGCTGTTCAAAACTTTTTCTAAGTTGCTGTAAGAAGACTTCCATGGACAATGTAAAATGCAGCTCTTTATTGTTTAACCAGTGTACCACAAAAGGTCCACACTTCTCTTCATTTTCACTTAAATTTAAAGATGTAATAGATGGAAGAAGTGGAATGTCTATAAAGAAAAACAAATCACAAAATTTAAATTTTGAACAACTGTAACAGAATAACATTTACGCATTCTATTTTCATTACTGACATAATACTTAACATTTATTTGAGAAAGATTTGACTACTTTTAAATTTAACTTAAGAGTTATTTTTTTATAGTCAAATTGGAAACAGCCTAGATGGCCATCAGCTGACAAAGGGATAATGAAAAATGTGGTATATTTACACAAAAGAATATTATTCAACTGTTTAATAAAAAGATAAATTTGCAGGTAAATGTGTAAAGCTGGAAAATCATTCTGAGTGATATAATCCATTCCACAAAGGGCAAATACTACACGTTTTCTCTAATATGTGGATGTTAACTTTTAACTTTATGATATGTGTGCTAAATTCAAATAACCAGTTGTTAGGAACTACTAAGGGACCGGGAGACGGGGAGGACTTTTTTCATGATAAAAGATCTTTAAAAATCAATAGAATATTCTGTTCGATTTATCTGTAGTCAATATAGAAGTGAAAACAATACTATTTGATAAATGATACATGAAAGAATCATTCCCTTCATTCTATCACCAGAGGCAAGTTCTAATACCTCCAATGCAAAAGCTCCTGGTTATACCTATACATCCATTAACATAATCATTTTAATTATATATTTACTTATATTTATCTGGTTACAGACTTCAAGAGAGAAGGATGACAGCTCTGTTCAGTGCTCCTTTCCCTCCAATTCCTAAAATTATCTCCAGGTTTGACAATGGTATAGAGTAAGCTACTAAATGCCCTGAACAGCTGAATTAATTACCAATCTCATTATTCCTGGGTAGAGTCAGGGACTGAAAGGGTACTTCTCCAAGAAGTTATGAAAAAGGTTTTTCATTTTTGGTTTACACCAATCCAGATGAGAATACAAAACCTTTTGTATTGTATTGTCAATTGACAATAAGCATTGCTGTTGTCATAAGAGATAATATTGCTGACTTTTACCAAAATATAAAGAAAGTTCAAGCACTTTTGCATCAACAGCATACTCAAAGAACATGTTATTTTTTTATAACAAACTTTCATGAAGATATAAGGACTAGAAATATGAGAGAACATGTTACAAACTCCTCTCCTATGGCCATAGGTAAATATCAGTAGGAAACTCAATCTAAGCAGTGCAGTGGTGGCACATGCCGTTTAACCTTAGCATTTAGGAGTCAGAGGCAGGCCTCTGTGAGTTTGAGCCCAGGTTGGCCTACAGAGATTGCTTCAGGATAGCCAGAGCTGCTGAACAGAGGAACCCAGTCTCAAAAACCAAAGAGGAAACTGGGCAGTGGTGGTGCATGCCTTTAATCCCAGCACTCGGGAGACAGAAGAAGGTAGATATCTGTGAGTTCGAGGCCAGCCTAGTCTACGACAGCCAGTTCCAGAAAAGCCAGAGCTACACAGAGAAACCCTGTGTCGAAAAACCAAACCAAACCAAACCAAAAACCCAGAGAGAGATAGAAGAGGGGAGAGAAGAGGAAATAAGACTAGACCTGTATTTTCAAAAACAGCAGCATCTAGAAACATTAATCCAACAAATCAAATCTACAAAGAATTCTCCATATAGCCCAAACTAACAAGAATATTATGCTTTGACATGCTCTATGTTTTTGGCTTAGTCTATTTACTATTGCTATGAATAGAAAACATAACCAAGACATCTTTTATAAGAGAAAGCATTTTAACTGGGGTCTTGCTTAGTTTCAGAGGTGAGAGCATTATCATTATTACAGGGAGCATGGTAGCATGTAGGCAGGCAGACTGGAACTGGAGAAGTAGCTGAGAGTTCTACATCCTGTTCTGTAGAGAAAGTCTGGGATGGCAAGGCCTTTTCAAACCTTAAAGTCTACCTCCAGTGACACATTTCCTCCAACAGTGACATACCTAATCCTTCCAATCCTTTCAAACAGTGCCTTCCCTGGTGCTGAAACATTCCAATATGACCCTGTGGAGCCATTCTTATTCACAGCACCAGTTTTCTGAAGGACGATTAATAAAAACTTAGGGTAAAAAAATTGGGGTTCAACCTAAAGATCCCCAAAATAAAACAGCCAGCCACTGGTTCTTACCTCAACTTTGGTCTGAAATGGCGATCCTGCAGCCTAGAATCTCTGAAAGAGACTGCATCTGAGAGTTGCCCCACCACCACCACACCCCCTCCCCGTTTTTTATTCTCTCTAGAGCTGGAATTAAAATGTGCAACACTAGGATTAAAGGCATACACCACCTGATTTCTATGACAACTAGTGTGGCTACTGGGATTAAAGGTGTATGTTACCATAACCGGTCTGTAAGTCTGACCAGTGGGACTGTTTTACATTCACATCTTCAGGCAGACTTTACTTATTAAAATACAATTGAAACACCACTACATTTCCCCTTTTTATCTAAAAAAAAAGACTATAAATAATATAAGAAAACTATATGCAATAAGTACTGTGACTATATAATATATACAGGCAAGGGCTGGAGAGATGGCTCAGAGGTTAAGAGCATTGCCTGCTCTTCCAAAGGTCCTGAGTTCAATTCCCAGCAACCACATGGTGGCTCACAACCATCTGTAATGAGGTCTGGTGCCCTCTTCTGGCCTGCAGGCATACACACAGACAAAATATATACAGGCAATAATGAGCAATGTCTAGTCCATTTGTATTTGACAAATTCAGAAGAAACATTTCATATCTGTCTTCTCTTGGTGAGTCCAAAGTCTTATACTTAATTTATTTATTATAACTTGTTTTCTGTGTCTGGTAAACTCTAACTAATGCTATCTAATAATCTTCAACTCCCTCAGAGACCAAAGAAGGAAATAATACTAAATAAGGAAACAGGAAATGCAAGCAAGTGACTTCCGAAAAATGTGAGTAATGACAGAAATAGCTGACTGCTTGAATGGCCATCCAAAGTTCCTCTGCATCATTGAGGCACCCATATTTGGCTACAGTTCTAGCATATTCGATAGACTATGAAGCAGAATATTTTGCGTCCTGCTTATCTAATTATGATAGCCAATAGTTGAGGCAGGGGCATTTTCTTGCCTAGTGGCTTACTTTTGCCACAGAGAAAGTAAATTCATGTGGAGTTTTATCGATGTCCATTATCTTTTCTGAACTATATTGGTGCTGCCAGGAGCAAATGACTCATTGTCATAAAAAAGAACAACTTAGGTTATTAAAACATCTTAAATGCCATATCCTATAGATCTCTGATGTGTTTGAGATGACATATCTATCTAAATTACATCTTTGTCTGACCTTGAAAACACACGTAATGTTACTACAAGATCGATTATACGAGCTGATTAACTAACTATATTTCTTATATATATATAACTAAACAGTTGATAATAATAATTTTCGAGGACTAGAAATTTAATTACATTGTTAAATGAGCTGAAATTTGTTAAATGGGCTTGAACAAGATTAGAAATGTATGTAAAATTATTTTAACAAAATTAATCAAGCATGTATCAATATACAAAATATGTGTACAAGATACAAAAGTAAAACCAATATAAAACATTTAAAACTAGTAGTTGCTTTTAAAAAGTATAGAATGAGCCAGGTAGTGGTGGCACATGCTTTTAATCCCAGCACTCAGGAAGCAGAGACAGGTGGATCTCTGTGAATTCAAGGCCAGCCTGGAATACAGAGTGAGTTCAAGGATAGGCACCAAAGCTACTTAGAGAAACCCTTTCTTAGAGAAAAAAAAATTAAAAAAAAAAAAACAAGAAAAAAAAGCATAGAATGTAGGGCTCCAGTTGTTGGTGTGTCACGCTCAACGCAGAGAAGAATACAAGTAGTTTTCTTTATAAAGTTAATTTTATTGCTTCTGGGAAAATTGCTATTAATCTCTCCTAAAAAATTAACACAAACTCTTCCCATAATTTAATTTCATCAGTATTAAAAGGCACTATAAACTCTGCTGGGTCTATTCCTACTAGTTGACAAAGTCTCAATTTTTCTTTTATAATTAATTCAGAGACCTTTTCCACATAAGTTTGTAATTTTTTACTTGGTTTAGGTAGTAAAAGATCCATTCTAATTTAATATTTGCCCTCTGCATTAAAATTCCTTTTGGGGAAATTCTGGAAGGCAATATGACTAGAATACAATTAAGATTTGGATCCTCCCAACTTACATGTGCCTCCTGTGATATCTCTTCAACCACAGTTAATTCTTTCTAAGCTTCAGCTGTCAATTCACCATTTAATGTTTTGTTTAAATGAATTATTAGGTCAGGTGTTATGCCACCAGCGGATTTTAGACTGGAAATGTCTCCAGATAATTGTTCAAAGTCATTAAGAGTTTACAACCATTCTTTCCTAATTTGTGCCTTTTGTGTTCTAATTTTCTATAAACGTATTATAACATAGATAATTGACAGAATCTCCTCTTTGTATTTTTTCACAAACAACTTGTAATCCACATTTACTCAAAAAATTTTACTTTTTCAAACATTCTAAAGTATCTAGATTTTAATCAGATAGCAAAATGTCATCCATGTAATGGTAAATTATAGATTCAGGAAACTGTTTACATATTATTTACAATGCCTGAATTATAAAGTATTGGCATAGGGTGGGGCTATTAAGCATTCCCAGTGGGAGGTCAGTTCATTGATCTCTTCTAGCAGACTGAGTAATATTAAAATTAGGCACTATGAAGACAAAGTTTTCTCTATCCTTTCCTTGTAAAGATATAGTGAAAAAAACAATCTTTTAAATCAATAACTGTAAGAGGCCATTTTTGAGGTAATAGCGAAGGCAAAAGAATTCCAGACTGTAGAGGGCCAATAGGTTGAATTACCTTGTTGGCAGCTCTTAGATCTGTCACTATTCTCCATTTACCAGATTTCTTTTGAACAACAAATACAGGAGAATTCCAAGGGCTGGTTGATTCTTCAATATAGTGAGCATCAAGTTGCTCCTGTACCGGCTGTTCTAAAGCCTGCAGTTTGTCTTCTGTTAAAGACCATTGGTTAACTCATATTGGTTCCTCAGTTAACCATTTCAAAGGTAGGGCCTTTGGTACCTCTAAAGGTTTGCTAGTTGTTTTGTGTTCTTGTACAGCTTGAATGGCTGGTGACCGTTTTTAATAATACTATAATATCCTTCCCAGAAATATGCATTTCTGTGACTGCAGGCATGTTAATCTTAGTATTCCATTGCTGTAGCAGGTTATGACCCCATAAATTCACTGTGTTATTAGGCACAGATGGCCTCAGCCTTCCTCTCTGTCATTCTGGCCCTATGCATTCAATCCATCTCGTGCTTTGTTTCACTTGAGACAGGGTTCCAATTCCCAGGAATTGAACACCTACCTCTTGAAAAGGCCAATTTGGATGCCAAGATTCTGGAATAATAATAGCCACATCTGCACCCATATTCAGTAATCCCTCAATTACAATGCTATTTATTCGCACTCTTAACTTTGGTCATCGATCATTTATAGAAGTCTGCCAAAATACATGTGTCCTATTTCTTATTGAAATTTTTGATTTATCCTCCACATTTAATCCACTATCCAGAACAATATGATTTTTTACAGCAGGCACTGAATTTTTGATTTTCCTGGTGAGACATGTCCTCCACAGTGACTGAAAATGACTGGACCACATTTTACCCAGGGGCCTCCAGAAGCCCCCTGTAAGGAGTTTCCCAATTGTACAAGGCTACCTTGTCTTTTGTCAATCAACATTCATTGGTCTAATGTCAACCTTTGCCACATCTACATAATCCAGAAGGTTGAGACCATCTATTTTTGTATTTCCCAGAAGAGACATCATTCCTAGGAATGCCTTGTCTCCAATCCCTACTCAGATGTCCTATTCTACCACAATTAAAACATTTGGTATTTTAATGTCTCCTCATACCTCTGAAAGTTGCTTCTCCGACTCAAGCCTCATAATCATCAAATGTCTCAACATTCATTGTGTGCAGGATCCATTCATCCATTGGTGCTGATCTAACCTTTAAAGGTCCAAGTATCCTTTTGCATTCTAAGTTTGCATTTTCAAAATTCAGAGATTCAAGATAAGTGCTTGTCTAGTTTCTGGGTCTGTTACTCCTTCTGGGTCTGTACAGCCTTAGTTAAATGCTTGTAAAAAAAAAATCACTAAAAGGTTCTCCTTGGCCTTGTTTAAGGTTCAATTCTTTTTCCTGATTCTTGAATCCTGTCCCAAGCCTTTAAAGCTGCTGTGTGGCATAGGCACAAGATGTGGTCATCATAAAGATCGTATTTCTGTGAATCAGCATAAGTATCCTCACCAAGAATTTGATCTTGAAGCCTCAAATCCTTTTATTTTTCCATGGTGTTTTAAAAGTTTTGCTTCTTTTCTCCAATAGCATTTCCAAAGTAGTTGTGACCTCTCTTCCAGGACCAATGAAACTGATTGAAGCCATTCGTGTAGCCTTATTGCTTGAAGCAATAAGTTTCACCATCTCCCTAACAAATAGTGAATGTAAGCCTCAAAATACCACTGCTTAATGTTATCCTTTTCAATGGTATTAATTTTTTCAGGTAACTTTTCATTTTCAATGGTATAAACCCTGTCAGCTAGCTGTTCATTATTAGTCCATAAAGACTGTATCATTTCTAAAAGTGTCTCAGTCTTAGCTCTGTTATCAAATCATTTTTATAAAGATATAATACGAAAAATGAAGCTAAGTCCCAATATTAGAAAAATAGATGCATAAGAAAAACCATTTAAGACTTGCAGAATATCATCTATAATATAAGCAAAAAGTTATTAAACTCCTGGATGATGATACAGTCTGCCGTCATATCTTTCAAATTTATTGAAATGTATTAGGAGATTTCAGTAAATTTTTATCTGGGAACACAAACCAGAAGCTGAGCAAGTTGCCATGTGGCAGGGAAAGCAGAGGGGGTAGAGGGAAGTGAGTGCAAACTGGGTAAAACCACTTAGTAGGTGAAATCAAGTCGGGCAGGCAGGGATGGGAGACCTTAGGCTGCGGACTTTCTGAGCTGGTCCTGGTAGGTGTGGAGTCGGAATCCACATGAATTTGTACCCCAAAACTTTGGGTACCAAATGAAGCATGATTAATAAAAACTCAGGGTCAGAAATTGGGGTTCAAACTGAAGATCCCAAAAGTAAAACAGCCAGCCACTGGCTCTTTCTTCAACCTCAGTCTGAAATGGCGATCCTGACTCCTGGAATCCGAGAAGGAAACTGTGTCTGAGAGCTGTCTCCCCTCCATCTTGTATTCCGCTCTAGTGTTGGAATTAAAGGCATGCACCACTGGAATTAAAAGCATGCACCACACGATTTCCATACTGGGATGAAAGGTGTGTCATTGTGGTTACTGCAATTAAAGGTGTATGTTACCATCATCTGGTCTGTAAGGCTGACCAGTGGGACTGTTTCACTCTCAAATCTTCAGGCAGTCTTTATTTATTAAAATACAATTGAAATGCCACTACAATTTCTCTTAGTGATTTTCAATCTAAAGAAAGTTTTAATTGTCTTTATTGAAAGCATGTCAAAGAGATGCCATACTTGAACTGAGTTTTTATATCAATAATTTCTTAGGCTTTTTTCAGTAATATGAGAAATCAAGTTTTCTTTAATTCTTATAATATTGCTGATTTTTTAATTTACTTCATTTTTTGAGGTAATGCAATCAAACCAATCATTCATATCATTGAGTATCTAATACTGTTCCTCACTCAACAGGGACCTTCAAAATTATGCCACTGACCTTATAGGTAATTGTATTTATAAGCAGTCAATAAATGTATTTGATAAAGGTGGTCATTCCAAAACTGAAGTAATGTTTTAATGAAGATAAATATACTGATATAGATATTTTCTTGGCTTGCGGATACTTTTACAACTAGGAGTACTGTCAACCAAATAAATGCCATGATCAAAAGTAATTTTTAATCCTATGAAAAGTACCTCTATGCTTTGACTTAGCAGAGCTCATTCTGGTGGGAAAAATTCTATTCAAGAAATTAACTGATAATGTGATTGCTAAATTTTCTTGAAAAGTACAATACTGCTATTTCCAGCTCCATGGAAATTGGTTATGTTTAATTGATGCTTAAGAATATTCTATAGTCTGATCTCCAAAATATACAAAGAACTCAAGAAATTGGACACCAAAAGAATACATAATCCAATAAAAAAATGGAGTACAGATCTAAATAGAGGAATCTAAAACGGCTGAAAGGCACTTAAGGAAATGCTCAAGATCCTTAGTCATCAGAGAAATACAAATCAAAACAACTCTGAGATTCCATCTTACACTTGAAAGAATGATCACGATCAAAAACACTGATGACAACTTATGCTGGAGAGGTTGCAGGGAAAAGGGAACACTTCTGCATTGCTGGTGGGAATGCAAGCTGGTACAACCCCTTTGGATGTTAGTGTGGCGATTTCTCAGAAAATCAGGAAACAACCTTCCTCAAGACCCAGTAATACCACTTTTGGGTATATAGCCAAAGAATGCTCAATCGTGCCACAAGGACATGTGCTCAACTATGTTTATAGCAGCTTTGTTTGTCATAGCCAGAACCTAGAAACAATCTAAATGCCCCTTGACCAAAGCATCGATAAGGAAAATGTGGTACATTTACACAATAGAGCACTACACAGCAGAAAAATATAAAGACAGCTTGAATTTTGCAGGAAAATGGATGGAGCTAGAAAACATTATTTTGAGTGAGGTAACACAGACACAGAAAGACAATTATCAGATGTACTCACTCATAGGTGATTTTTAAAGATAAAGCAAAGAAAGCCAGCCTACAAAACACAATCCCAGAAAACAGACAACAATGAGAACACTGAGAGACTTACATAGATCTAATCTACATAGGAAGTAGGAAGTAGAAAAAGACAAGATGGGAACCCTGGGGGAAGACTGAAGGGAGGAGGGGGAAGGAAAGGAAGGGAGCAGAGAAAAATGTAGAGCTCAATAAATATCAATTAAAAAAAAAGAGTATTCTATACTACCAAAGCCATCCTTGGTTATATGATGAGACTATATCTAAAAAGACAGGAAAAAGGGAGAAGGGATGATATTCTATAAGATATAAAAAAAAAACTGTAGTTTCATTCTAAGGAAATGGACTAAAGTAAAAAGTCATTTACTGCCCTCCTTCTATAAAGGTGGTATTAATTATGTGCAAATATTACCTTTTATTTTATTAAAGAAATATTTTGACATACTACTTTAAGTCCCTCAGCTGTGGCTCCTGATTTTCATATTCACAGAAAATATTTAGTCAAGTGGTAAATAATTAAATCTCCAAATTCATAGGTAGATTGAGATTATGTGGCTTTGCTAGTCTAATAATTCATATTTCACTACAGAGTCAATTACCTGTGGCTGGATTGATGCTGGCTGCAATATGAAAGTGACAAAGTGCATTAGGATGTAGAGGTGTGTTCCTGTGGACATGGTGAGGATCCTGCTGATGAGGCAGATAGCCAGTATGTGCTACAAGAGCAAGTGATCTCCTCCGACCTCTACGGAAAGGTTTCAGATTTACCTGTATAAATTAAAACAAAGTAAAATGACTGCCACACTATGACTGTCAGAATGGCATATATGTTATTTTATGTAAATTCATATATAAAAAAAACCTCTTTGCACACAAATTTGAATGTTGAAGAATACGTATCTGACCTATCTTTTCACATTTGTTTTTCAACATCTAAAATCAACTTCCAGAACTTAAAAGTAAAATAGAATAAAAAACAACCAGCCAATTAGCAAAAAACACTCCAAAAACTAATAGGGTGGGCATAATGGTAGACACCTGAATCTTGACACCTAGGAGAGAAGCAGGAAAACCTCTGACTGAGTTCTAGGCTAGCCTGGTCTTCTATAGTGAGCCTGCCAATGCTATAGAATGAGACCTTGTCTCCAAAAGCAAAACAAAATACAACCAAGATGTTGTCTGTGTACAGATTTCTCCACAGCTTACTCTCTGTAATTACAAAGTAGTGAATGTTATTACCATCATGTACGAGGTTATCTGGTTTGTATCTGATCTTGTATGGTATCCAGCTTAAACACTGCTATTTTAGTATTTTATAACATAAAATAGTTCACGTAGAACCTAAGGCTATCTAGCTAGTAAGATGCAAAGTAGAGCAAAGATTCCTAATCTAATACTTTATAATGTACTTATTACACAAAGCCATTCTATTGTTTAATATACAATACAGTTTAATTAGATTCTGAGCCATTAAAAAATAGTTGTTCAGCTGGGCATCATGGTGCATGCTTTTAATCCCAAGTACTCTTGAGGAGGAGGCAGACGGATTCTGAGGCTTTGAGTCTATCCTGGTCTAAAGAATGAGTTCCAAGACAGCCAAAGCTACATATTGAGACCCTGTCTCAAAATAGCAGAAGAAAAAAAAAGTTGCTCTGTGGTAATTTAAATGTAAATAGCCTCCATAAGCTTACTGGGGCCTACATAAGGATCAAGATGTGGGACTCTCAGTTCCTTCTTCAGCACAATGCCTGCCCATACACAGTCATGTCCCACCACAATAATGAACAAAACCTCTCAAAACAGTAAGCCACCCCAACTAAATGTTTTTCTTTATATGAGTTACCATGATCACGGTGTTACTTCACAGCAATAGAAACCCTAACTAGGACATGTCCAATACCCATACAAATTTAAAAGAAAACATTTTCTAGACACTTTATGCTTTAATACTAAGAAAACAGTGCCAGGTGGTGGTGGCACATGCCTTCAATCCCAGCACTGGGGATGTAGAAACAGGCAAATTGCTGTGAGTTCAAGACCAGCCTGACATACAAGAACTAGTTCCTGGATAGGCTCCAAAGATAGAGAAACCCTGTGTGGGGGGAGAGCAGTGGGGGGTGGGGGCAGTAAAAAGCTAGGTGTGTTAATGGACACTTTTAATCCCAGAATTTGGGAGACAGAGGCAGGCAGATCTCTGAGTTCCAAGTCAGTCTTGTCTACAGAGGGAGTTTCAAGACAGCCAGGGTTACATAGAGAAAACATTTGGGGGAAGAGGGAAAAAAAAAAAGGAAATGAAAAGGAAAGGAAAAAAAACCCACTAAGAGTCAGTATTTTTATTCCATTTTCAATCAGAAATGGACTCACACTATAATCCCAGAACACTGAGACAGGATGACTGGCATGAGACTGAGAGCATCCTGGAACTACAGTGTAAAACTTCATATCCAAAGAGCAAAATTTGTTCTATATTCAATTAGCCCAAACATCAAACATTGATTTTTGCTGTCAATGCTTGTAAAATGAACACTCGTGCTCTGGTGGGTCTGAAAATAACAAAGGGTACAGCAGAATACAGTGAACAAATCTACCATGAACACTAAGAGAAAATAAAATTTATAATCAAATCTTTGCATTCTCAGACTTTACATTCGTTAAGTCAACTGTTACTATCATTTGGGTTTAGTTAAACTAAGATTAATCACATAATTAAAGACCATTTATGTGTTATAAAAAATATTTAAGAGGCCAGGCAGTGGTGGTGCATGCCTTTAATCTCAGTACTCAGGAGGCAGAGGCAGGTGGATCTCTGGGAGTTCCAGGACAGTCTGGTTTACAAGAGCTAGTTACAGGACAGCTAGGACTGTTACACAGAGAAACCCTGTCTCCAAAAACAAAACAAAACCAAACAAAAAAAACAACTTAAGTGTATTTTCTTAAGAAGATAAAAGGAACATTGCTGATAATTGATTTCCTAAGGTATACTACTTCTTATATTACTGTATAGCTGAAAGAAAAAATATTAAAGATTTTAAAATCTGTAGAAACACACAAAATAATGAAAACACTTACTTCTAGAGCGCTTTGAACTCGGTCTTTACTGGAAGCATTTCTCTTGAAGTTATTTGTTAAATTAATTGGTTCACACCAGTGGTTGTAATCACCTCCATATAGCAAGCAGTCATTTGGTAAAAATGTTTCTACCCAAAGACGACATACATTATCTTTACAGCAAGTCAATAATACATTACATACAGAAGCCCTGAGGAATAAAAATATTTTAGAGACAATACTAATTACATAACAATGCATCATAAACATTCTGCAGTGTTTCTATACATACTTAAACACATAACCAAGTAAAAGCCAGAGATATGCTCAACGGTTAGGTGGCTGCTCCTAAGGTTAGGTGGCTGCTCCTAACCGTAGAGAACCAGGGTTTGATTCCTAGCACTAATTAAGCCCAGTTAACTTCAGTTCCAGGGAATCCAACACCCTCTTCTAGCTTCCATCATATGTATAAAATCTTAAAAAAAAAAAATGAGTCAGGCAGTGGTGGCACACACCTTTAATCCCAGCACTCAGGAGGCAGAGGCAGGAGGATCTGAGTGTTCAAGACCTGCCTGGTCTACAGAGTGAGTTCCAAGGCAAGTTCCACATAGAAACCCTGTCTCTTAAAAACAAAACAAAACAAACAAAAAAACCCCCAAAACCTTTCCTATTTATTCAGTGAATGACCATTATTTTAACTATTTCATAATGCTCAAGATTTACTTTCTGCAAAGCAAAGTCATTAAGAAGCTGATGTAACCATACAGTATCCTTATCCTTTTCCTGCCTGCCTAAGTCCAAAGCAGTGATGTGCAAGAAAATTCATGACAGACTTGCACAAACCAAATCCATCCTCGGTAATTCTGAACTTTTGGTTATTTTCTCTTATGGCATTCTCAAAATAAAAGCATATATAGTCATTATCACAAAGAAATCAAATGAAAGAGGGGCTGAGAGTGGGCAGCAAACCAAGAACAAAAGGGAAAAAAGCTAAGGGGGCGAAATCAAATATTCTACAGTAACCACCTTATCATCCATCTCTATATGATTAAAGACAAGTAGCACAAAAGAAAAATGCAGCAAAAACCATGTTTGCCATGATTACCTTGTCAACCTGAACTTCCCTAATCCATTTTCTCACCTTTCTCCCTGCCGGACACTCTCACCCACCTTTCTTTCTATTCTTTCGCATTCCTCTTTTTCATGACTTCTCCATTCTTCCCTTTCTCTGTCCTCTGACATTACTCTCAGCCTCTCTAGGCCACATTTTCGTCTCTTCTTCCCTGTGTTACCCCTTACCTCCCCCTCTTTATTTCTTCCTGGACTTCTTGCTTCTCATACCTCATCACCAAAACACATCCATTCCTTTCCATTTCCTTTCTTCTATCCTTTGCCTATACTTAAATCCTCTATCTTATGTGTTCATATATATAAACCATAGTAATGAAACTAAAAAATAAGCAAATATATCAAGAAGAAAATAAATCAAAAGACAATAACAAAAGTCAAAGGTTCAAGAGACAATACCAAAAGTTCAAGGTTCATATTGTCAATAAGTAACTAGCAGAGTAGAAATATCTACAAAGGAAGAGTAGAAAGTAGTAACTTTAGGGTGAGCTAGATGGCAATCAGATGAAGTGAAAGAATTTAAGAGAAACAAAACAAGTCAGAAAGGTCACAAATCAAAAACAGGTGAGAGTAATGATCTTAGTGTGTGTACAGCTTCAACTGACTTCTCAAGATATCTAGTCAATACAAAAAACTGGCAGGTAATCCTCAAGATATCTAGTCAATATCTAGATTATATAAACTACTGGTTAGGATTGGGGTTAGGGTTAAGTGTGTGTATACATACATATACATACATACATATATATGATATAGAAATTATATATACATATCTTTGGTAGGGTCTCCCTTGCTTCCTTCTTAGTTGCAGTGTTCTCTAAGTACCTCATGAAATTGACTAGAGCTCTCCTTCCTCATTTCTATAACATTTGTTATACCCTTGATGGCCTATCACAGTGGCTCTCAACCTCCTAATGCTGAAACCCTTTAATACAGTTCCTCATGTTGTATTAACCACCAACCATAAAACTATTTTCGTTGCTACATCATTACTACAATTTTGCTACTATTATGAATCATAATATAAACAATAATGTAAATATTTGTGTTTTCCTATGGTCCTGGGTGTCCTCTGTAAAAAGGGCCATTCAACCCTGACCCATAGGCTGAGAACCACTGGTCTATCATATTGATACAAAGCTGACACATCACATAAAATCAGCAACAAACAATGTCTAACCTCACAGAAAGCTCTTCCACATCTGATTTATACTGATGAAATCAGAAGCTAAGATGGTACTGCAACCTGTTATCTCCAGCCAACGTTTGGAGGTTCCTGCAGGGTATCACCAAACCTCCCAACCTGCCCTATAGTCATCACTTTTTAAATAGTGAAGTATACGTTCACTAAACAAACATGTCTACTGTTCTTTCTCAATCCAACAGTCTCTTTGTGTTCAACTTTGCCACATTAAAAAGAGAAAGAGACCATAACATAATAAAATGGTCCATAGGCAGAGATGGGAGAGTAACTAAAAATGCTTCATTGTTATTTGCAGGTGCCCCTAAAAGTCTGCTTCAGCCTTCACTGTGATGACTCTGTCAAAACTTTTCAGTTAGTCCTTAGAAAATTCAGTGATTATAAGCCTGTTTAGTATTTTCATGGTTGTAGCATCAACAAATGATAATTTTCATTTATTATGTATCAGAATAAGTTAGTTACTGTAAAACAGTACTCTTCAGATAGGTTTAAAAGACAAATTTGTGATGACCAAGCTGGAGTCACTCACAACTTTCAAAATAAGAGTTAACATACACAATTAGATCATTTTATTCAAAACACATCTTTATGTATGTAGGCAACAGAGTATTAGGAACATAAGTGAATCTGAGGCGAAGTTTTTTTCAGCTGACAAAACTGATTACTTAGACCATTCTCTTAACTTGAAAACTCTACAAATTAAGAACAGAATTACTACTTTTCCTAGAATTTCTCTAGGAACTTTGACTAGAGGGCTAGAATAAGCACAGTACCTACTATACTGCAGTTCAAAAATCTAAGTATATCCTGTTGGTCCAAAAGAGCAAAATAAACTCAAGAAATGACTTAGGTACAACATTACAATTCTACTTGATATCTCAGATGTTAAAACTCAACAGCACTACAAAGGCTAAGAGTAGGATAACCAAACTATCACTGCCATGCAGTACAAGATGGATTTCTAGATGTACTTACTAGATCTATGTAACTTACCATAAACATTCTATGTGAAACTAAGTTTTTCAAGGACCACAGGGAAAAAAAAATGTACTAACAGGTACACATTTCTGAGCTTGTATGGGTTAGAAAAATATCTAACTCAGGGCATGATAATATAAAGAATTACCTCTATTTTTCTCAAAGTTGTCTTTTCAATAAAGGATAATTTGTTTGCTTGTTTTAAAAAAGAATGTCAGAATATACAACAGCAAATACAAAATGAAGATAATAACTGTCAAAAGAAGTCCACACAAACATCAATCTGTATAAGGAAATACAATAAGATAGAAAATATAAAGAAAATAAAAACATGTAGAACTCTGTGACAAAGACATCTGATATGGAAATAAATTATCTTGGTCTTAAATTCCCTTTGAGGTCCCTATAGTAGCCATGAACCATACTTGACCAGACCTATGTAGCCTGGAACAATCAACTATAACCCTGATCTTCAAAGGCTCCAAGTAAGAAAACCAGTCAAATTCGTTATGTTCTTATAACACACAGTGACATTACAACCAATCAACTGACCTTGGCATATATTTGCTTGTTTTACGCCAGGAAAATCCATTTACAGCTCGTGGATGGGCCAGATATACAAAAGAAAAGTCAATTTCTCCTTGGGATTGTTTTTCTGAATTTTTATCTGGAGAGGTAACAGCTGGCCGCCAGTTTTCTACATTATACCATACCTTTAGAAGACAGTCATCCTAAGGAGAACAAAAAGGTCAGGAAAAATGAAATTAAGGGCTTCTTTACCCTTAAGCCAAAAATCAAGTAAGGGTGTAATACTAACAAGAAAAAGTCAGTTAATGTTTGTAAGTTCAAAAATAAAGTAGAAGAGGCTGGAGACAGCTCAATGGCTAGAGTGTGCCACATAAGTAAGAGGATCTGAGTTTCTACAAGAGCTAATTCCAGGACAGGCTCCAAAACCACAGAGAAACCTGTCTCGAAAAAGCAAAAAAAAAAAAAAAAAAAAAAAAAAAAAAAAAAAAAAAAAAAAAAAAAAAAAAAAAAAAAGTCAGGTGCCACAGTGCTTGCCTGCAATCCCAGTTGGGAAGGCAGGGACAGAAGACCATGGAGGGCTCTGACCAGTCAATTTAGCCCACAATGAGATTCAGGTTCAGTAAATAATAAGGTGAACACTGATCAGGAAATATACTACTCACCCTTTACTCTGTGCACATGCCTGCACAAGTACCACACGCATGTACACACAAGGGCAGGTGTACACATAATCTTAAAATATAATGTAGTACAGATACACAATTTGGCAACAGTATTTTCAAAATTTACCTTTCCAGCAGTGGCAAAAAATTCTCCATCTGGTGAAAATTTCATTAAATGAACTTGGGAAGCAGTTCTGTAAATTAAACAGAGAAGGGATAATCGGCAAGGAAACTAGGTTCAAAATAATTAGCACTCTTCAAATTCAACACCAGCAGTTCCATATTCTTACAGATTTTTTTGGTAATAATTTCACACTCACTTTTTTCTACTTATAAGATAATGTTTAGCAAAGTGGTTCATGTTAGGTCTTAACACCAGGTTAAGTAGTCCTCCTGCCTCTACAACACATAGCTAGAACTACAGAGTACCATGTCTGACTCTAAAGGTTGACTCAAGTTCTTTGGTGCTGTTGTTGTTGAGAAACTTTTGTTTATTTATTTGATTTGGTTTATTTATTTGATTTGGCATATTTGTAATAGCCAGAACCTGGAAACAACCTAGATCCCCCTCAATGGAAGCATGGATAAAGAAAGTGTGGAACATATACACATTAGAGTACTACTCAGAGGTAAAAAACAATGACATCTTGAATTTTGCATGCAAATGGATAGAAATAGAAAACACTATCCTGAGTGAGATGATCTAGACCCCAAAATACGAATATGGTATGTACTCACGCATTAGTGGACTCCAGCCATAAACAAAGGACATTAAGCCTATAGTTCACAAGCCTAGAGAAGCCAAATAATAAAGTGAACCCAAAGAAAAACATATATAGATCCTCCTGGAAATTGGAAGCAGACAAGATTGCCGGGCAAAAGTTGGGAGCATGGGGGTGGAGGTGGGGGGAAGGGAAAAGGGGGAGAGAGAAGGGAGAAGGCAAGGATTGGGGAGAGCTTAGGGGAGTGGAGGGTTGAGATGGAGGAAGGGCGGATATAAGAGCAGGGAAGAAGATATCTTAATTAAGGGAGTCATTTTAGGGTTGGCAAGAGACTTGGGTCTAGAGGGGATCCCAGGTGTCCATGGGGATGTCCCCAGCTAGGCCCTTGGGCAGCAGAGGAGAGGGTGCCTGAACTGGCCTTATCCCATAGTCACACTGATGAATATCTCGAATATCACCATAGAACCTTTATCCGGCGATGGATGGAGACAGAGACCCACATCAGAGCACTGGACTGAGCTCCCAAGGTCCAGTTGAAGAGCAGAAGCAGGGAGAAGTTAAGCAAGGAAGTCAGGACCATGAGGGGTTGGTCCACCCACTGAGACAGTGTGCCTGATCTAATGAGAGCTCACCAAATCCAGCTGGACTGGGACTGAACAAGCATGTGATCAGACCAGACTCTCTGAATGTGGCTGACAATGGGGGCTGAGAAGCCATTGATAATGGCACTGGGACTGGTTTCTACTGCATGTACTGGCTTTCTGGGACTCTAGTCTGTTTGGATGCTCACCTTCCTAGGCCTGGATGGAGGAGGAAGAGCCTTGAACTTCCCACAGGGCAGGGTATCCTGCCTTCTCTTAAGACTGGAGGAAGGAGGAAGGAGGGCGAGTGGGGGAGTAAGGAGGGGGACGGGAGGAAGTGGAAATTTTTGAATGGAAAAATAAAAAATGAAAAACCTTTGTACATCTAATATCAAAGTAACAGCAATTTCCCTTTAGAGGTAAGAATAATTTCTGTTTTTAATCTGGATATCTAACTTTCAGAGCCATGGATCTCTAATATTCCAATATACATTTTTCAGACAACAATGTTTTAAAATAAATTTTGCCTTTATCTGGGATAACATTTACTTAATAAAAGGTTTCACGTGTGTTAAAGGAATTTAAATAATCATGAACTCAGTTACCCAAATTCACCTACCTACTTAGTACATACTTGCCTTGTCTTCTCAAAGAAATTTTGGCATATTATCCCATATTGCCTTTTGTTCCTAACACTCATATATACTGGAAATTCCCAGCATTATTACTGCTTTCCTTTTCTTCATTTAAATTCATGCTTAACTGTAACTGTGTCAAACTGATTAGCAAAGCATGTCAAATAGGCTTTTTTCTTCTTTCTGGCACAGTGCTAGGATCAAGCCAAGCATTAGATCACTGAGCTCTACCCCCAACCCTGTAAGGGAACTTTTGTTACAATTTTTTTATAGTAAAATACTCCCAACTTTTACATATAATAAATATATTCAAAACACTAATGGATAAAAAAAAGAAAATGTAACAACCTATAGTCTCATTACTATCATAGCATTCTTCCTCAGACATACATCAGTCAATGTATTAGTACATGGATTTTTCACACCTTTTCTTTCTAATCCCCTCTCATCTAATTTCTACAAAAGAAAAACAGGAGGAAAGGTTGGAAACAAGATCATATTTAGTGAGAAACAAGATATTTATAGTTTACACTGTTAGCAGCATTTACTTATTTAAAAATGTGAACATTTCTGCATCCAGATGTATATGATGTGTTTATATGTCTAAGTATAAAGACCTACATCATTATTTCATTGGCTTATGGTTTTCCATGGTAAACCATACAATGCTTTAGAATATCTACTAGTTCACAACTATTTCCTCATTTTTGCTGCAACAAATTGATGCAATGAACATTCATACTTACTGTATGTGTGTGTCTGTGTGTTCATAGGAAAGCAAACATTCATGCTCACATCATGATCAAAAGCAACTTAAGAAATGGGTTCATTTCATCTTACAGCTTATTGTACACCATGAAGGGAAGTCAGAGGAGAAATGCAGAGTGGGAATCTGGGGACATAAACTAAAATAGAAGTCATGAAAGAATGCTGCTTACCAGCTTGCTGCTCCTGGCTTTCTTAATTTGCTTTCTTATATACACTAAGGTTCTGCCCAGGGACAGTACCATCTACTGTGGACAGAGCTCTTAACAATTATCAACCAAGAAAATGCTCCCACAGGTTTGCTTAAAGGGAACATTTACTCAGCTGAGGTTCCATTTTCTCAGATTACTAGTCTGTGTCAAATTGATGAAAACCCAACCAACACACAGACGTTTTACTCTCTTATCACCTTATTTTTTGAGACAGAATCTCTCACTGAACCTAGAGCTTGTCTTTTAGCTAGACTGGCTGGCTGGTAAACAAGTGCTTGCATCATCCTATTGCTGGTCTACCACCTCTCACACTGAGATTATACACATGAGCGATTGTCTGTCTTTTACATGGATGCAGGGCATCCAAACTCAGATCCTCATGCATGTATAGAAAACATTTACCCAACGTAGCCACCTCACCAGCCTGTACACTCATTATCACTCATCCGGTTAATCTTTGAGATAGTCTTAAACTAAATCACAAAAATGTGCTGAGAGTGCTGGCCTGTAATCCCAGCACTCAGGAAACTGAGGCAGTATGACTGAATTCAGGGCCAGCATAGCAAGATCCTCGTCTTTTCTTAGAACAGCAACTACAGTAGTCTTTCTAAAAGCAAACCAAATCCTAGCATTCCTACTCAATCCCTCAGAAATTTCTGGATTCCTTCAGGTAAACAGAAAGACAAAGGCATCTGGATATGGTGGTTCTAGTTTAAATGGCAATGGCCACCATGGGTTATATGTTTGAATACTGGTTCCCAGTTGGTGAAACTGATTGTGAAGGATTAGGAGGTGTGATCTTGTTGGAGGAGGTGTGTCACCGGATTCAAGTTTTGAGGTTTCAAGAGACTTGTGCCACTGCCATGTGTTCTTTCTGCCTCCTTTTGCCAATCAAGATTAAGAGCTCTCAGCTGTTCCTGTCACCATGCCTTTGTTCCTCCATCATGAACTCTAGCCTTCAGAAACTAAAAGCAAACCCAATTAAACACTTTCTTCTATAACTGTCTTGGTCATGGTGTTTGTCACAGAAACAGGAAAGTAATGGCCAGTAGCAATGCCAAAGTACCAGCCTGAGCAATATAACAAGACATTTCCCTCCTCCCCAAATGTCTTCACAATGATGTATAAACAGTTCCCTTCTATCGTTCTATGTCTTGTGCATGTCACTCTAGCCACAAGTTAAACAGTCATACATACAGAACTTGGATGACACTCATTTCTTTCAGGGTGATTTTCCAATGTGACCTCCAGTTCTCTTTCAATTACCTTGCTTACTCTTGTCTTCAAAATTCTTATGTAAAACAAGTTCAGTGTTTTAAACACATCACCAGTAAGGAATGTGATCAAAATTGAACTTTGAGGTGTATGCTAGTCATCTTAAACTGATCCTAAATCAAAACATGCAGTCTCTGAGCTTGGACTTTAATAAGAAAGTATCAAATCAAGTTGTTGTGCCTATTCTAAGTTACTGTTGTGCTCTCTGAGCTTAAACAGTCTTCCCTCCCTTCTCACAAATACACAAAGTAGATTTTTATGTTCTTTTTTTATTTCATGGAAACCTTTCAATATACCTATAGGAAGAGTTAAGTCCCCCCCCCTTTAGTAAGTTAAAGGAAAATGTCAAAACCAAGGTGTGGTTGCTGGACAGCTGAAAAATTCTTATCTTGATTTGCAAATATGAGACAGATTAGGCATAAAAACAAAGTATAGTTTCTTCTAAAAGATAATTTATGCAAAAGTCTATTCTTCTTCCACATATTAAGAGGTTTGTTCTCATGATACCTTCTGCAAATTTAGCATATAGGTCTGCTTTGTGGTCATCTGGTAACTGATAACACTCTATTACTACCTCATATAAAATGGAGTAAGAAGAATTTCATTCTGTTATTCCAGTTTCCCTGTTAAACACTGATCTTCCCTTAACTGTTCAATGCAACATCCAAGCAATTTTACAAATGCCTGGAACATGTTAGGCAACCAAAAAAAAAAAAAATCTGTTGAATGATGGAAACCTGAAAATGCTAACAAAATATATGAAAAAAATAAGCCTACAGAGTCATAGTTATAAATGTCTATGAAAGAAATTTTTAGAAAGAAAATATTAATTTGCTGTCAACAGTTCATAATATACTTTTTACTTTGAATAGCCACTATTAATTGACATTATTTATAATCTTCTTTCAGGACATTTCACTTTTTTTTCTTTTTTGGTTTTTCGAGACAGGGCTTCTCTGTAGCTTTGGAGCCTGTCCTGGAACTAGCTCTTGTAGACCAGGCTGGCCTCAAACTCACAGAGATCTGCCTGCCTCTGCCTTGTGTGCCACCAATGTCCAGCCATTTCACATTTTTACTTATGAATAAGTCACTCAACTCGTAAAATCTGTTAGTGGGGCTGGAGAGATAGTTTTGCAGTTAAGAGCACTGGCAGCTCTTCTAGAGGACCCGGGTTCAATTCCCAGCACCCACATGGTTGCTCACAACTGTCTGTAACTCCAGTTCCCTGGGATCTGACATCCTCATGCCAATTCACATAAAATAAATTTAAATTGTTTTTTAAAATGTCAGTTAGTTACACATACTGCAACTCTTCACATCTTCATAGCTCACTTCTGTTAATATATGATCCGCTCTTTTCTAACCAATCTTATTTTTAAAAGAACGCATTAACCGCAAAACTGCACCTATTTCCACTCCAACTTTTATTTCCTAAAAGAAATGTTTTATTTGTATAGTCAAATCTATTAATTTTTCCTTCTCTTTCAATTTCTAGCTTTGATGTATTTAGAAAATATATTTCCATACACCATTTTTAATTGTCCAACGGCAACATAACATAAATGACAATTGTGTGGAGGTTAAAAGACAACTTGGAATGGAATCAGTCCTTTCCTTCTACCACATGGGTTCTGAACTTAGGTTGTTGGGCTTTATAGCAAGCAACTACACAGTGAGCAATCTCACTGCCAACCCAAGTACAATTTAGTCTAACTCTAGATTCTATTGTCTGTTCATACAGTGAATAAATTAAAAAATGATATAGAAACAACTTATAAAATAAAAAATGGCAGGACAGGTTTACCAATTAAACTATCTAGTCAAATGCTTACTTGCAATGCCAAATGCACACCCAATCTCCAAAGTTAAGACCTGTTCTATCTGGATTTTCATCTTCAGTTGGCTTTCTTGAGTTAGTATTACACCAGAGCTGCAGACAGCTGGAACCAGTTAAAAGACGATTACCTAAAGAAATATACAGATGTATTATTCACCATGTATTATTGTAGATAGTTAACACTGAGTTAAGATACAGACTCAAGAATCTTATAATACTAGAACATGTAACACAGTTTCTAAAAAGAACTATTTCCGGTTGGTTAGAAGGTTCACTGGGTAAAAGCATTTACTTGTAAGTCTGATGACTTGAGTTCTAGTCCCAGAACTCTCATGATGGAAGGACAGATCCAACTCCTGCAAATTTTCCACTGACCCCATATATGAACCACAGCATATACACGCCCATGCATATATACACATAATGTAATCTTAATATATATACACATGTGTGTGTGTGTGTGTGTGTAAAAACAAAAGAATAATATTTTTTTAAAAGACCAGACCTGTTAACATCCTGCTCTGGAAGGAAATGATCCCATGGATCCTGTCCTTTCCTTGAGGATTATTAACAGATAACTGGGGGAGGACCAATGAGCACCCACTCCTCCCTGGTTATCTACAGGTTATCAGTTCAGAGAGAGAAAAGACATTTTACTGTGTGTTACAGCAACTGGTAGGGAGGCCATACTCTTGGAAATGATCCCTCACTCAGGATCCTATAAGAAATCCTAACAAAATGCAATGAGAGAGAAAGGAGGGAGGTGGGGAAAAAAAGGAAACAAAGAAAAGAAAAAGTCCAGCAAAAGCACAAACTTAGGTAAGAAATTCATAAATCCATCTGTCTACATCATTTAATTAGCCATCCAAACTGGATCTAGTTGGGCAGTCTTTGAATTTCAATTTTCTTATCTGTAAATTCAGAGCTTTCAAGAGTTATAAAAATTAGCTATGGGGCTGGAGAGATGGCTCAGTGGTTGAGAGCATTGCCTGCTCTTCCAGAGGTCCTGAGTTCGATTCCCGGCAGCCACATGGTGGCTCACAACCATCTGTGATGGGGTCTGGTGCCCTCTTCTGGCCTGCAGGCACACACAGACAGAATGTTGTATACATAATAAATAAATATTTTTAAAAAAATTAGCTATGATTTTACAAAGTCTATAGCTAGGCCCCCATGCAATATACCTTTTCCACACCTTTCAACAAGAATGGAATCTTTCTCTTATTTCTTGACTACCTACATTCCTACCTTGTTTTGAACAGAGAATGAAACAGGAAAATCCCCTAGATAAGGGAGGCTTTAAGACTACTTGTAGTTTAAACTTTCAATTTGAAAATTTAATCACCATGTAAAAATACTACTCTGCTGAAAAGGCCACATGAGAGAGAGAGGTGACATGGAAAACAAGGGAACTCGCCAAAGGGCCACATATGTGAACAAAGTCTTTTTTGAATCCTTTACAAGTAAGGTACTGTTTTGTGGTATTTGCTTGTGTTCTGACAAATAAAGCTTGCCTGGGAATCAGAGGGCAGAGCTAGTCATTAGTTAACCATGAAAGCTGAGCCGTGCTGGCACACGCCTTTAATTTTAGCACTTAGGGCACACACCTTTAATCCCAGCACTTGGGAGGTGGAGACAGGAAGTGATGAGGTGGGGTGTAGACAGCACCTTTTTGAACTGCGAGACAAGGGAGGAAAGAAGCAACTGGGGCTGCTCCCAGTTCTCTGATCTTCCAGCCCAATCAATATGTGATTTTAATTAGATTCACATTTCAAGGTACTTCAGGTAATCCATGGATTAGAGACAAGGCATTCCCACAAAACTCTGTAGCAATTCCAACCCACAGAACAAAAATTGTTGCTTGAAGCAAAGGGGTACAATTTGCTTTATTTACTTTTGCATTCACCACAGTCTGACAGATGAAATACATAATAATAATAATAATAACAAACTAGTTCAGTGATATTTGCTCTAACTAATCTTCTTAAATTCCTTACCTGTGGGATCCCAAGTTATATTATGTGCTATTGAGTCCAGAAAAAATTGGCCACTTTTCTGCCACTGACTATAAAGTTCCTAAAATGAGAAAAAAGTCAATTAGTTAATTGTGATTAGCATCTTTTATATCAAATAAACATGCTCTCATTTGCTGTGCTCATATCAATGCAATAATTTTTTTGGGGGGGAACAAAGCAATTCAGTCAAGAGAAATAGGAATTATATCAGTGATTCTCAATCTGTAGGTTAAGACTCCTTTGGGGGGCATACATCAGATATCCTACATATCAGATATTTACATTATGATTCATAACAGCAGCAAAACTAGTTAAGTGGTAATAAAAATAATTTTATGGTTGGGGGTCAGCACAACATAAGGAACTGTGTTAAAGGGTCACAGCATTAGGAAGGCTGAGAATCATTGAATTAGATGATAAAGAAGACTCTTAAAAAAAAAAAAAAGACTATTAGCAGACTACCCATTGCTGGGATCGGAAAGTCAATCCTGCATATAAATAACCAATAAGCATATAGCTTATCTATCCTCATGTCAAACGTTTACAATATGTGTATTTTATTACACCAAAGTTTGAAGGGAAATTTAAAATGTGTGTCCATGGGTCAAATAATTTAAATATTCTCTTAATATTTCATCTCTATCTGAAATGCACTACTTCCCTAATGTAAGACTTTCTCATTCTTTCAAACATCTTTTATTTGAATCTACAAACAGTTAAAAAAAATGGAGGTGGAGAGGTGGCTCAATGATTAAGAGCAGTGGCTACTTTTCCAGAGAGACTGAGTTCAATTCCCAGCACCCACAAGGCAACTCACAATTGCCTATCCTCCAGTTTCTGGGGGATCTGACACCTTCACAACAATGCACATGAAATAAATTTTAAAAAAATATATGTGGCACTACTACATATACAAATGAAAACCATGGGTACCCTTAGTACTAGTATATAACCCAACAATTTCTATTGTAGTTCATTTTAAGTTCAAACTGTGACCTATTAAGTTAGCCCATAAATAACTATCTTACTGCAATGGTCCTCAGACTTCCACACAACAAAGAATACTCTAAGATATTTATTAAAATTCCAAGTTTCCAAATACATACCCAAAAATTCAAGTTCAAAAAGTGCACTTTGAAGCACAAGAATATGGACTTTAAACCAATACCTAAGGTGATTTTGATACCAGATGTGGACTACAGAATACCCTTTTAGGAATGCCAGAATAGCTCTCAAGCACAATGAACATCAGTCCTCAATAGAACTAGACACACAGATGGATCAATGGTATATACTCACAGTTTTGGACAGTGCTAAGCTACGACCTGAACATAAGAACTTACTAATAGCCAGACAGTGATGGCTCATGCCTTTAATCCCAGCGCTCAGGAGGCAGAGGCAAGCAGATCTCTTTGAGTTTGAGGCCAACCTGGTCTACAGAGTGAGTTCCAGGACAGGCTCCAATGCTACAGAGAAACTCTGTCTCAAAAAAAAAAAACAAAACAAAACAAACAAAAAAGAACTCACTAATAATTCATTAAGAATGTTAATAATTTTATTACTGCTATTTGCAGGGCTTAGGATTGAGTTTACAGCTTTTTAAAAATATTTTTTGTTTGTTTATTTATTATGTATACAATATTCTGTCTGCATATATGCCTACAGGCCAGAAGACGGCACCAGACCTCATTACAGATGGTTGTGAGCCACCATGTGGTTACTGGGAATTGAACTCAGGACCTTTGGAAGATGAGGCAATGCTCTTAACCACTGAGCCATCTCTCCAGCCCCCGAGCTTACAGCTTTGTATACACTAGGCAAGCACTCTATCGTTGAGGTACATCCCCAGCACCAACAGTAATCAAAAAGTATACCTCTCATAAAGAACCACCATTTCAAAAGAATATTCCAGAATGCATAAGAAAAACGAAAGTATCTTTTGTATAAGGATCTAAGGAGTGCTTGAAACTAGATTTCGGTATTACAGATTTTGTCCAACTCTGTCTTTTCCAGTTTTCCCCTTCAAGGTGAAATACTGTGTAACAAACAATTAGTCTGATCTTACTGAGTATTTTACATTTTATATTTACAAGAATAATACTCATTTTAAAAAGAAAAAACACAATTATATCATATAATTATATTATAATAATCTATTATTATAAAAAAGGCATTTTAACAAAACTAATTTCCAAACTATTTTCTTCATTCAGCAGATAGTTGTTGAGTTAGAAAAACTGTGTTCCTTATGTGGAACATTTGTGTACACTGTAAAGATGTGTCTCTGCCAAAACACCTGCCAGTCACTTAATTCAGAGGTAAGGCCCTCTAATACTGGGTTAACTAGATAACCTAAAGACACTAACAAAAATCAGAATTTTGGAAACTTTTCTTGAAAATGAATGCTAGTGAGTGCCCAGCATAGTGGCACATGCTTGTAAAACCAGCACTTGGGAGGCTGTGGCAGGACAATTAAGAGTTCAAAGCTAACCCGAACTCATGGTGAATTCCAGACTTGTCTTGGGGTACAGGGCGAGATTCTGTATCAAAAAGAGGGGAAAAGAGTGAGAGGTGGGGGGGTAATTTGTAAGATACTCCTGATTCATGTAAAAATGACCCCCAAATCATCAGAAGCTATAAGAGTATTCCTATCATTAAAACACTATTTAATTCGTTATATTTCTGAACTTTAATATATCATCCTATTAAGAATGAGTAAATGCCAATTAATTTCTGAGTTGAGCAGAGAAGGTTATAGGCAAAAGCAACAGAAATAGAAAGCAATCCTACAACTTTTAACCCTGTCTCATTTCACTATGCTGATGCTTTCCTGTGGTTAGGAATCACTGGTTTAAAATTTATGGTGACTATACAGACATGCAAAAGAATGTGGCCTATTTGTTATATTTATCAACTATTAGTTAAGAAACTAATTTCTTATATATTTTCCTTATAAAGAACATCTATTGATCTGATAGCAACTATATTATGTGATATAATAAAAGCAAAAAACAAAGTCCTAGAAATGTCTTAATACTAAAAGCAAATCGTGTAATCGTAAGAACAATACACACGAAAAGGCAGAAAACTGTTCAAGCATGCTCTATAAACCAAGAATAAAGTGCCACTTATGGCTAAATAACGGTATCTCATAGTAGCAATAAAGTAACTTCTAAACTTAGTTATCAGTTCTTTGCCTATTATGAAATAAAAATGTCAGAAGGAAAAAAAAAGCACTTTAAGATATCTGGTTGGCACAATTTAGTATAATTCAATTCCAATAAGAAATTTAATTATATTTTAGTATGAACATTGAACTTAAACATTTATATTCAATTATAGTCAACAACTTATACTAGTTTGCTGAGTCCCTCTTTTTTATACTAAACATATTTCAATTCAAAAAAGAAAAATAACAAACTACTAACCAAATTTTTCATTTTTGGAAGACTGACTGGTTCAAAAACAGAGATGACATTTCCATAGGATGCTGCAATCTTTTAAAAAGAAAGACAATTATAAAAAGATTAACATACTTATGGAACAAAAGAGTAAATGAAATAACTATTATAGCTACATTTTTAAGTATACATGATTTCATCCAACAGTACTTGAGAATATACGAGATTAGAATCCCAGCATGGCTACCTTCTGTACATATTTTCAGAGATTTCTCTATCTGTATTTACAATACATATAACACTATTTTTCTAACAGTCCTATGTTGAGAAATGAACATTCATAAAATATCTTTCAACAAGAATCTTAGCAACAAGATAGTTGCTAAACATGAAATCTGACCTGATTTTAAAATGAGTTTTTTAAGCTTATCTATCATTGGAGTTCATAGTTCTCCCAACAAATAATTTAACTTAAAAAAAGTTAAACTTAAGGGCTGGAGAGCTGGCTCTGGGGTTAAGAGCACTGGCTGCTCTTCCAAAGAACCCAGGTTCAATTCCCAGCACGTACATGGCAGCTCACAATTGTCTGTAACTCCAGCTCCAGAGGATTTGACAACACCTTTACACAGACATACATGCAGACAATATACCAATGGACATAAAAATAAATAAATCTAAAGGAAACATAATATTTATTCTTTATCAATTCCCTGAACTTTTTTTTTAACGTTTTATGTTTTTTTTTTTTAATTTCTTCATTTCTTGGCAGAAATACATAATCTGAAGCCAGGGCTCTGCTCATGTACCCTGGAACCATGCAACATGCTTAATTCTTTCATGAATTTAATCTTTAAAAAAAGCAACCAAAATAGCTTGAATGACCACCATCAAAATCTCAGAAATCAGCTAGTAACAGTGGCAGAGACCTGTAATCGCAGAATTTGGAAAGGCTGAGGTAAAAGGATGGATTACAGTTTACAGTTCAGCCTTGAATACAGAGTTGAGACCCTATCTCAAACACAAAACAAAAATTAAACCAAACAGATAAAAAAAATACACAAATACTCAAGAAATTCTTCTGCTTAGGCTTCAGAGTAGCTGGGACTATAGGTATGTGCCATCCTGCCTAACTTCTTGACACTTTAAGGAAGGCTTTGCTTTTTTTTTTTTAAAGATTTATTTATTTATTATGTATATAGTATTCTGCCTACATATATCCTATAGGCCAGTAGAGGGCACCAGATCTCATTACAGATGGTTGTGAACCATCATGTGGTTGCTGGGACTTGAACTCAGGACCTCTGGAAGAACAGTCAGTGCTCTTAACCTCTGAGTCACCTCTCCAGCCCCCAAGGAAGGCTTTGCTAACTGTTAATAAGGAAACTTACCTTTTATTAGTTTGATCATAAAACCAAATGACTTCATCCTAACCTAGATAATCACATAACTTGGAGAATCTTCATTAAAAAAAAAAGACATTCTTGCTGGAAGCTATGAAAGCTATCAAATTTCCAACATTAATAGCTTTATGAATCTGAATGATATTTTAAAAAGTTTTTAATAGTAATGAGATTACAGAACTACAAAGTTAGGAGAGCAAACACTGAAAGCATGAAAGGGAAAAAATACAAAATAAACACCACCAACAACAAAAAGCACCTCACTGAATTTTAGAATTCTAAAGTAAAGAGCAGCATGTTTGTAGCACTGTTAAGGACTAAACAAGAGGCATTTGTAACTATATTGAAAAGAAGGGCTATAAAGTGACAAAAAAAAATTGCAGTGCAACAAACAGATAAAGACTGAAATACATTTGTAATAGCCAGAACCTGGAAACAACCTAGATGCCCTTCAATTGAAGAATGGATGAAGAAAGTATGGAATATATACATATTAGAGTACTACTCAGCAGTAAAAAACAAGGACTTCTTGAAGTTTGCAGGCAAATGGATGGAAATAGAAAACACCATCCTGAGTGAGGTAAGCCAGACCCAAAAAGAGGAACATGGGATGTACTCACTCATATTTGGTTTCTAGCCATAAATAAAGGACATTGAGCCTATAGTCCGGGTTCTTAGAGAAGCTAAATAAGAAGGAGAACCCAAAGAAAAACATATAGGCATCCTCCTGAATATTAACCTTAATCAGGCGATGAAAGGAGACAGAGACAGAGACCCACATAGTAGCACCGGACTGAAATCTCAAGGTCCAAATCAGGAGCAGAAGGAGAGCGAGCACGAGCAAGGAACTCAGGACAGCGAGGGGTGCACCCATACACTGAGACAATGGGATGTTCTATCGGGAACTCACCAAGGCCAGCTGGCCTGGGTCTGAAAAGGCCTGGGTTAAAACAGGTCTCAATGAACATAGTGGACAATGAGGACTACTGAGACCTCAAGAACATGGACAATGGGTTTTTGAGCCTACTGCACGTATTGGCTTTGTGGGAGCCTAGGCAGTCTGGATGCTCACCTTAGGAGACCTGGATGGAGGTGGGTGGTCCTTGGACTTCCCACAGGGCAGAGAACCCTGATTGCTCTTTGGGCTGACGAGGGGGGGGGGGACTTGATTGGAGGAGGAGGAGGGAAAGGGGGGGCGGAGGGGGGGAAGAGACAGAAATCTTTAATAAATTAAAAAACAAACAAACAAAAAAAGAAAACAATGACAAAAAAAAAAAAAGACTGAAATACAAACTCCTTTTATCAAAAGTATCATTAGGTACCTAACATGATAGTTAGGTACCTGCCTCTAAGGGGATAGAGGCAGAGAGATTTGTGAGCTCAAGGCCTGCACAGTCTATATAGCAAGTTCCAAGCTAGCTAAAGCAATTTAAAAAAAAAAAAAAAAGACAGACAGGCCTAATCTTCTATACTTAGTTGGTGATGTGGGAATAGTTTCTTATTAATAAAGAAACTGCCTTGGCCCATTTTATTGGATAGAAAATTAGGTAGGCGGAGTATACAGAAGAAAATTCTGGGAGAAAGAAGGTTAGAGGAAGAGTCGCCATGGTTCTCCCGCTCCAGACAGACGCAGGTTAAGATCCTTCCTGGTAAGCCAGCTCGTGGGCTACACAGAATATTATAAATGGGTTAGAACAATATGTAAGAGCTAACCAATAAGAAACTGGACCTAGCCGGGCCAGGCAGTGTTTGAAAGAATACAGTTTCCGTGTAATTATTTCTGGGTATAAGCTAGCCATGCGGGCGGCCGGGTGCCGGGGACGCAGCCCTGCCGCTCCTATTTCAACAAGTTGGTGCTATTTCAAGGTATATATGTTGCCTGGTATGACTCCTAGCAGAACACTTCACAAAACTATAGTTAAAATGATCAACAATAACTACATGTTGTTTCTTTTGTATTTGCTGCAATTATTTTACTTTCAATTTACTATTTTTACTTTTCATATACAAATAGAAGTCCTAGAAGTCTTTTCTTTTTTCATTTATTTATTATATATACTGTGTTCTGCCTGCATTTACACCTACACACCAGAAGAGAGTACCAGATCTCATTCATGTGATCTATGAGCCACCATGTAGTTGCTAGGAATTGAACACAAGGACCTCTGGAAGAGCAAACTTGCTCTTAACCTCTGAGCCATCTCTCCTGCCTCTGTAAGTCTTTTCTTAGAGCTAAAAATGAACAAAACATTTCAGATTTTAGCATATGTATTCTTTCGATGTTTTCCAGAAGTTACTAGAATACCGTTTTAAAAAGAATGTCTACTAAATTTGCCTTTTGAAAACAATGCTATTCTTTTTTTTTTTTTTTTAAAGAAAGTTAACCTCTTAGGAGGCTTTTAATTTATAGTTTTTTTTTTTTCTCTTCTGTTTGTTTTCCAAGGCAGGGTTTCTCCGTGTATCTCTAGCTGTCCTGGAACTAACTCTGTAGAGAGTTCAGGTTGGCTTTGAACTGAGAGATCAGATCCACCTGCCTCTACGTCCCAGGTACTGGGATTAAAGACATGTGTCACTACCACCCAGCCTTGATTTTTTTTTCTAATGTTGAAAAACTAAGCTTTAGACATGTTTAGACATAAAAATTAATTTGTTTCAATTAGTAGAGAAGATTGTGCTACATCTTAAAATTATACAAAAACAGATTCCTAACTGGGTATAATAATTCCTGTCTGTAGTTTCAACATTCAAGAAACAGACAGTAGGATTGCTTTGAGTCCAAGGCCAGCCTAGGTTGCATAGTGAGTTCCAGGACAAGTGAGCTTACAATGTGACCTTGTCTCAAAAATCAAGAAGGGACTGAAGAGATGGCTCACTGATTAAAAGTACTTGCTACTCTTGCAAAGGACCTAAGTAAGTACTGTTCCCAGAACCCATGTCAGGCAGCTCACAATCAACTGTCAAGTCCAGGTCCAGGTAATCCAAAATACTCTTCTGGCATCAACTGATAACCTGCACACACACACAGTTCACATAAATATACTCAGGAATGCACATAAAATAAAGTATTTTAAAACAACAAAAGATTATTATCAGAATTTCTGACATTCTCCAAAATGCATCTTAGAGAGCCAAAGAAATGTATAGCTTTGTTCTTGGAAAGAAGGTCTTAATTGAATAGGAAATATATATTTCAGAAATTATTCTGACAAAAACTATACTCAAAATGAATCTGCAAGTTACCACAAGATTACAAACCTTGCCTTGCTGCATTGAACAGTCCACACATCCCACTTGAATGTTTCCATGTTTAGCGCCTGGGATGATCTGTAATCTTTCAAAATTACTTCCCAGTATTACAATGTCACATCCAGATGCATAGGCCTAAAAAATTAAAATAAAAATGATAGACATTTCAAGAAAATATGTAGAAAACTTGCATTAAATATTGTTTAAAACACAAAAATTTTAACTGCCACCGAGACAGCCTTCATTGAACTATTTTCTTTTCTTCTTATATGCAAATCCACTACAAATCAGTCCCATCTGTAGCACGAATAATAAAAACCCAGAGACAGATATTGAGGTTCAACCTGAAGATCAATAAAGCAAAGTAGCCAAGCCACTAAAGAGCTCTTCCTCAGACTGAAAGAGTGCGACTTCCTGTCTCATCCTGCATTATAGTCCTCCCTAGTGCTGGGATTAAAGGTGTGAGCAGCCACCTCCACCTGAATCTGTTTCAGCTCGGCTGTTGCGTAGCCCAGAGTGACCTTGAACTCACAGAGATCCTCCGGCCTCTGTCTCCCAAATCCTGGGATTAAAGGTGTATGACATCACTGCCTGCCCTCTAATGGCTTAGTTTCACCTTCTGGTCTACAGGCAAGTTTTATTTATAAAACATAAATAAAATATCACTATGCCCATCTGAAACCAATCACACGCATTTCTTCTATCTTCACTGAATGCTATCATCCCTGTTTGTAACTTCATCATCTGTCTCCTGCCCTACTGTTAGCAATCCAATTGCTTACATCTTTGTCTGTTCTCAAACCAAACAGCTGACTCCTAAAGATGTTTACTGCATCAAGTTATAATTCCTACCTAAATTTTAAAGTTTCCCACTACACTTGCAATAAAAACTCCAACTCCTTACCAGGACAGTCCATCTCAGGCACATTTGCCTGATTCCTTCCCTCACCAGGTGGTCCTTACACCGCCCTTCCTTCTATTCCTTTTCCATATCAAAGTATCTTATCTGAGTTTTATTTGCCTGGTCTTTGTCTACCTCAGGGTTTCTTAAAACTTTGTCCAACTGAGAAATTATTGCATGGCCCAAGGTATAGATACTTTTGCCAGGCAGTGGTGGTGCATGCCTTTAATCCCAGCACTTGGGAGGTAGAGACAGGTGGATCTCTGTGAGTTCAAAGACAGCCTGGTCTACAGAGTTCCAGGACAGTCTCCAAAGCTGCAGAGAAACCCTGTCTTGAAAAACCCAAATTAAAAAAAAAAAACTAATGATAAGTATTTTAAAACAATTATTTGGCATACACAAAATTTTAACATTTATAAAAGGTAAGAAGAAATTTGTACATTAGTGAGATGAATATGCTTTTTATTATTAAAAAATATTGGCTGAACATTTTATGAAAAAAATGTAGCGTGCTGTCTAATATTTTCAGTTTACTGATCCCTCAATTTTATAAGCCTGTATTTTGAGAACACCATTTTGCATAAAATACATATTATAAAATGGCAGAAGCATGCTTAGAGAAATTTCAGAAATGGATGGATGTTCCGTCCTAAAAATGGACCGAATTCATTGAATTATTTCTGGTGAAACTCAAGTTAGCAGCCCAAACACAAAATTTAAAATCAAACATTATTTAACACTATATAATCCAAAATAGACTAATCTGAATGCTTTCTTAGATCTCTTAGGACCAGTTGCCCAGGTGTGGTGTGGCCCATAATGTGCTTTATCTTTAGAGCAGTCGATTCCATCCCATGTTCTCTGTCCCATTTGTTCTAAGAATATGTACTACTCTCTACCTCTCTAGCTGCTTAGGATGCAATGACAAAGGACACCATGGGCCCCAGAAAGAAAGAAAGAACTAGGCTATGGTACAATAATAATAATAATAATAATAATAATAAAATCACTGTGTGGTAGTGATGCATGCCTTTAATCCTAGCACTTGGCAGGCAGAGGTAGGTGAATCTCTGTGAGTTTGAGGCCATTCTGATCTACACAGACATATAGAGATACCATGACTCATAAATAAGTAACTGAGTGAGTGAGTGAGTGAGTGAGTGAGTGAGTGAGTAAATGAATGAATACAGGAGAAATGGATAATCTGACTAGAGACTTCTACTTTAAAGCTTTAGAAATGAGAAGTTAGCTAACTATTAAGATCTTTTCTGCAAAAGCAGAAGGAGTTGAAAGGCTGCTTGAAGATTGTGTAAAAGTGCTTAGACATAAGAGAGAAAAAGTATTTAGGATTCCTACCATACAAATTGTGAATAACAGATATAGCAAGTTTAAGAAGGAACCTTCTACAAGCAATAGACTAAAAATGTCTATTAAAATACCTGAAAAGGTCACACTTATCTTAATGTGCCTTCTGCTCTGGCAGTGTTAAATTGGAGATTAAGTATGACTGCATACAAGGACATTGGTAGTATGGACAGAGATAAGGAAGAGATCTGATATTTATGAGGTAGACCCCAGTGGCCTTCAATCTCTTGGGAGATCTCTGAGTTCAAGGCCAGCCTGGTCTACAGACCAAGTTCCAAGTTCCAAAACAGCCTGGAATACACAGAGAAATCCTGTCTCAAAAAAAAAAAAAAAAGAGAGAAAAAAAGGAAAACTAAAATAGAAGAGAGAAAGGCAAACAAACGGTTGATGATTATTCTCAATGATAATAATATAAGAAAACAAACCAAACAAGGTGGGAAGGAAAGGCTGGAAGACATACCAATAGGGGAAACTGAGCCTAAACAATGATTTTGAGTGTGTTGCATCTTCAAGTGAAAAAATTCTAAGACCTGTTTATCATTTTGAAATTCAAAACACAGATCTCACCAGTAGAGGTAATATACACGACAGAATGGAAGACCAAGGACAAATTATCATCCTGAAAGGTACCTTACAAAGAACACTGAGTAGAAGAAAGAAAGAAAGAAAGAAAGAAAGAAAGAAAGAAAGAAAGAAAGAAAGAAGAGAAAGGAAGGGGAAGAAAAGGAGAAAAGACGTAATTAACTGAAAAACATTATAACTATAACTTACTATAAGAAGGATGTTATAACTAAGCTAAGGAGAAAATTAAATAAGTGAATTGACAAATGCTGAAGAGAAAGAAACATGGAAGACACTGAAAACTAAGGAGACACAGGCTGCCAGAAAGCACTGTTTTTAAGATGAATGTTTTAAACATATCTTGAAATTTCCAGAGAAAAAAGAAAGTAGATAATAAAGGACCAATGCCCCATATAGAATTTGAAGACAAAACCCACAGCATAGAGAAAGGGGTTAACCTGGGACATGTAGGATAAAATATATCATCCATTGTGCAATGACAGGAAAAAAAAAGGATGCTGATATAGTGACTTTTTTGGCTTGTAACTGACAATGAGGGAGTGATCAGCCGACAGATTCCAGGTGGATGTTTATATGAGTAACAGAATGTTGGGCTGGGAGGTTTTATCTTATGGAGGAACATGAGATAAAACAAAATGAACAGATGGGTGCTTGGGAAGCTTTGAGGTCTCATCTAATAGAATTGCATTTCCCAGTTTTATTTATATTATCAAGGAGTGATCAAGAGTCAGGAACAGAGATACAAAAAGGAATAAAGAAAAAACAAAGCATGTTGGATTTGGTTAGATTCAAAAACATGAAGGTTCAAGAAAGTTAAAAGATGTTGACAACAAAGACTATTATTAAATTAACTCATGTCAAATTATCTAAATTATAAGATATAGCTGTCTAAAAATAACCATGCTAAATAATAAGGACAAGGTTCAAGGTCTGGTTTTCACATTGTGTAGCACAGAAGTGATAGGAATTCCACAATCAGAAGTTTACGCAAGAAAATCCAAGAGCAGAGAGAGTAATCAGAGGTAGAGCATGCTCTTGCATGCAAAAAGCCCTGGTTTCACCCTGTATTAATTGCTCGCACATATACATATGTACTTTAAGTTCTAGGCCCAAAATAAATGGATGACATTTCTAAATGAAAGAGTACATTTACTCTCTCGCGGCAATGTTTTCCAAAGTTTGTGAAAAGTAGAAACAATGTCATGTTTTAATTTTTTATTGTTTTGCATTTTTAGTCTATATAAAGTCTGTGCTAACAAAGGGGTAGATTGTGTGTGTGTGTGTATAATACACCTAAATCTTAAAGTCACCTAAAGTAGCTTTATCAATATATAAAATTAATTTAACTTCTAGAACTTTTATCACCTGTCAGGGTACTAAACATGAAAGTATATCAGTAAGAAAAGAGCCTTACAATGGACTGTGAGCTAGGCCTGCTAGTACATTCCCTTAGTAATTCCAGCACTACTGAGGCTGAGAAGGGATCTAAATGCAAAGTCAGCCCTGGCTATCTAGTAAATTAGATGATAGTCTGGGCTACATAATAAGACCTTATTTCAAAAATAACAAAAGCCAACATGGCAGTGCACACCTTCAATCGTCAGAGGCAGGAGATCTCTTCGAGTTCAAGGCAAACCTAATCTATACAAGGAGTTACAGGACAAGATTATGTCTCAAAATATAAAAACAAAGTCAATACAATTTAAACATTAGGTATAGACTTGTCTGAAATAAATTATTCACAAAAACTCACTTAAGGTGCTTTGCCCTTAATATGAAGAGTTACCAAATGCAGCTTAATGACAAAGTTGGTATTTAACATGCTTCTAGTCCTGGGTTCAGTTCCCAGCACTGCAAACAAACAATAGCAACAACACTGTGCTGGATTATCAAATAACTCTCACAAAATATTTGTATATTACAATTGGTACACCAACTACTGTCAAATCTCTAACCAAGCCAGGAGAATGACATATATAATAATCCCAGTACTTAGGTGGTAGGGGTTAAGAGGTCAGCCCGAGCTACATAGTAAAATCCTGTCTCAAAATAAATAAATAAATAAATAAGTATAATTAGAAGCCTTTGTTCCTAGCCAATGAAGGTTCTCAACTGAAAATAATCCAGTTAGGTACAGGTAACAACAGTAAGTCACTAACTCAAGTAAACAGGATGCAATGCATAGGAAGACCTGAATCCAGTGTACTAAGAAGCATCAATCAAAGGACCTTCTTAACTTCCAAGTCTGACAATTAACCTGAAATATTCTAAATTTCAAAATT